TCTACATGATTTTCGTGACTTCTTTCCAGATACGACTATATCATTGCACAGTTGTTCTGGCTACGGCTAATGTGGTCTCCGCCTAACAAAATAGGACGCGGAGCAACTCACGCGCAATCTCAAAGAAGTTGGGCTGATGTGAGCGATTGCTGGAGCGACGACAGTGGTTGCGGATGATACCCCTCGCACGCGATATCGACCGATTGACCTGAAAATACAGTCAGACGGGGTTACGTTGATGAATAGGCACGATTCGCAGCGAAAGACGCGAGATGCTGGGCCGCGGGCGAAGGGAGCTCTGGCATAGATGCTTGGTGACCATATCGATGTCACGGAGGGGATCTATCCCCTCCATTACGCATGTACCTTATGCAAATTACTGTGCTCAGACGGTGACAATCCGTCTCTGCGAGCGCAACCAACTACCTATGAATTGAACCTGCTAATAGGAAGCACTCTTCAGTCCATGATGACTCTGCCTCCAATCAAGCTCCTTATCTGATCATCGACCTCGTCTATCATCTTTTATGGCACTCCCTCCTACATAGCGCCAAGATGCCCTCGTCCGCCAGGGCAGTCTACTAAGGTTTGTACCGGCGTGGATGGCCGTGGGTTGCTGCTCGTGGTGACGAAGCGCTGTCTCATTCGCCTGTCGGCTCCCATTCGTCGGCTGGAACACCCCCGCGCGGACTGGGGCCACCCCCCTCCCCCCAAGCCATGGATGGCCCAGGCACCACACACGGTGCCGGAACCGGGCATACCTAGCGGGTCCTTTGTTGCGTGCGAACAGGGAACTCGCGGCGTACCCATGGTCCCAGGCCGTCAGACATCCAGCGAAACAGCCGAACGCCATCGACAGCACCACAACCACCACTACCTCGTAACCTTCTTACACTGCTCCCGCATCCTTCCTTCTCCTCCTCTTCCCAACCCAACCAACCGCCCATCACAAACACACCAGCTTTCCACGATGTCTACCGCTGCCCCGATGGCCTGCTAGACGCTGCTCAGCGTTTGGCTTTGGATTCTTATCTCCGCACTGATAGACAGCGTGAAGTGTCATCGTTTCCGCCAACAAGTGGCCGACAAGGACCAACACTCGAGAGACGAACTGCAGCCTGATTCACAACAACCACCATCCTCCGCTCAAGGCGTCATCGCGCAAACGCGGATTGCCGCATCTGACTTCGCAATACTGTGCCTGATCTCATCTTGCGACACATTCGATGTGGTCGCGACGATCTTAAGAGATCATCTTCAGCTACACCCTCTTCACTTCAGCCCGACTTGATAAAGATTTCATCCTCATATTTACCAGTAGATATCAACTCCAAGCGGAAATCCAGACAAAATGAAGGTGCGCATGTTCTGAAGGAGGCGCGGCCTCTGCTACAGCTGTCGTTCTCGCCCTATACTAACCACGTCATGATAGTTCCTGCCAGTTCGCGACTTCGATGTCGTAGCTGCAGCGCTCAATTTCGACACACCGGATTGCCATGTCACAGGCGGCTGCGACCTCTACACGACGAAAGCCGCCGGCTCCGACAAGAAGCTATATAAGAACATCGACAAATCGCTCGAGTCTCAACATGCGGCGATGCTCAAGTTCGGCGCGAGCTTATCCCCTCCACAGCGCGAATCAATGGCTGCAAGCCTCAACCTCTCGCGTTCAAGTCCATTCGGACCACTATCCGAGATCTCAAGTCGACGAACTTTTGCATATCTGATTGCGACTCTAAACGCGTCACATCCGGACTACGACTTCTCGCATGTTCTCCGGCCGACCGACTTCAAGCGAGAACGCAATCTGCGTAAAGTCATGGTAGACATCGACAGCACATTAAGCAGTGCCCGGCCGCACTCCTCCTCTTTCGAACCACCCGTCGCGCGAAGTTTTGGCTCTACCACCAGTCCCGAGACCGCCGTCTGGGGGCCTCAAATATGGGCTCTTATCGACAAGGAGATGACGCTTAAGGACTGCGGCATATTCTCTTATCAGCCAGCGGACGACCCCTTTGATGGTGAAGAGAGCGCAATATGGTCGCTTCACTATTTCTTCTTCAACAAGGACAAGAAGCGTGTGGCGTACATCTACGTCCGCGGTGTACCCGTTATGTCTCATTCACCCACGCTCCGACCGCACCCCAATCCACAATTGAAACGTGGCAATCTCGGTATAGATGCTGGCGCCAACAAGCGCGCGAAATTCTGGCTTGGCGATGTCTACGCAGAACGTATCGTCTCTAGCGACGACGAGGACGACTACGTAGACGACGGCTTGGTGTGGAATCGCGATGCCGATGGTGAGCTAGAGGAGTTCGCAGGCGACTATGGTGATTATGAGGACGACGAGATGGATGAGGATGACGATAGCGAACAACACAAGGGCTCAGTTCGAGGCGTGTCTGAGGACATTGCGTCGCGTATGGAGCTCGAGTAAGCCTCTTGCTGTTCCCCGCTGTCGAGCGTTCCCTCATCGAACATTTGATTTTCTTTCAGGCCCGTTCGGCCTTTGACTTTGCTCTGGCTGGCTTTGGCGTTCGGAAGTTTGCCTAACCCGATTTTCGGGGCTCATGAGTTGCCATGAAGCCTTCAAGTGGCTTCTATTGCTGATTCTCTGATACCTCTCTCGGCTCTCGAGGGCTCTGGTCGTTGCTGTTCTCGCACATATTCATGTCTTGCTTTCTCTGTATCTTGTTATGTATACCTCTAGATGAGCTACTTGAGTGGAATGGGCAATGACCCATCTGGCTCTGGTAGTTCGTCGATTGTTGGAGTTTGAAACTTGAGGGTGCCTTCCTGTGGATGCGGTCAGGGAAGTGAAAGACACCGCATAATACTGGATTGGAAACAGGATGGCGTTACATCGTTTTATATAGGTTCTGACAGGGCTCCGGTGAGAGCGGCACCTGTTATGGTAGAACCTGGGCGGTAACGTCGGGGGCCGGCTGGTTTCGTCATCTCTCTTTTGCTGCTTGTTATATCTCTCTGTATGGTAGTACTTGTTCGAATTATCAAGAGCCTGCATGCCCATGACGAAATCGGATTGTGGCTTTACCGTTTACTAAATACGAAACAAACATACATCAATGTCCATGCTTGTCTTCTCTAACTGTGTCTCACGATGAAAGCATGTAGCAAGCAAGTCTTGGAATTCTGATATCGTATATTGTTCTATCTGCCGGACAACTTGCAGAGTGTATCCTGGCCGACATTGGTAAAGATAGGCGACGGCCTCACTCTCTCTCTCTCACACACATACAAATCGTGTATTTGTCTCCTAGCTAGCTTTCGTACGGTGGTGGTGGCGGCGGCGGGATTACTCACTCACTCACTCACTCACTCACCAACTCACTCCGAGTGCCTAGCTGACGCCCTGGCCCCCTTTCGCTGCTCTGCTGGCATCGTCAGATTCGACGCCTTGTCGCTCTTGACCCGAGAAAGGAGCGATAGAAATCATCCACATCAAGGAGGACCAGCAAGTCCTGCGCTCCCACTATTATGACAAGATTATGGTGGGGGTTTTCGGGGAGGGCCTTCCCCTATTTCCCCTATCCTCCTGGACATTTTCCCCTTTGCAAAGTACAATGTGGCCTATCCCGCCAGTTTTTGTCTCCCTTCGTTTTGCCAGATGCGGCATTGGTGAAAAACGCAAGGTTGGGGGGGGAAAAAAAGAAGAAGAAAAAACGCCTCGGTTGTTTTTGAAGCTCGTGGAATAAAATGAAGATGAATAAAAGAATGCCCCTCCAATTACGCCGTAAACCTCTGTATGCCCTTTGTCCCTGGTGCCCCCCCACCACATGGAAACCCCCCTTTTGTGCCTGTAGCCAGATTGCAAAATCGAAGATGTCAGGGTCCGTAGAGGAGGGAAAAGGAAAGATTTTATTGATCAAAACAAGCTGCACAGAATGATGACTTCTCGCGGATGATGCTTTTCACGCGGAGGGGTATAATGATGTAGCCGTATACGAGAGATAAGAGAGAGTCGGAAGTATTGGTTGAAGGAAGGTTTTAGGTGGTCTTGTCGTCGTTAATGGCATGAAAGTAAATCATGACTTGGCCGCCGGTGGAGGAACTCCGTTCGGGTGCGGTGGAACGGTGAGTGGACTGACTCCATCACTAGGAGTGCCAGGAAGGTTCTCCGCGGTGTCTGTAGGTGTTTTTTCCGGAGTTGTCTTGCGGGTCAAAGACTCCTTCTCCGGCTCTTCTGGAATCGTGGCGAACTTCTGCAGAACCTGTTTTAGAGCAGGTCGCCGAATAGGCTTGCTGAGGAATTCATCCATTCCAGACTCCATGCACTCCTTGACATTGCTCTCTTCAGAGAATGCTGTCAGAGCCACGATGGGTGCATTGTAGCCCATTTTTCGGATCAGTCTTGTGCTTTGCAAGCCGTCCAGATTTGGCATCTGAATGTCCATGAAGATGACATCGAAGCGTTTGTTGACCTCCATGTTCGCCTTAACTAGGTCAAATGCCTCCTGACCGTCCTTTGCGATCGTGACATCGTACACATCCTCAAGCTTCAACATCCTACTGACGACCTCGATGTTTGTTGAATTGTCGTCGGCCACCAAGACTCGGAGCTTGCCCTGGCCACCCTTATTGGCCATGGCACGGCTAATAGCCGCCATCTGGTCTTCTTTACTGGTGGTTGCCGGGTTCGGCGTTGTGGCGAAGAAAGGTTGACTCAATCCCACAAGGCGAGGCTGCTTGTCAAGCACTGCTGTGGTGCTGGTTGACTTGGCATCCGTTACGACAGGCTTACTGAGGGTGCTTCGGGGCACATCATCTGCTGATCCCACGCTAGGCGGCCTAGAGCCTTGCAGACTGCTGGATGCCGTGCTTGAAGTTCTGCAACTCATGTCAGTTTCGTTTGCTCTCCCACAAGAAGCGAGTCATTCAATCATACCTGTCCTTCACATATTTGAGCGGTATTTGCATAGTGAAGGTAGTCCCCACGCCAACTTTGCTCTTCAAGGATATGCTACCGCCCATAAGGGTGGCGAGCTGGGAGCAGATACTAAGACCCAGTCCAGTACCACCAAACTTCTTACTCAGGCCTAGATCGCCCTGGACAAACGGTTCAAACACACGCTGTTGCATATGTTCAGGAATACCAGGCCCAGTATCCTCGACGACAAATTCGAACATGAATGTTTTCGCGTTTGGCGGAGGAGGGGTTGGAGATCGCTCTCGTATATGGACGTGTGGCGTCGCCTTGGGGTCTGCAGGGTTGATCTGTAATGCGGTCCCCTTATGAAACTGTTCTTGCTGGGCTGGCGTGGTTGCCCCTCTCGAACTCGCCGAATGTGTCGAGCCAGATCCAACCCTGTGCCTACTTCGACCTGCGCGGTTCGAGTTTCTTGAGAATGATGACGCGCGGCTCTCATCGCTGCTCTGCTCAATCTCACCTACACATTTGATTTGAACTGTGACGGTGCCACCCTTCGGTGTGAACTTCAAGCTGTTGCTGACCAGATTGATGATGACTTGGAGGATTCGGTGTTGGTCGCCCCACAGGCACATGTCCTTGAGTCTGCCCATACCGGGCGGCCCAAGGGCCGGGAGTTTCTTCTCAATGCTGACTCTCTCTGGGCTCGGGCTTGCCTCCATACTTTCAGGACCAAGAAATTCGACGGTGAATGTTATCCGACCCTCTCGTACTTGTTTATCGAAGATAGACAACATTTGTGACCGAATGTCGCCCAGTCTGAACTCTTTCTCTTCCAGATTGACTTGTTGGCCAATCTGGTTTTTGGAGAAACTGAGAAGATCCTCGAGTAGGTGAAGTAATAGATCGCCTGTGCCGACTTAGCATACGTAACTCGGCTAATCATTAGAGGGGCAACTTACCAGACTTGTAGAGAGTCTTGAGAGACTGTTTTATCCTGACGAGGTCATCTTCTTCCATACATACGGCACACATGCCCATAATTCCATTCAAGGGCGTCTTAAGTTCGTGTGAAATATTAGCAATGAACAAGGTCTTGCTCTCGTTGGCCGCCTCAGCCGCTTTCTTGCTGATTTCCAGCTCTCGAGTGCGTTCGGCCACCTTCGCGTCTAATGACGTATACTGCTTGACCAGTTCTTCAGTCATCTCGTTGAATGTTGTTGTGAGCTCCGTCAGCTCGTCAGTGACAAAATGCTTCCTGTCTTCCACCTTTCCGGGAATTTTGAAGATACGACGCTGGGCCTCGCGGGAGGAGACAGAGGCCTGCTTACGCCTTCGTCTCCTTCGAATTTCTCGCCGGATCTTTGCGATCCAAGTGCTGGCTTTGGATCTTCGCGATCCACTCCCAGAAGAAGGCCCCATTTCATCATCCTCGATTTCGAACTCCTCCAAGTCATCGTGATAGCCTGGGGGTGTAATAGACTTCTTCGTCGCGTCCTTGAGCCTCCGGATGGGTTGAACACTCAAATGGGCGCAAGGGATGATGAACAATAATATGACGCCCGCGGTGCCGAAAACACAGCCCAGGAGGATCTTTCGAAGAGTATTGATCGGTCGATACGCTTCAGCTCTCTCTTGTTCGACAATGATCGTCCAGTTCACCAGAGCTGTCTGCGGCCGTGCAAAGCCAACAGCAACCGAGTCTCCCTGTTCGTTCTTAGTCGACAGAATACTACTTGCATTATTTATAGTATTGATGCGATGCGCAAAATCCTTGAACGCGGCTGGGTAATCAGCAAGCGGGAAAGGATCATCGTATAGCCCCGACTCGTAGCTACGCTCCGTGTGCCGGTCCTTTCCCTTGGGAGCTTGTACTGGAGGCAGCATGAACTGCATCAGTGTTTCGCCGAAAGCCGTCTTGTTGACAGGAGTGTACGTCGAGTTGCTCGCCGGATTGTCTGCCGGAAACCTATTTGACTGTGATTTCGGCCCAATAAGAAGTACCATGCCGGTATCACCAAGCCCCTCCCGGGAGCTCTGGATGTCGACAAGCGTAGCAGCAGACGCAACAATCGTGACATAGCCCAGAATATATCTTGTGTTGCCGATCTTCCTAACAGGCACAGTGAGGGACACAAGGGCGTATGTTTCGTTTATAACCAAGGGCCCTAGCAATAGACCGCCATTGTTACTAAGACGGACATCTGGAAAAGCGTTGACTGTGAATGCATGCGTGGAAGGCATAGCCGAGTTGGGCTGGCCGGTGTCGTTGTAGGTAATATTGGGATAGAGCATCGGGGGATAGCCTGTCGCCGAGTCCTCTAAAATGGGGTGAGTACCATCCGGCAAGGTATAGGGCAGGACAATTGGTTCGAATCCCTCTCCTGTCACATTGAGAAGGCCGTGTGCCGAGCCAGTAGTGTTCCTAGAGTACAGCCTGGCCTGCAACAGCGTACTGCCGACCGCGCCGGTTCCCAATGCACTTTCCAGATCGTTTTGGGCATTCACCCAATTACTAGCACTAGTATTGCCATTGTAGAAGTTTTCGAATGCGCGCTGGATGAGGATTCGCGTCGATATGGTCTGACTTGTCGACTGGAGTAATTCTATCTCGGAGGATAACCGAGCAGCTTTGAGGGAGGCTGTGAGGGAGAGCCCGTCAGACTCTACGCCCACAACAAATTTGTTAACGTAGATCCATGTGGGTATCGAAACGACAGCGAGGGCGATGAGGACGGCGAGGAGCACCAACGCGGCGAGCTGCTCCCGGATAGCTATTCTGACCTGCATCTTGCCCTACTATAATGAGGCGTCCAGCTGGAAGTCCTGTGTACCATGCATCCTTCGACGGGTCGCCCAGATGTTCGTTGCAACCGTAGACTATGAAGCCAGCCAAAGCAGGCTCGAAATAGCCAATTGTGCTCGTCCCAGGGACGTCAGGTCGACCGTTAAAAAGACGAGGGTCGTCGGAAGGATGTTGGCGACGCAACGAGCAATGTTCGATGGCTCGGCGTGTGTCGTCGCCCTGTTCAGTCAGCAACGCTGAAATACCGTACTGCCTCGCCACGCGACGGTAGCTCCGGCCTCAACGCGGCTCCGTCCGATACAGGCAGGCCGGATCTAACAGCAAGGTCGGCCCCAACTCAATTGTCGAATGGCTCTCGGTGAAAAAGCGACCTCGGCTGCCTCGCGTGGAAGGTTTGACGATGCCGTGACGTTGGATCGTTGCCCGCTTGTTGCTGGTGGTGGTGGATTCGTGGTCGATGGGGATTTTTGACAGATCGACGGCCCTAGTCGAGCATGTACCGCACGCACGTACTATGGGCGATGGGCGATGGGCGATGGGCAATGGGCAACACAACGGGAAAAGATTGGATTTGGGATTCTTGGGGGTGGGAAAAGCCGTCGAATGGCAGCGCAACGGCTGAGCGAGTGAGCGACCGCGCGACACCCTGTGCTACCAACCTTTTTCACTGACTGACTAGGGTACAAACTCCAAGCGGGAAATTGCCTGGAAACGAAACGAAACGAACGCCTGTGTCTTTTGCGTGAGTGCTAGTTACAGCACAATAGAGCAGGTTTTCCACTCTACTTGCGCAAGAGCTACCGAGAGCAGATTGCTAACATACTGCTGCTACCTACCTACCTACCTACCTAGGGATCTAGTTAGGTGCAGTTATTCGGCCTCTCTGCACTCTCTGCATATGCTACTCTTCAATGGAATACGGGATTTGCCAACAGAGGATGGGGACCAAACTCTCCTTGACATACCAAACACAGTCAAGCTTCCAGGGCGGCCCCAGTTAATTTTCAAGGTCCAGCGCAAGCTACAGAGAGTCTCGACCGTTCGCGACGGGCATCCTCTGCCTTCACAGTGGGAGGCCATCCCTGTCGTGGACCTGGTCGAGAGCTGGACTTCTGGGGCCGCGGGTGAGGTGAAGCGGAGCATCCACTGGAGAGGGCGGAGTCGTCGCAATTCTCATGGGCACCCCAATCGCGCATTGCATTTGCTGGCCAACTAAGATCGAGCTTTGCTAAGCACCATCGGGCTAAACAATCTCTCCAGAGCGTCCCTCGCTCAATCGAGAAGAGCGCCGAAAAAGGCCCACTGCTAGGCGCCTCAAAGAGAGACTATGACCACTAGTTACTAGATGCACATGTGTCAGGCACAGATTGTCAGATTGCCTCCAAAAATGTCTCAGCCTCTTGGGTGCCCTCTCACTTCTTGTCGCCACGCGCTGTGCAAGTGCTGTGCTGGCCCTCGGTGTCGTGGCTGTGGTGTGTCTTTGTGCGCGCAGGACAGGGGCGAATAGTATACTGTGGTGTATGGTTGGGTGGGCTTCGGAAGCTAATGGGCACCAAGGGGCACTCCCGATCTCATCCAGCCGCACGGGATATCATGGAGATTCAAGATTGGATGGAGTGTGATGGGCGACAGGGAGCCTGGTCCAGCTCCTGCGAGTGCTTGCGTGTGTTTGTACCACTGTACCGAAGATCCCCGAAGACTCGGCACCCTTGTGCATTTCGAATACAAAGCATAATCACCGCAATGTTAGCGAATGGGGCCACCCTTGGCATGGCTTGGATACGATACCCAGCATGCCAGCTGCTAGCAAATTAGCTGAGAGACCACGCAAAAGACCTCTGAATCTAGAGAAACCCGACAGCCCACGAGAAGCCATCCAATTTGATCCTAGTGTACGAGATGACGAACACAATGAGACGCGGCCGTTGAGGAAAGCAACTTAGCCTAGAAGCAAAAGAAAAGGGTCGCACAGTCGATGCTGTATCACTTGACACAACATGTAAGCGTTGCAGCGTGGAGGGAGAATCAACACCTCTTCGGAACTTGTTTCCGAGCGTGGGCCCAACGCTGCGGAATGGGCCGCTCGTATCGCTCCTTGCAATGGAATGATGGTCACAACGATAACAACGGGTGTCATGGAAAGCGTAATACTAGCAATTGTATTGTCTGGATAAGATCATACATTCGTGATGGCATACAAGAAAGTCGTTCACTCAAGAAGTCATCAAGGCCGCCCCGGCTCCCAGACCACCGTTACAACACCTGAATACACCAACGCCTTACACCACTGCCCCTATACAGATGGCACCGAGCTCAGCTACGACTAAACATCAACGGCACCAATGCCGAGTTACTTTCAAGACTCTGGTGAGTCTGCGCGACGTTCATCACGCTTCTAGCGCCAAATAGACTTCTCATGCCCGCGTTGGACGTGTGCGCAAACCCAATGGTGCTCTCACCGGCTCCGCACCGTGCAGCAAGGCCAATGGACTTCTTGTTTTTGCCCTTGCAGAACTCCCGGCTGAGCTTGAGGAGCACGGCCTCCTTCGCCTTGCGCAAGGCTGAGACCCGCGCCGACACATCCTCTGCCAGGAGCCGCTGTGCCTCCTCCTGCTCTATGTTGCGCTGCACCGCGCTGAGGCCATCGCCTGCAGCCCCAGAGCCACTCCCAGAGGGGTTGTAGACTGTCGGCTGGAGCAGGACGGCCAACGGTTCGGCCGGCATGGGGGCCGAGATGCTGAGAGGTCTGAGCGGCCGCGGCGTCTCCGGGCGGTAGTAGTCTGCCTCGTCATCGGTGCCGATGACTTCGGGCACCTCCGACTGCTGGTGGTACGGATGCGACGAGAGATCCGGCATGGGCTCACCGCTGAGCGGATGGCGAGGCGTGTCATGATGGTGCCGGCGATGAGACGAGCCGCTGCGCTGCCGCTGCCGCTGCCGCTGATCGCGATGGTGGTGGCGCTCGCTCTTCTCGCTGCGCTCGTCGTCGGCTCTGGAGCGATGTTGCTCGTCCCCTGAGCCATCTTCGGTGGTGTGGTCCTTCATATGCCAAGGCTTGCGGCGCCGTCTGCGCACACGCTTCTTCTTCAGTTTTGTACTGAAGCTCATGCTTGCTTCTTTCGCAGCTGCAATGTCTGAGGCTAGGCCGCCGTCATCTTCCTCCTCGACTGGCTCCATTATCTCAACTGGCTGCTCTGGAATGGCCTCTGGTTCTTCACCCTCGCCTTCTGGCTCAGCATGAGGCTGGTATTCGTTATTGACACCAACAAACGCCTCCAACCCCTCAATGTCTAGATCGAGGAGCTCCTTCGAGACAGCCGCAACAGCAGCGCTCGGGCTCGGCAGCTCAGCCTCGTCGTGGGCAGCGCTCGTGGTGGCAGTGCCGAAGCTCTCCGCCTCCGACCAGCCGCCGCCGGTCGAGCAGCGCGACCACACGTCGCTGTTGGCCGCGCCGTCCATGAGCGGGGCGAGCGCGTCGTCCCAGCTGCCGCCGCCGAGCAGCGCCACGTTCTCAAAGTCGAACTCGCGCACGGTGCCGCGGTGGCTCGCGACGAGGTCCGCCAGCTGCGGCGCGTTCATCGTGGCGTTGCGCACCTGCAGGTAGCGCAGCCGCGGGAACACGATGGGCCGCCGCACCCGCGGCGTCGGTGGCAGCGGCGACATCGGGCTCGTCACCTCGTTGAAGAGCTTCTTGGAGTTGCGCGGCGGCGCGAACAGCGGGTCGCCGGCCAGCGCGAGCGGGCACGGCCCCTTGCGCCCCAGCCAGGTGAAGGTGAACTTGTCGAGGCTGGGCGCAAAGTGCCGGACGTAGTCGTCCATGATCTTCAGGTGGTCCAGTCCCGGCGAAGTTCCGTAGAAGTCCCAAGACTCGACGGAGATGTACAGCTTGCGGATCTGCTTCCATCGCCTGCCAGCTGAGGGCATGCAGCCGAAGCCTGGGACATGACGGAGATAGTTGAATGCGGCAGGGTGAACAGATGAAAGAGAAAGCTTGCTGAGCTTATTCAGTGTTGTTCTCTCTATTGATATCCGCAGGCTGATGAGGGCATAGTCGACAATGTCTCGCCGATAGCGCTCACTTGGATCTTGACCCGGAGTTTTGATAGTCAAGTGCCTCATATTGGGTAAGTGCTTCATCGCATTGATGAATGATGGCACATTAGTTGCGGCATGGAACAGCGGGGGGTATTGCTGTGTGAGGATGTCCCCTAGTTCTGAGTTGCCGTACTTTGGTCTCGCCAAGACCGAAGCCATTGATGTGTGTGGCGTGTACAAGAAGCTGATCTCATGACCCGTCAATGGGTGGATCAGAGGTGGCAGAAACGTCGCCTCTGAGTGTGGGAAGTAGAAGGTAAGGTGTTCAATGTGATGCCCGATACGGGACAGAGCCTGGACACGACACGGCCTTGTGAAGGTGTTGGCGGTGAAGGTCAGGTTGGTTCGCATAAATAGGCGTTTGGTAAGTAGATTGCAGCAGGCTGAGTTGGCGATCCTGACGGCACAGATGTCCTCCTTTGAGAGAAGGCTGAAGAGCTTCTCACGTATGTTCTCTTCCTGCCAGAGGCAGTAGAAAACTTGGGATGTGTTTGCCATAACTGTCGCATAGTCTTCTTGTCAAGTAAGATTTGGGTGGGTATCAATCAGAGACTTGAAAAGTCAAGAGTAGGTTGTGAATGTTAAGGAATAGCCCTCTTCCCAGCGTGAGGACCAAGTTGTGAAAATTAAAAACAAGTAGATTGGTCAGAGAAAGAATATACAGGAATAGAGACGGCGAGCCTCAGCGGGAAGAGGGCGGTGTACCGCAGTTGAGGTTATTCGCCGCTCATCCAGACGTTTAGGTTGACGATGATGTTAAGACTTTGGTTGAGGCTCTTCAACGAGTTTCGATAAGACCCGGTAGTATTGACCTTTGTTTTGACTTCAAAACCTGAGGGGCCGTATGAATCAGGAGAAAGAATTGTTTCCTGAGCCCTCAACTCGAGGGCCGCTCGAGGGCCGAACATGTTATACCCGGGCCACTTGAGTCGGCCAAGGCTTCTCGCAGAGTCCTAGCCTCCCCTTCTCCCCTTTGCCTCGCGCATCTCGCGCCCGTCTCCGCCCATCGTTTCCGTTTTCTGTCGCTCCTGTTCGCCCCTTCTCGTCTTCCCCCTTTGGTGTCGCTCAACATCGGAAGAGGTTGGGAACGACTGGTTGCGAGTGACTCATTGCCCCCATGCAAAGAGTCCTGCAGCTGTTAGCCGGGGCTCTTCTGGAGCCTACCGTGCAGTAGCAGGGTCCCAGGAGGGTCCCTCGAGGCGGCACCCCCGCAAAACACCTCGAAGGGCCATGAGCGCGACCGTGGCCGTTAAGCGCGCCGGACCGCCTGAGTGGCCACAGGGCCGTGGATCGGGCGGTGCATCTGCACGGCCGGATGCAGGCGGTCTCAGCAGGCCGTTGCCAACGGCCAGTGGGAGCACTTGAAACCGGCAGTAGTGCTGCCAGGGGCCTGCAGACTGCTGCAGACTGCCTGTCTATCGATAAAGCACGGAAAGGGAGTGGCTGGGACGCTGGGCAGCCCGCCTATCACAGGCTAGCGCAGCACACGAGACTGTCGCGAACTCTCTCCAGAGCGACACGTTTGACGCGCATGCAATCGACACGTTGACAGCATAAACGCGGATGCACGCTAATGCCAAAATGCCACGAGGGAACTATAAATTGGCTAAATATACTCGTGTGTGGGCTTGATGAAGTGACGTTGCCCTTGAGTCAATCTGGGTGAGAGCAAGAGACGCTTCAAACCGTAGTAGAGTCATCCGATATGGCGTCCTGGATTTGCGGGCAACTTTTGGCTCCTTTGTGCGCTGGCAAACGACTGTCTCTCATTTGACGAGTTGACCCTTGAAAGGGGTCTGTACAAATCATAGGGAGAGCAGTTTTATGCTCTCAATCATGCTCTCAACGTATGTCGCTGCAATGCTGGATGACTCCAAAGTGGGAACACCCCAGCATCGCACTTAGAGACTTGGACCTTCAAGTAACAAAGTTTTTCTGTATTACAGAGAGGATCGCAAAGAATCAGCTGGCCCCATGTCAAAATCGAGCATTGAACCGCACTACGTATGGAGCGTCGTGACGTGTAACTCATTGAATTGCTGTGTTCAAGTTAGAGTTGTGAAGAGTCAAATTCTATGACTCTTTACTCTCACGACCCACTCTCTTGCAATTACACGTGTCGAACCTCTCCCCTGGCACTCATGACAGAGTTTGCACTCAAGCTCCTAGAGACAATGAGGTACTGACGAATGATTGATTCATCAGCAAGATCAGATACTTCAATCGCCCGCCAATGTCCGAGTCAAGTCATTGACCAGAGATGTGACTAATTTCAAGTCGAAAGAGCATATCAAGTATTGTTTCATGAAATGAAGCTTTCCGCCTAAAATGTCATAGTTCTTTTAGCTTTTGGTTAACTGTCGAAGATTGCTTGAGATATCATCAATGTGATTTGCCCAACACATGACACGAGCAGAGGTCTGGCAATTGAAACGCATGTCTTGTAGAATATGGCATTTATGTGGAAGAAAAGTTTGTGGAGACTCATGTAAGCATTCATATGTTAATCCGTTCAGCATGGAAAGGAGCTCACCCCTGTTATAGGAAATGGACTGAAGCCTCGTGCCATTCTCACAACTCACCACTGTTGCCATTGACGTCTGACTTGAAAACTGAGAAGTCGACGTAACACGCCTGTAACACAGAATATCATGGTGAGGATGCGGGGTGCTGCTTTGCTTGTAGCACCTGCAGCATTCAGTCTCTTAATAAAACTATGATTCAACTGCCGGCATTGGTGCCATGAGTAGAGCAAACACGACTGCGGACAAACGTATATGCAAGTTTCCTTCAAATTCGCACAATGTTCGTGTTATTGTAGCCTCGCGCATATTGTTAACACGGATGGAGCAACATCGCGGCGGGACCGCGGCGTGGAGCGTGTGGAGAGCTCCTGCAGCGAAGCGCGACCTGCAGAAGCAGACCGGCCTAGTTCAGAACACAACAGACGGATCTCTTCATTCCTGGCTCATGATGTGCTGCGGGGTTTGCTTGAATCGCGATAGCTCATATTTTCATTATGACCTTGTAAGTACCTGATAGCACAACATATCGGCTCTTCTCTGCATATGGAGAGACTGAGAAACGAAGTCTATGAACCGAGCAAGCCGTCCTCACCGGGTATACCACATACACAGAACAAGCACATCAACCTTGAACTCCCATTCATTCCTGTAACACAAGCTGCATCCTGCCCTTTTGTGAACTGCCGAGTTTTGGCGAACCAGTCCGCCGCCAATCTATTGATTTCATGATACCGTCGTTAGTAGGAAACGCCTGTGCCCCCCTTTACAGTCCCTGCAATGTGGAAAATCAGCATTGCAGCATGTTTTACCACCACGCAGTCCGAGATTTTCAAGTGGCTAGGATGCTTTCAATCGGCATCCGCCAGCTGCATGATTAGCCTCGCCGCCATGTCGAGGAAGGGAAAAGGGCTTGTGACATCCTTTTCCTCAAGAACTTGACCACCTGAGGTCTCGTAGCCATCGCATTTGAAATCCACTAGATAAACTCCTTGCTCCATCTCATAGATCTGGATGTCCATGCGCATAGCAACGACCTGGAACACGTCATTCTCGTCCGTCTTGACGTGCAGCTTATCCGGGACAAGTTCATCAGCTGAATGGATTTGGGAACCTTTTCGTAGCTCTAAAAGATCAGAATTAGTAAGTGATAGAGACGTTGAGAGAGGAGACCGTACTGTCAGTTGTCCAGCGAACTTGTATGTGCCATGGGTCCGCTGGCAGTTTGTATTTCGAGAAGGAGTCGAGCCTTTTCTCGCGTTGAAGTGGGGCACCATCATAATCATCGTCGTCGCTGAAGCAGATATTTGTCAGAATATCTTGAACCAAATCTTGTGAGCGGCGGAATACATACTTATTGTCGCCGTCTCCACTTCCATGGTACTTGTCATAGTCTTCATCTGGTATCCATCCACACCCGAGTTTGTTCAACGCCTTGTAAATACAAACAAGGGCCTCCCATGGCGCATTTCGAGAGCGAATTCCAAACTGCCATCTAACCGGCTTGGATTTGCGCGGTGCATGAACGGGTGTGAGACCTTGCGGTCGTTTGCTTGCTTCATCAAGCCTGATTTGACTACGGGAATGTGGCTTAAGCCGACGGATTGTCTCCTCTTGCTCTGCCTGGCTTCTTGGGTGTATTGTGGGTTCTGGAGCATCTGGAGCTGGGGGTGCTTCCTCAAACCCACCCTTTTCACGTTCCATGTAATCCTTGTGGTAGGCTGGGAGACTGCTTGGCAGAACTCCGACCTTTGAAACATAAGGGCGGGGAGATGCTGAGGTACTGGTGGATGTGATGGACCGAGAGGAGCTGCCGAGTGGACTGGCTCCAGTATCTGCTTCTGCGTTCAGAGATTCCATGGTGACTGTAGTATCGCCAGGTTGTGGAGGTGAGGATGGATAGTATGGGTTATCCGGGCCCAGTAGAGCTGGGAAAGGTAAGTCTGACGTTGGATAGATGGTTTTGTTGGTATACTTACGATTTCCTTGCATCATCTTGTTCTCACGAACGATCATGTAAGCATCCTTGATAGCAGATGGTTCCTCGGCTTCGAGAGCTTCCTGAACGTCTCTCCTACCGTAACCCATAGTCTTTGAGATCTTCTCAGTAACCTCATTATGAAGCTTCTCCTGTACCTTTGGCGAAGCGTTCGGTGCAATATCAGACATCTTGATTGACTTATCTGGGTCAATGCCAGTGTTGAAAAAGGGTTCCACTGGCAGTTGAAGGTAATCCGGAAGGTCTGTCAAAAACCACGGGTCTTGTCGAATTTCACTGATCGTTGCTCTCTGAACCGGGTTCACCACGAGCATCTTCTTGATGAGGCCAGCTGCTCCGGGGCTCATCCAAGTGGGCACTACATACGTGCCCCGGGCGATTTTTGCGAATAGACTGGGAATATGTTCATCGTCGAACGGCAGCCGGCCAACCAGCAGTACATAGAGGATAACGCCACAACTCCACACGTCAACTTCTGGCCCTGCGTACAACTTGCCTCCAATAACCTCTGGGGCAGCATAATTGGGACTACCGCAACTTGTCTTGAGAAAGTTGCCGTCTGTCATAATATTGCTCAGGCCGAAGTCGGCGATCTTGACGTTCAGATTTTCGTCCAATAGCAAGTTCTCAGGCTTCAGATCGCGATGTACAATCTTGTGGCGATGGCAGTACTCGACAGCACAAAGCATCTGCTGGAAGAAGCGGCGTGCCTCTGCCTCCTTCATCCTTCCATGTTGCACAATGTAGTCGAACAACTCGCCTCCTGCATATTCGAGGACCATGATGATTTCGGCCGGAGTTTTGATGACGGTGTAGCTGTGATACAACCATGGGTTAGCGAGCGGACATTCGATAGATGACTAGGCATCCGACGAGGTGCACGGGCTTGAGAGCAGACTTACAGCTTGATGATGTGCGGGTGCCGGAGGAGCTGGAGATATTCGATCTCTCGCTCGACCCGGCCGGCCATGTCTCGGCTGATGAGCTTCTTCCGGGCGATGATCTTGAGGGCAACCTGCTGGTTTGTGCTGCGGTGTACGGCGAGCTTCACCTTACCGAATGAGCCCTCGCCGAGGGTCCTGAGGATGTTGTACTGGCCGATGCGCTGTTCGGTTCGCACCTTATCGGGAAGCGGGGCGGGGATCGAGGAGTGCATGGCGGCATCCATGGAGCGGTGGTTGCCAGCATGGGGATTGCTGTTGTGATTGTTGCGGCGGATCTGAGAGGGAGACAAGGAGATGGAGAGCTCCTCATCATCATACGGTCTCGGCGCCATGGTCGCGGCTGTCTGGATTTGCCTGATCCTGTTGGTGGGTGAGAGGCCAGGAAGGAGAACCGGAGGTGGTGGAGTGGAGTGTGGAGGGGAAGAAGGGTCACCTCACTCATCAGTTATTCAGTGCGGGACAAGGATGTGTGCTGGGCTACGTAACCGCTACAGTTGGGTTGGTCGGGCTTGTCAGGCTCTGTTTTGCCGCCAAGCTTACTGGACAATTTAAATTAAACTGCCTGCTCCACTAGAGCACCCTGGTCAGCGATATCTTCAACTTTCAAGGTTGAAGTTGGAAAACTTACTGCCCCATTTACACTTTTCAGTTTCAAACGATGAACCTCGAAAAAAAGACCGTTTAATTAACTCAACTTCAGACCGAGTGGTGCTCAAGGTGAGACGACAGGCACTAAGGCCGTTAGCCGATCCGTAGGGACATGTCGGCTGTCTAAAGTAGATATATCCTGACCAAAGAAGGCGAGAAAGGAGGCATCTAGTCATAAAGAACTAGTCTTGTGACACTTGATAGTTGATATATCACCACCATGACCACAACAGAGAGCCGAGGGGACAAGATGCAAGCGCTCAAACAGATCCGTGCTTCATGTAGTGTTAGGCTCAGCTTTCAAAAACGAGTTGACCTTTCCTGGGTTAGAAGTCACCGTTTCACGCTTCGCACTACTCGAGGTGCTGTCAATCGCTGTGTCATATTTACTTACTTCTCTCCCTTTCTGGGAATGCATATATCATATACTAGGATCGACTCTAAGTGATTTTGGTAATCTGTCTTCTCCTGACCTTGTCACCGAACCTCCATGCAGCTTGACCATCACCGATGAACTCATGCAGTTCAACAGTTCAAACCCAGTGTTTGACGTCCGATCATTCTCCTCACGTAACGCCCTAAAGAATACTGTTATATCAACGGAAATATTTACTCGGATTGACATCATAGCGTATGAGGGACTGTCCATTGTCTACGACTCCCGGTTTTCCTTTCCAGACATCCTGGTGGTCTCGGGATACAAATTACATTCAACATGTCGCCCAGAAGTATGCACTTGTGTGCAATCTGGAGGAAATTGAGAAGCAAAATGCCGAAAATCTACAAACAAAGTGACGACCAAGAATCTCAACCGACAGACATTACGCAGAATCCATCCCCCAGTAACTCAAGTCTATCACCGGAACCACCCCAACTCTTCAGTCAACCAATTATCACTTCAGGATCCATCATAAGACCAGGATTAATCATAAAGCCGGATCTTGTTTCTGGGTCACATTCTGAAAACCTGGAATACACAGATGGGAAAGGTAGCCATAACGTCTCAGAAACTACTAACGGCAACCTATGGGATCTTGCGCTTGAAAGACTCTCTGGTGTTGATCAGATGCGCATCAAAAATTTACGGAGCAGAAGCACATCGTTAAATAAAGAGATTGATGACGTGTTCAAACTGCTAAAGAGCATGCAAGAGGAGTGCGAAGAAAAGTTTCAAAATATCCCGATATCCGGCCGTCACATCATCCCTCGAGACTATTTGGCCAAGATTTTCCACTGGCTCACGCAGCTGAAGAAGGTCGGCGATGTTGTTGCAAACATTGATCCAGTCCACGCGGCCTTACCATGGGCTGTCGTCCGCTTCATTATACAGGTACTGAGAAACCTACCTTCTTGTGAATAAACTAATCATCATAATCGCAGGTGGCCGTCTCAAATAGGGAGCAAATGGCTGCACTCTTGGCCAACCTCGATATCGTGACACACATCATATCTCTATGCAAAATATACGAGTATCTCTATACACCAGATACCACTAGCAACGAGAGTGCGATCCACTTGAACACAACTCTGATCAAGTTATACGCCGCTATCTTGCAATTCGCGGTTGATTCACACACTCTGTTTACGACAACTGTGATTGATCGCTTAATTGATGCCATAATAAGTCCTGATCGAACATCAGATTCCATGAAAGAGATACAAAGGTTGAGCGGCCTTGTGAGCCAGGCTGCTGATGCGTGCGAAAAGTGTCGCAGAGTGCAGACAGACTCTTTTGTTCAGAGTAGGCTGGATTTACTACAAGGACTGCTTATCAATTGCAAAACTCTGCTAGTCAGAACCGATGAACGAGTTGCCTCGATCCTTGAAGATATGGAGGAAGAGAAACGATTAAAAACTCTTGAATGGATCTCACCAGTTCCGTACACAAAGCATCACAACGATGTTGAGGAGCTACGAACAAGCAATACCTGTCAGTGGCTAACTCAGCGTGAGGTATATAAAATCTGGAATTCCAGCAGCGCGTCTGGTTTCTTCTGGCTACAAGGTCTTCGTAAGTAAATCATCTTGATGGTCTTGGAGATTGGGCAGCTCGAAACTCACTAGAACACAGCTGGTGTAGGCAAAACATTCCTCGCTTCAAGAGTAATCGATGAACTGAGTATACCGTTGAGAAGACTCGGAACTACAAATCAGGAAGGATTCGCTTTCTTTTACTGCAAGCATAACGAAGAGAAACGACGAGATCCTCTTTCGGTGTTACGAAGCCTTTTACGACAGCTTTCGAAGCCTTTCTCTTACGATCAAGCTCTGTTTTCAGGGCTGCATCAGCTGCATAATGTCATGAGAAGCAATGGTTCCGACCTCACCTTCACAATATGCAGTGATTGGCTCCTAAAAATGGTAAACACCTATCCAAAAACAACAATTGTACTAGACGCCCTCGATGAATGCGACGAAGGCAATCGCGCTAAATTGATGAATGCCCTGGATAACCTTATCAAACAATCTCAACGACCGTTGAAGATTTTTATTTCTAGTAGGCCGGATGCAGACATTGAACGTTGGCTTCGAGATCTCCCAAGCATTGCGATGAAAGAACGGGACACCCGACATGATATCTCCATCTACATCGACCAAGAAATTATGAAACATCCGAAGTGGAATACGATGGAAAGCACTTTGCAGGAGGAGATTATCTGGACACTTTCATGCAAAAGCCATGGGATGTGAGACAATATCCTTGACAAACTGGGTATGGTGGCTTACCTTTCATCAGGTTCCAATGGACGTATCTGCAAATCAAACAGCTGTTGGAGTGTGACAGCCCTCAAGGGATTCGAGAGCGTCTTGGAAGGCTTCCAAAGGACCTTGAAGATGCTTATGATGAGATATATGAGAGAATACAGCGTTGCTCTCCCAATATTGAAGTACAATACGCAATTCGAGCCTTTCAATGGGTCATGGCATCTGTGCAACCAACTAGAGGGGAATTTTTACTTCCTGCCATTTGCCAAGATCCTGACCAGAATACGATAAATGCATGCGAAGGTGTCACCAATGAGTTGATCTTGAAAGTATGCCGTCATCTGTTAGTTCTTGATTCGCGGCGACAACTTTGGCGATTTTCTCACCGATCTGTGATCGAGTATTTCGAACGCAAACATTGGGGCAAGACAGAACCGAAACGCAATATCGCAAAAGTCTGTCTAATGTCACTTGTCTCAGCAGTCCCTGAACCGATCTCATCACGGCCAGGTCAAGATTTTGTGGAGGTGCGCCGCATGACTGATAATGACGGAAAATACGAGCTTCTACATAAATACAGCCGTGTAGCCTGGGAATATCACATCAACTCCATACCGGATTATCAGAAGGATCCACGCATTATGTCTCTGCTGCTCACCTTCCTCGGACATCCAAACAATGGCAGTCAGGCATTCCGTTATTGGTACAGTAAAAGTTGGGATGTTCACGATGGCAAGAGCAGTTCCAATGAAAGGTCAGCCATCTGTTTCCCTCATACCCAACAAATATCTCCTATTTCATCACCATTATTTGCAGCGTGTACCTACGGATTTGTCCCCGTGTTACGAAAGTGGTGCGAATATCCCACTCTCGATCTACAGCAAAGAAATAGTCTCGGACAGACACTTTTCGATATTGCCGCGCACATGAAGCGGCGTGACATGTGCGAGTTTCTCATCAAGGAAAGTGGTGTGAACTTTCCGTCCGGACCCGAGACAAGCAAGGCACTTGTATATGCCGTTTCGAGTCGGCTATACTGGCTGATAGATTTGATACTTGAAAATGGCGCAGATCCAAATTTCGAACTTGGGTCGGAACTGAGAAGCCCCCTAGTTGCTGCTATTAAAAACACAGCGTCGTCTTATAGACACAGGGTGTCTCAGACAGACTTTGATATAATCACCACACTCTTAAAACACGGCGCAGATCCCGACCTTCGCCCGTACGGACAAGAGAGTGCTTTAGAAATTGCAATTCGCCAAGACAAAGAGTCAAGTACATGGTTTTCAAACCATGTGGTCAAGATCCTTTCATACAGATTCACAGCTACTCCTGGGCCTCCATCTATGGAAACCATAATTTGTGTGTCGAAGAAAGGGAACTGTTTAGATTATGTTGTCTAAAATGCGAAATTGCGACAATACCGCTTCGGATACTAAGAGAATCCTTTGAACTTCCTCTCTTAAGCATACCATCAATAGCGCAACTTTAAGAGCTTTTATCTTCTTCTTATGGAGCAAAAATAGGAAAGGAAAAAAAAAACGTACAACACCGAGGATTCGCTGGTCGTCACCGACCCAACTACTAGTTCAGCCTTCAGTAGCTTGATTAAGGCAGAGCGGACGGGATGCCATATTTTCTACTGAGTATGGTCGTACGTGGAAGACTGAGTCTTTTGGAGAATTATAATACCGTCACAATCACAATAGGTACTGATGGGGTGAACGATCTATCATATTAAGCAAAACGGGGGGGCTCCACGCCGTCCCCTACTATCATCTGCGAATCATATTGATGATCTCTTGTTCATTGTCAAATACAAGGTAGTGCTTAGAAAGTATTTGAACCAATGACATTAGAGATTTTGATAATATTAATTGAATAGCGAAGGCAGTATTGCTCGAGGACTAACGCAAATTTCGTCGTAGCTATGTGATGAAGTTCACCTCGAAAGATGCTCCTCATGTCTCCAGGGTCGAGGCTGTCCAGAGTGTTCGGATTATCAATTTAACCGACCAAATGATGCATCCAATCAAAATGCGCACTTTCGCTAGGTCTAATCAGATACGGTAAGGTTGCATCATAATGTCATAGTGCAGCAAGGGAGCTTTCCCAGAAAATTTACGCTAAATCATGGATTGCTCGGGTGACGATCAAGACATACGACATCGCCTGTCACAGTCCTGAATGCCAATTCTGCGCTTGCGAGCTTCGAAATCGAGCGAACGTCTTTACTTTCGTCAACTTATTGACCAGAGCATTGTACTGCCATCGAGGACTGCCCCGTGAACGACACTGCAGGCTTACCGGAGTTAGCGGGTTGGAAGCTTCCAGCTGTCCGTCTGTGTCCCGAAATAGACCGATTGCGAACAACGCCGCAGCGAGACATCCGAAGATACGACAGCGACACGGTCCAAACCCCAAAAACCCCTATCGTCCTTCTCTTCTATCCCGACATTATCGGCTTTGGAATGTGTACAAGATGTTGAGGGCTTCTCTCGGAGTTTTTCGCGCCGTCGGAGTGCGACAGGCGGCACCGGCAAGGGCCTCGGCAAGGGCCTCGACGTACAGCACAGCAGGACAGCTATGGAAGCGGCAGATATCACAGAAGAGCGGGTCGGAGTCCACCCCGTGGCGCTTGACTACGACAAGTAGGCAAGCATCCCAAACGGCGTGGCAGCGAATTGGAGGCCACAGCCCGTTCTCGAGAGCTGCACCGAGCAAGACAGCGTTCAGGGGACAGAGGCGCAACTTCCGCTCCTCGAAAGCTCGAAACTCAGAGTCCAAGACCCACGAATCGACGGCGGAGCCTTCATCACTTAGTGCGAGGTTGAAGAAACTATCTAGAGAATATGGCTGGTCGGCGGTGGGCATTTATTTTGCCCTGAGCGTGCTGGACTTTCCCTTTTGTTTCCTGCTTGTACGGACTGTGGGCACAGACAGGATTGGTATGGGCAACAACAACTCCCCTTGCATATGCACGAACTCCCGCTGACACTACGGAACACAGCCGCGGCGGAGCATTTTGTCCTCTCAAATGTCAAGAAGGCCATCCCCACCAGCGTCCAGGATAAGTGGCATGAATACCGTGCCGCGCTAAAGCAGGCAGAGTTGGAAAACCTCGGGGATAATGAGGTCAGTAGGGACATGGAGATGGCCGGCTGGGGTGTCAAGGAGGCGGAAGAGGCCAATCAGACAGAAGCTAGTAAGTCTGACAATGATAACCTTTCGAGCTGGCGCGTCGAGTGGACTAACAGACACGGCACAGGTCTTGCTACGCAGCTCGCGCTGGCATACGCCATCCACAAGAGCTTCATCTTCGTACGAGTGCCCCTTACAGCTGCAGTAACCCCTAAAGTAGTCAAAGTTCTCAGGGGCTGGGGATGGCAGATCGGCAAAAGGACCAAGAAATAAGCTTCACGAACATAGCGTTTTTTTCCATACGCCAGGGTTAGTTACTCCATATAGATGCATAGGTGGAATGGCGCAAGGGCTGGTTAGACAAGGGGGGGGCGGCTGTCTAAATTCAGGGTTCTTCACGACTCAAAGTGTAATTAAACAGTGTATAATATGTTGGATCATGGATCACATCATCCCACTTTGAAAACAGCGGAATTATTCCCTGGCCGTCCGCCGACATTCGGGCGAGACGTCCCATGTCAAAATCCCTCAATATAAACTCAAAAGAGGTTTCATGAGAAGTTCAGTCGTTGGCAGACGCTAAGCTAAGCAGGCTTCGGTCTCGGTCTAGAAATAGGGGTAAAGAAACCGTTGAAAGATCGTCACCCATGATCTGCTTCTTAGCGCGGCAGGACTCGACTTGACCGTTGAACTTTAGCAGAAGTTTGACGGGAGATGAGGTCTGAATCAGAGTGCCGGAGAGTCGATAATTTCTTGGGGGCTTGCGTAGCGGCAAGGCGATGGCTTATGATGGCTTGCGATTGCTGACGAGTTCTGGACCATCCCCTGTTGTGCCGCAGACTGACCACAACAACGTCAAAGAGTCCGGAGCAGTAGCTGAAAGAAGTAAGCGAGACGGGCCCGCAAAGATCACGAACCGCCGTGCCTTCGGTCGCAGGTGGCCCCGTCTTTGCAGGGCGTCCAACAAAGGGTTGGAGTTTGGGTTCACCCTGTGACGAGCCGGGTCCAAGCATCCAACGGACTCGAAATAAAGTTCAGGCTAGGGCGAGCCGGCAATGTCGCAACCCTGCGAGCCTGGCTGTCGGACCCGCGACATCACAGCCTAACGCACGCCGGTTCACACAGTCGGCGTTTGGGAGCCACTCATAGATAGTAGAAAGCCCAAAGTTAATGGCCTTGGCGAAGCCTATTGGGAGATCGAGGGCGCCGACAGTTGGGTTCCGGCGTTGCAAGGGCGCGGGCTAGCAGTTGGGACTACGTGGGCTACGTGGGACTATTGCTTCAGCGAGTGCTGATCACAGCTGGGGCCAAGCGAGAAGTTGTCGTCAGCCTCGTTTAAAGTTTTCAACAACCGCGTTTCATTTCCGAACATCACTTTGGCCATCAGGTTTCTGAGTTTCTCCCAGGCGCAGGTTGGTGCACAGCCTGCCTCAGTGACAGCATCCCGTGCTCTGTCTGCGTCGTATTGCCCAGGTCGGACGACACAATGCCCATTTTGGGCATGTGGAGACCGTCATTGGCAGTCCGATGGCAGTACCACTGACTCGTTTGCTCACTCACAGGTCAGAGGTTTTTTTCCTTTGACCCCATCATCCACAGTTCGGAGAGCCATGTGGAAGCCACACCGATCAAACCTTGGGCCGAAACTTTGTTTTATATGGTAGACCTGCCCAGCTTACGTGGGCCAGAGTTTGGGCCCCCCGAAGGAGCAACTCACGCCATATTGAAACCTTAACAGTCAGTAGACCGGCCGACTCTGCCGTCAGGTCGCCGTTTCAGATCCCCGGTGTATCCGTACAGCTGGGTCAATCGAGGCGTCACTGTGTCAGTTGCTTTCTCCATCTGGTGGTCAGCGCCGGTCGAATGACTTGGCCGTGGGATCTTGAAAGTGTATCCAAAGCCAGATGAAAGAAGAGGTGTGTGTGTGTGTGTGTGTGCGTGCGCGAGATGTGATCGACAGAACACGGTACATTCCGACGTGAAAAATCAGAAACAATAAAAAAAATATAAAAAAAATATCGCAGCAGATCTCTCTGAAACTACCCTGCACTACGGTAGCAGCTGCGTCTGTTGTGCATTAGAAGCATTGTCAAAGTTAAGACGGTCGTCTGCAGCCTCGACACTTGTGCTGAAAGGGGCAGTCAAGATTCAGGGGTCATCCTACCGGTGTGCTGGATGAGACTGCATAGCATCCCGCCAGGCGGGGCATTACAAGGGCCTTCCTGGCGGGGGCGGGGTGCGGGCCCACTGTGACTTGCATGACATCTGCGAGGCTGCGATGGGCCCCGCGGACCCGGGCATGTCTGTATGTACTAAGATATGCAGTATGTACAGCACGGTGCTGTAGGCAGACTGCCAGCGACCTGTATGCCACCCTCCCAGTAAGCTGTCAAAAAAGGCCAGATCTAAGCTTTGAGCTATTGCCGGTCACTGCTGTGGGAGGGCATGTCGCGTGCTCCATTTTCGTATAGGATGCAAGGATCTGGGCACACACGGACACGGGTCGGCAGTATGGACCCGATAGAACGATCATCGGCATGGATACGCAGCCTGTCTCACAGCACGGAAGCAAAGATGATTCGCAGCTGCCAGGAGCCAACATGGCTTGACAACAGCTTGCATTCTCCTGCAGGAAGCTCGATCTAAAAGTCAAAGTTTTGAGATGGATCAGGGGGCCTGTGGGGCCATGTGATATTAGAGTACTTCGTGGCAGGCAGGGAGAGGGCGAGGGGAGAAATACCGAGAGACAGACAGAGAGAGGACAGCGAGGTGGCAGTCGCGCCATCAAAGCCACGGCGGCAGGGATCTCAGATGACTCGCCAGAACGCCAGCCGGCCGTCGCCTGGACTCCGAGGACCCGAGATACTGGATAGAACGCTGGTGTGGCTGGAATTACCGGCGGTTCATCCCTTCCAAGCAAGCGGCTAGACGGTACGTACGTGGCTTTGCACCACCACAACCCGGCGACGGCGCTCTCCAGCTGGATGGAAAGTTATCCTCTAGCCGCGCGAGGTGTCCACAAAAGACCACCAAAGACAAACCAAGGCAACTCGCCCGGGCCCAGCACACAATTCTCCGCAACTCCCGCTAAGAGGCCTTTGCGCTGCCAGACGCACATGGCAGAGGATCCCAGAGGAGCCCCGAGGATCCTCCCTGGCGACTTGCTTCAGTCTATCTATCACCCGGTCCCATAGGCTACGAATCGAGTACCCGCTTGGGCTTCTCTTGCTGCTTCTAGCACCGAACCCTCGTCGTGCCCCATCGATCGTTGACCATTCAGGAGTATAATCCGGTACGATCAGTTGCCACAGAGTCATCAACTCACCTGAAATGTCCCCACGATGTGCCATGTGGTCACTGACCGAGTCGTTCATCTATAGGGCAGAAAAAGTATGTAAAGGCATGTCTCGCTGTAGAGTCGTCATAGCAGCTTATTTCCGGGAGATACGCACTGTAAATCCGGGCATGCCAAGATAGAAACACATAGCAAAGGGCAATACAAAACAGCGTTTTGGGGGATGTGTCTGAAAGGAAAGTCAGTGTCTCGAGCCTCCGAACTAAATTGGAAACTTCTCCGGTCGGTTTTGCGTCACGGAATTCCTAAGCCGCGCCGGTCGCGATTCATAGGCGGTAGGGGCTCACGCCATTTACGAGTCGCCGGGCGGCGGCTTCGAGAACCATCAACTTACTAATCCCAGTGTAGAATTAAGCTTCGACTTGTTGATGTGAATAGGCAAGGGGTGGCCCCTTTGCATTCAATAATTCCTATAAGACCGCACGCCCGTGTCTTCCCCCCCTGGTCGGATCAGCCTCCTCTCTTCTGCCCCTATACTGTAACCAGTACTGCGTATTATACCAAGCAGAAACTAAGAAAGACCAGGCCGGTGCCCTAAGCAAGGATCAATTTCGCACTGACAATCAACCTATTCGTTTTGTGTGTGCTTGCAGCTCCTCCTATTCTATTTTTGTTGCAGCTTCTGCAGCCAGCCTGTATAACGAACCCGCTGTAGTGAACAGACCGGCCGCCCGTGTGTGTAGCACCGGACCCCCTTATTGCCATCCTCATATACCTTGATCGGGTCTCCGAAGGCATTTTCCATTCCAACAATGCTTTCTCTTCACCCTCAACCTCACCAGAACGCCCAGTACCTGCACTATCACCACCTGTACTCGAGGCCAACGACAGGCATTACCCTCCCACCTGCAGTCAACATGAGTGTCGGACAGAGCAGCAACAACCTGTCGAACAACGCCGCGGCGGACGCCACCGTCAAGCAGGCTCTCGAGATTGCTCGAGAGAGCCCGGACGGGGCGTCAGACCCGACCATCAGCAGCATTCTCGACGCGGCTCTCAACAAGACCTGGAGCAAGGTGCTCGCCCAGCCGGACACCTATGTCATGTCGCCGGACGAGTTTGCCGTCTTCAACTTCTTCCAGCATCGGTTCGTCGGGAATAAGATGGCCGTCGCCGCACGAAAGCGATACTGGGACAACACAAAGGCTTAAATCTCCGCATTGCCACCGCGGGAGCGGAACGAACCCTACCCTTCCTTAGAGGACCTAAATCACCCTTTCCGCCATCCATCCTCACGCTTATGCATCAAGAGTCGTCCCGCATGTCCATGTGCTTGTAGTCAATGCAAGCCGCCGCGGATCACTGGTGGGAAAAAGACCAGGCGCATCATCACGACATGGAGGCTCAACTCGGATCTGTTTTCTCTATCTGGCAGGAGATATCACAGAAGTTGACGATCTCATGGCTATTCCATCAAGAATGGTGCTTGTTAGTCTAAAGAGGTCTGGACGCGGAAACTGGATTGCCAGGCCCTGCTCTCGACAATAGCAGGCCTACCCATGTCACACTTCCAAGTCCCATGGTCCAGGCTGTCTGAGACCCCCAAGTCTCGACAATTATTGCCGGCTCGGCTCACACGACACAAATAAAACATATCTTATCCGGATCAGCCTTTGCCGATATCATCTGCGTCGGATCCAAACAGAGCTCGGGAATCGTGCTCTTGGTCCTACCCTGTTCTGCCTGCAGGCCAATCCGCGAGGACACTCGGACAATTGCATTGTGCTATTAAGCTCAATCGAGACGAGAAGCAGAAAAAGGCTAGAAGCAATCACAACCCCTCTGTACCTGTATTCTCTTGTGGTGCAGTACAGAACCCCTGGCGGTAAAGCCCAGAGCAGAGGAGGGCAAGCAGGGGCCGCGAGCTCGCCCACTTCGCTTGCCGTGCTTCTCCACTTTACTGACGTTCTCCGATGATGCCCCAAATCCTACCTTCCACAATCGAGCTTCCCGTCTTGTCCTCGCTCTGCTGGATGGAGCAACATTTTAGGACAATCATCCAGATTGTTTATCTTGGAAGTGCATTACCATTGGCGCACCCTTTAGAGGAGCTCTAGGGGGGTTTGTTCGCCGGGCTTCTGCTTCAATCACTTGTATATAGTCCGCCAAGGCGTCCTCGTCGATCTTTCTCTGGTCGCTCTTCTCATCGGTCGCTTCGTTGTCGTCGCATCTCAATTGGCTTTGGAGAATAATTCTGCCACGAGAAGCTTGGCGGGGCCTCACAAGCTTTCACCCCTCGTTCCACGATCTCGCGATAGTCAGGAGCTGCTGTGACCGGATCTCCTTTGGAGGCATTTCAGATCATGGCAGCACCGGATTTGGAGAAGACATTGCCTGCCTTCAAGGCCGAAGACAAACAGGATCCTGTCAATGAGAGGCACAGTCGGCGGCGATCTCATGTCGCGCTCTACCTCTTCATTGCAATTCTAGGACTGCTTGTCTTCGCCACTCGCACCCTCTGCCAGCAATGGCAATCAGTGCCTGTGGCTGCGCCTGTTCAGTACGGTATGCTTCGCGAAGGAGCGGGTTTAGTCGTTCCAGATGACAATTACCAGCCCGATGGCCTAACACCCGAAGCTACTGAGGATGGCACACTGTCACTGAAGCGACAAGCCTCGACCGCGTCCACACCGGCACCTTCTGCGACCGTCCTGGAATGCTTCCAGGTCGCGCAGCCGGTTCTGACGCCTCATGGCGCCTCGTACCAGTCCACCAACAGTGATGGCTCGACGGTCGTGGTAGACGCACCCGACTCAGAGGCGAGGAAGGGCTCTTGCACCGTTTTGCTAATGGAGCATGTGTTTGCATGGAGTTATGGCATGCCCTTTATTGGTAAGGTCTTGTCAGCCTTGAACATGTCTATAGAAGATCCCCTAATCGGGACGTCAATATTAGGAAATTATACCCCGCCAAGTTGCGAGTTCAATAGAGTTGTCATGAATTTCACCGTTGTCTCCCAAGGCCGACAGTTTGACCGCTTAGCTCTGATGTATATGGGTGATACCGAGGTCTGGCGGACGTCAACGGCCGAGCCCACGCAGCCGCCTGGCATCCGCTGGGTCTACATGAAAGATATGACCGAGTATCTCTACTTCTGGAAGCAGCCCCAGAAGATCATCTTTGACTTGGGTAACCTGATTGACGACAAGTACACTGGCTCTTTCAACACCACTCTCACGGCGACCTTCTTCAAGGCTGATGTTGACACTGGTGCGGCTCCTCCAAGTGACCTAATCATTCCAATCTCTGCTCGGAAAGGTTCCGCCGACGCCGTGAGCCAGTTCACCTTGCCCCAGGACAATGCTACAAACACAATCAGCTTTCCTCAGAACGCGAATAGAGCTGTCTTCTCCGTCTCAGCGAATGGACAAGCAAGCGAAGAATTCTGGTGGAGTAATGTCCTCCAGAGCGATGTCTACGCCTTCAACTCCACGGCTGGGGCTTTCCCGGGCTACAGCCCCTTCCGCGAGGTGCAGGTGTTTATAGATGGACAACTGGCGGGCGTCCAATGGCCATTCCCGGTTATCTTCACCGGTGGTGTCGTCCCCTCACTTCATAGGCCGATTGTGGGCATCGATGCTTTTGACCTCCGAGAACACGAAATTGACATCACTGCGTGGCTGCCTTACCTGTCTGACGGCGCGGAGCATACCTTCTCCATCAATGTTGTAGGATTGGATGATGATGGCTCGACTGGTGCTGCCATCACTAGCCCTGTTGGAAGTAGCTGGTATGTGACCGGGAAGATTTTCGTTTGGCTCGATGACGAAGACTCCGTAACAACGGGAGACGTGCCAACGATCCAAGCCTCAGCCCCGGCCATCACCGTATCGCAATCGGCGACCCAGAACTCAACGGGTGCTAATGAGACTCTTACGTATGATACAGCTGTTCAGCGCACATTCTCGGTCAGCGCCAAGGTGGTGTCCCAAAAGTCATCCGAGGTAGTCTCATGGTCTCAAACACTCTCATATTCAAACAAGGGCTACGTCTCGGCCTTTGGCTACGACCAGATCAACGACTTCCTCATCAGCGGCAGCGACGTGCTCTCCGGGCCCGTCACCTACAAGACGAACTACAAGTATCCGCTCTGGTGCAACTCGTCCTACTCGCAGACCGAGCAGGGCAACCTGACGATCCACGCGCGCCTCATCCAGGGCCTGGACCTACAAGTGCAGGGCGCCGCCGTCTTCCCCACGGGCCTCGAGGCCTTCGCCGCCGGCGTGCGGCGGACGGCCGGCCGCAAGTTCAAGGGCGGCTCGCTGCTGAGCACGAGCCGCGACGGCACCGCGGCCTTCTTCCAGACGGGCGACGGCAAGAACAGCTCCGGCTACGGGACGACGAACCAGGTGTTCCACTTCGGGGGCGTCAGCGGCGCGGGCGCACTCGGCAGCGCCCTGGACGTGGAGCTCTACTTCCGCAACGTGACGGCGGTCAATGGCACGGTCGTCTACGACGACGAGAAGGTCGCCGATGTCCACACGGCTGGATACCATGGGAAGACGGGCCCGGCGATGGGCAACTTCAGGGGCTTGTATGCGCAGGCGCCTGTTGATGGACAGGGCCCGAGGGCGTTCATGGGCAGACAGGACGCAATAGGGGACCAGTAATGTTTACAGCAAGTAGGCACTTTCAATCATAGTCGTTAGTATAGTAAATTATAGACATCAATCGAGACATGATTATCGACGGGCCCAGCGGATACGTGCTGAAGATGAGTATCCAACAACAGCTCCGCGGTACGATTCGTCTTGTGAGTCTAGCCTTTCCGATTCGAAGGGATAGGCCGGTCGGAGCTGAGGCTCGGCTGAAGTACGGCTGCAGCGGATATCAAGGTTTACTGCTTGCTTTAGTGCGAGTCCACGGTCACTGCAGGGAGAGGCAACCAGCAAAACTCAAAGCCGTCATGAAACTCTGGACCGTAGTCGTAGTGACGAATCAGACCATCGCTGAATCAAGCAGTTAGTTTGAGGATGCTTCTGAGAAGACAATGGAGTACCGGTAGGTAGGTACTGAGCCAACAATATTGTTGGGAGCACCGCGTCAGCGTCGAGTAGTTACCCAAACAAGGCGAGGCTGTGCAACGACTCTTCACTTGTCGCGATTGGCCTGTAGGAGAGCGCTGTTACAAGATGAGACGAGGTTGCTGAGGCAGCCCGCTGTTCAGTTGAATCCTCGAAGCATTGAGCAATCGGAAGCCTCGGACACAAGCTGGAGAGGTGCGCGGTGTAGCATGTAGCCTGTAGCATGGGCACCACGGCGACACGCGGCTCTAGAACTCGAGGCCGAGAGACTGGTCTTGATATACCGGCGCAGTCTCGACGGCCCAGCGACCTGATGGCGGTGCATGCTTGATAGGCCGCGAGGCGTCGGCGATGCGGCAATGCGAAGCAGCACGCGCCCATGTTTCAGGACGCACGGCGATGCAGGCACTTACAGGTGCCGCAAGGGCCACAGCACGGTACCTACTGCGTAGTACGGCTTGGGGGGCATTGGTAGGGTGTTGCCCCGCCAAGAGCCAAGGATTTCGTGCATGGGATTCTCTTTTTGGGCGGGCGATTGGCGGGTCAACCACAGCGATCCTGGACCGTCCATCGAATCGCCTTGGGGGGCAACCACTCGAGGAAACGGCATTGTACAGTGGCATGCGCCAGTACTTCCTCCCTCGCATCGCATCGCATCTCATCGCACACTGGCACAGCAATGGGTAACGTTAACGTGCTGGTTCAGAACAATGGCTTTGGATCGCGCTGTAGACTCGTAATTAGGTCAGGTACTTTGAGCTCCCGGAGCAGAATGATCACGAGAACCGAAAAGCTAGAGGTCTGTCGCGAAATGCTCCGGAGCGGGAGAGGCTGTCATGACTGCTTCCGGCGCGCGTCATAGAAGATTCCAGTGCGGTAACCTTACAATAGGTACCTACAAGCTCACTACCTAGCGAGCCTACCTAGGTAGGTAGGATGCAGTGGTGATGCAGTGGTGTGGTGTGCTATTCCCGAGTACCTTTTGCGCTGCAGTACCTGGGAGGTACCCACCGGCCGCACGTCATAGGGTCCCACCAAGTGCCGAGAACAGCAGCTTTTCGCAAGCATCATCGACTGACACTCGAAGGCTCTGCTATACCTGCTATTAACTGGCATCCACCACCCTGGCAGGCCTCAATAAATCTCACCCGCTCCCTCCAATAAACAAGACACTGACCCCTTCATACCCGTTGATTCGCATCTCACCACTGCTCTCATCTCTCCATCTCTCTCCGTCTCAGGCAAGGCTTCGACAGCTTATTGCTCTCTACATCATCATCTCCAGCTACCAAAACATCGCATAACAGCTTAACAAAACTCCCACCTCTGAAACTATTTTCAATCGCACACTTTACCTACAGTAGATCGCATCAGTAGACTCCATCACGATACAATGGAGTTGATCCCAGCCATCTTGCGCCTGCTCCAGCTCCTCTGGACGCTGCTCGTCACAGCCCTCATCGGCAATGTCATCGCATCCAACATCAACGGCCATGAGGCCGCCATCAACTTCTCCATGTTCGTCGCCGTGCTGTCGTGGCTCGCCGTGCTCTACGGCCTCGTCGCCACCTTCGTCGAGAGCATCGCCATCCCCGTCGCGCTGATGGCCCTCGACGGCGCCGCCACCCTCTTCACCTTCATCGCCGGCGTCGTCCTCGCCGCCAAGCTCAAGGCCACCAACTGCGGCGGCGACCTCGACGAGAAGAAGCTCGGCTCCGGCTGGATCGGCTTCGGCTCCGCCAACGACGAGAAGCGCTGCCGCGAGATCCAGGCCAGCACCGTCTTCTTCTGGTTCCTGTTCGCGACCTTCATCGCCGGGATCTTCTTCACCTTCATGGGCTTCCGCCGCACCGGTGGCTCCATCCGCTCCAGCGGCCCGCATATGTCGCAGGTCCGCGTCTAGGGTGGCAAATGTGATCGCTATCGCTAGGTATCGAGTAGAGATGGCAAAATGGATTACCACGAAGGAGAAAAATCAGTCAGGTACTGAACGGATGTCACGGATTGGCCAAGAAGCCTTTCTAGCACACTACTCGCCTACATCGTGAGTGGTTGCGATACGGATGGGGTTAGGCTGGAATTAATGGGAAGGTTGAGGCTCCAGCGTCGTTTGGCTAGGCTGACGTTATTACACTAATAATGCTGTCTATGGGTATATGATTCGAGCTTTGGTTTTCACACGGCGAATTGGGGGTCTATGGTTACGCTGTACTCGATATAGATATGTACCTTACGAAATGTACTTATGAAGGCTCTTCCGAGAGAGGCTGACAGCCTTTACTGTCAGCCAGCTCTCGGTGCTATAAAGCCGTGAATACACGTGAATTGCCACAGACTTCTGATACTGTGCTCTTTGGAATGTTTTGTGTCGATGTAAATATAATATAGAGTGGCAGTAGAGACAAGGACTTTTTCCATGCGTCAATATGACCTTTATTTGTGGTCCTTCTATAAGACACATATCTCTAGTCCGTAACGCCGATTTTCCAGGCAGCGCCACTCCTTCTGGGACGTTGCGCCTGAGATTGATATGATATTCTGAAGAGCCTAGGACGTCCCACTTCCGTGACAATATCTCTTCGCTGTTCTGTCCTTTGATGTACCGCTCTAAGGGCAGAAACGTCGGCCGCCCATTGATTTCGTATGTACAATATCGTACTGCATTTTTTCTCCTCATTCGTCCGGTATCCTCATAAAGTGGAGGCAGCTTCGACCGCTCCTGCTATTTTGAACGTCTTCTTGCTCGTCCATGAAATCTCGACGTTGTGTGTCCACTCCATGTATCGTGCCCAGCCTGTTGTCATTCATCATCAGTATTGACACCTGTGGGCGAGAGCAAGCTTTCAAATAAACGTACTCCAATAGGCAAACTTCCGCCCAAAGTATTTCCCGGCGAAGGGTATTATCACCATTGTCAGCAGGAGCTGTAGTTGCTCTAAGCTGGCTTCCCATTCTCTCTGTGCGTCGGAGTCGGCCTCGGAGCTTAGGGCGTCGGTCGAAATGGATGGTAGGGAGTCGACATCATCGTGATCATCAGAGGCAGAGACGTCGGCGTACGACTCGGCGGTGAACAGGTGGGACATCGTGGCTGATTGGGATTGTTGAGGGACTAGTACATTGATCGTGACAGGCAAGGAGGCGAAACAGCTGCTCGAGCTGTTCTTTGATCCGGGGAGGTGCCTAGTTCCTCCGAAGGCAGACAGACGGATTCGGGGGGTCAATTCAGCCTGAGGACAGACGATGTAGAGACGGTTCTTCAAGTCCGCAATGCCTTAATCCTCAAACTTAGCCACCCGCAACCACGACGATGTCAACGAAATAGTACGGGTAACTTGGAGCCGCGGGCTGCTGGGAAGCTCGACTCAATTCGGATTAGCGGCCGAGTGGGTGAGGGAGAAGAAGTCGGTTTCACGTTGCAATATTCGACTGTGATTGGGCAGGGTTTGTTCCGACTGGGAAAGAGTCACGGTCAGGTGACCTGGCTGGTTTGACTCACTGCTCCTCCTTACAGTGGACGTCATGGGTTAATCGAGCGCAACTATCTCTTTCCCTTCCCTTCTCCTCATCTCATAATCCAAGGCCTCGCCGATCGCCAAATTAAATTCCTGACACTCGTCCAGAAGTCGCACCGTCGATCTGAACAGCCCGACGACCAAGGAAATCGCGACTTTTGCGCCTGTGACACCGGGAGACACAGACGAGCCAGCCAGGATGGAGGCCGAAGTAAGTAGTTTGGTAGTGAGCATGCACAATTAGCCCTCTCTCGGCCCCTCATCAAAAACTCGCCAAAATTCCACCATACACCCGCCCCTCCAACTCTGGCACGTTCACACCCCACTAGTCTTGCCACGAGCCCGTTTTCTTTAGACAATTTATTCAGCCTCGAGTCACATCTCAGCCGACTTTGCCTGAGGCCCATTCGTCTTCAGGACATACTTCTCTTTTCTACTTGTGTTTCATCGAGATACTAATTTCTTAGGAACCCCAAGCCCGAAAAGCCCGCAAGTCGGTAGCATTCACCGAAGAGAAGTTGGTTGTGGACGCAGACGGTAGCGTGACCATGATCGCCTCCCCCAACGAAGAGAAGGACACCGCGCTGTCCCACACGCCTCGTACGCCGCCTCTCACCGCCGCGCTGGGTGCTTTTACTGATCCCGCGCAAGCACCTGTTGACAGCACGGATGGCCCTGCTGACGGCGCACCGGCCGAAGACGGCGGTCTCGACCTGTCGCTGATGAAGAAGAAAAAGAAGAAGGCCAAGGATGCCGACGCCGCCGCCGACGAGGCCCCCGCGGGCGAGGATGGTGGCCTGGACCTGAGCATGAAGAAAAAGAAGAAGAAGAAGGCCCCGAAGGAGGGTGATGACGACTTCGCTGCCAAGCTGGCGGCTCTGGATCTCGAGGGCAAGGAGGGTGAGGCAGCCCCTGCGGACGAGGAAGTGCAGGAGGGAGATATGGAGAAGGGTACCGGCATCTGGGAGCATAACAACACGACATCGATCAGCTACGACCTACTGCTCGAGCGTTTCTTCAGCCTTCTTGCACAAAAGAACCCCGACCATGCCTCTGGCTCGCGAAGCTACAAGATCCCGCCCCCCCAGTGCATGCGTGAAGGCAACAAGAAGACCATCTTTGCAAATATCGCCGAGATTGCTGCAAGAATGAAGCGATCTGACGAGCACGTTACGGCATATCTCTTTGCTGAGTTGGGTACCAGCGGTTCAGTCGATGGTAGCAGGCGTCTTGTCATCAAGGGTCGTTTCCAGCAGAAACAGATTGGTATGTTGAACTATCATTCTTCATTGGCGTGTAGCGGTGTACTAACCTAGCTTAGAAAACGTTCTCCGGAAATACATCATCGAATATGTGACGTGCCGAACTTGCAGAAGCCCTGACACTGAGCTGCAACGAGGAGAGAACAGGTTGTACTTCATCCAGTGCAATTCTTGCGGCTCTCGACGATCCGTCACGGCGATCAAGTCTGGTTTCTCTGCCCAAATTGGCAAGAGAAAGAAGATGCTCAAGTGATTTTAGCGCTAGCCATCAGGATTACAACGGAAATCTAAGCGGGCACAATTCAGGTCGGCTTGCTCAAGGGAAAAGAAGCCTTTACGAAGGTCGCATGATTTCTCACACAATGGCGTATCTCCCCGTTAGCTCGCTCAACAACACGGCCAGGTTAGGATTATGTAGCATGATGGTACATAGATCAATGATGAACTGGTCTGCATGAAGTCTCGATTCCGTTTAGCGTTGTAAGCTCTCTGCAGATGCTAGGGGTTTCAAGTCCGTCCTAATTGCCAAGTGAACCACATATGGGGTCAAGATAGCCAGATAGGTTCCTCCTCTCAATGCTCCACGAATCCCACATCACCTACCCCACTCACGCTCAGTGACGGATGGGCCGATACGGAGCCTCGCAACGACCTTCCTTAACGATGGACCACTCGGCATCTCATCCAACTGATTCCTCTGGGCTTATGAGCTTGTATATGATATAAATTCTAGAGCCTGCACTATAGAATATCTCATCTGCTGACGGATTTGGCTTATAAACCTTCAGTCCTTATCTCTCCTTATTGTACCTGATCAATCCATCACCGTGAACATGACTGCCGAGTCCGCGGCACCGGTCGTCTCTGGCCTGCCAACCGAGAAATCATCCAAATCTTACTGGCACAAGGAGCCATCTGAGAAGCTCCTTGGACACCGCACGACACCGGAATTGCCAAACAAAGCAGATGTAGTCATTGTGGGCAGCGGCATGACAGGCGCCTGGGCTGCACACTTCTTGAAGCACGGCAAAGCCAAGGACCAAAGTGTTGTGATGCTTGAGGCAAGGGAAGCTTGCTGGGGAGCCACTGGTCGCGTGAGTTCTTTCATGGTCTATCGTTTTATGCTGTCCAATTCCTAGACTCGTAGTATGTGAAACTTCACTATCCTTCCAGCACAAGGACAAATACTCAAGTGAGGATATAACGATATCTGTATTCTACGATCCGTCGACACCCCTCTTACGTATTGCTGTGTACTACGACAAGAGATGGAGATCTTTGACTAAAACAATGTTACAGAATGGTGGTCACTGCCAACCGTTTCTCTACGCCGCAACCCCTGAAGTTGCCAACTTTGAACTGGAGACATACAACTTCCTCCGCAACTTTGTGGAGGAGCACAATGTGGACTGTTCGTGGAGGACCTTGTCGGGTGTTCATGTTGCAATCACCCAGAATCTATGGGAGATCGGCGTCGGAGCGATCGGCTTCCTCGAGAAGCATGCGCCGGACCTGGCATCTAAGCTCACCCTGATTTTCCCCGAAACAGGCAGTTCCAACAAAGACGACTGGTGCAAGGACTTCACCCTAGAGAATCTGAGGGTACCAAACGCCAAAGGTGCAATCGTGCAGCGCTATGCAGCGTCCATGTGGCCCTACAAGCTTGTCTTCTGGGTCCTCGAGAACCTGCTCAAGGAGTCCCCTGCCCCGAGCTTCAACATCCAGACCACCACGCCCGTGACGGCCGTCAGCCGGCAGTCGGGAGACGAAGCGTACCCCTGGACGGTCGAGACGCCCCGTGGCAAGATCGCGGCGCGTACCGTTCTGCTCGCTACCAACGGCTACACCTCGCACTTGCTCCCTGCCTTCGCAGACCTCATCGTACCTGTCAGGGCACAGATCGGTGCGCTCCTGCCGCCAGACCCACCAGTCGGGCTCAGTCACAGCTATGTGTTCATGGGTGAGACCCGCGATCCAGAGACGGGCAAGCCAGACACGCGAGACGAGTACATGGTGCAGCGGCCGCTGCCGACGGGCGAGCTCATCTTCGGCGGCGGACGCAACCGCGCCGAGGGCAAGGCCGTCGGGGAGTGGCGGGACGACGTGGTGGAGGAGAAGGTGGCCTCGTTCCTGCGGAGCGAGCTCGAGCCGGTGCTCAACCTGCGGACGGTCGGGGAGGCGCACGACGTTGCAGGACATGAGCTCAAGGCGTCGTTCGAGTGGACGGGCATCATGGGCTACAGCCTCGACCACACGCCGTGGGTAGGGCCTGTGCCCGAGAGTCTTGGAGGAGGCGATGGCTTGTTTGTGTGCGCTGGATATACAGGTCATGGAATGCCGCATGCAGCACTGTGTGGACGAGGAGCGGCTTATATGATTATGGGCGAGAAGACGGAAGGGAAGGGGAGCAGCGGGTATGGAATCCCTGAGACGTTCCTCGTGACGGAGGAGAGAGTATCCAAAGCCAGGGAGGCCTTCGGTAGCGTCAAGAAGTGCGATGATATGGGACTAGAGGCTTTCTTTGTGGCACTGGATGTTTTAGGTCAGGGAGGAATGAACCCTGAGGCAAGTGGATGAGGTGAAATAGTGAAAGTGATGTATCTGTGGCCAACTTAAAATAGAGAGATTATCACGCAAGCAGAAATCAGTTACAAATCTTCAACTGATTACCACTAACAACGTGTACCTCAGGGATCTACGACTGTCATTCAAGTAGAAATCAATGTTGTTTAAAGCATCGATGTGTTGCTTGTCGACTCCGCTATCAGCTTTTGCTATGGAGATGAAATATCCATACAATTGAGTGCAACTAATCCCGGGTATCTCTGATCCACATTCAACAACACAGCTAGCCCAACTTTAAGCACTTCCGCACTGCCATAAGCAGACCCCTCGCCCTGACATTTAGAGGACTTCTCTGTCTCGTTGAAGTTGAACACCACTTGAGACTCCTTTCTCAGAATCGTTGAGTGGGCCCTCACTATCATCCTTCACGATCATGCCATTCGCAATGTGTGCGCGAGTCCGTGGGCCGGTGTAGTATTTGCGGCCCGCGATGAACCAATAGACAAGAGCGACGAGCAGAACGAAGACCAGGATGACGACAGCGTAGTTCATCTAAGATGGAAGCGTTAGCATCAAATGAGACGACAAATCCAGAGACCCAGTTGTGAAAATCTTACATTGTCAGCTGCAACAGGCATGACCGTCGGGAACAAGAAGATGACGCTGACAAACGCCGTCCAGCAACATGCCCAGATATTAACAAACTTGCTCGCTTTGCCGAGATGCCAAGGCCCCCTCTCAAACTTGTTGAAGCAAAGCTTGCAGATGATGGGGATGCAGTAGGACCAATCGAGCGCAATGGCGCAGAGGTTGAAGATGGCAGCGATGGTGATGTAGCTTCCCAGTCCAATCAGGTTGATCAGAATGCAGATGACAGTGTACAGCCAGACGGCTAGCACCGGGGTGTCCGTCTTCTTCCAGATCTTGTACCAGACGCGAGATCCGGGCAGTAGCTCGTCTCGAGCAAAAGCCCAGATTGTCCGCGAACCGGCCTGAAGCGCAGTAATGCATACAAAGTTCATAATCAAGAACGCTGCCACGGCGAAGAAGATGGCGGGTCCTTTGCCCATGACATTGTAGTAAAGCTGAACGACCTGTGTTTTGCACAATTAGTAAGGAGTGTCTGTCTTGAGGCCGGTGACGAAACGTACGGGTTGGCCAATGTCGCTGGCCAGGATAACTGCCGGATCACCCATGCAGAACACGAGAACGATGTTGAAGAGCCATCCGACAACATATGTGAAGGTCAGGGCGGATGCAATAGCCTTGGGAACAATCCGAGCTGGGTCTTTTGCTTCTTCGGCGATATGTGCTGTTGCGTCGTAATCCGTCATCGTCCAAGCACTGAGATAGATGTTAGCATTGGTTTCAGAAAGCATGCTAACGAAACCCTCAATTCAGGGATCTCTCAACCGAATCTCTATGAATAAAATCCGCGATATGCGAGTCACTTACACGCTCAAAAAGCCGAACAAGAAGCTGAAACCCGGTGGTGTCCAGCCGCTGGTTGGCTCAACGTTGGTGAAGGCGTATGATGCAGTATGCTTGTCTTTCTGCATGACCAGAAGAGTGATACAGCAAGCAAGAAGCACCGCTATGTGGAAGACGGCGTATGTCTTGGCGAAGTGATTGAGCCATGCTGTCGACATACTGTTGACAAGGGCGTGGAAGATTGACAGTCCGGCCATGACAGCGATAATATGCCCCTGAGTCGGCGTGTAGGTAAAGTCGGAGCCAATCGACACAGCGGCGAGAAGCATCTGCGATGCGCCGTACTCCGAGGAGGCGCTGCCGCAGATCTGTCCGATCAGGTTGAGCCAGCCATCAATCCAAGCAATGACGGCGACGTGGCGTTCTGGAGCGAGATATTTGATGGTGAAGTACATTGCCCCGGACGTCGGGTATGCTGAAGCGATTTCCGCAATTGAGAGCGCGAGACACAGCGCGCCAGCACCGGCAATCAACCAACACCAAATGGCGGATGCTGCACCACCAGCATATAGAGGATATGAAAAGGTAGTCATCACCGTACCAAACAGGCCGGATATACTGAGGGCGAAACTGAAGCAAGACCACATGGAGAACTCGCGTTTGAAGACCTAGAGACAGTCACGCGGCGTGAGAATGAGTCCTAAACACGTAGTCTGCCAGGGAAATGAGTTGATTGTACATACAGGAGCGTATCCCATGGCAGCAAGCGCTTTATCGGCATCGCTGGCGCTCACTTCAGCATCAGAGAAGCTGGGTTGATCATTGTCTGCACTCGCCGCGGGGGCGGCGAGGTCCTCCTTCTTGCCCATATTTGGAGAATGTTCTTGAACTTTGAGTGAGTCTGTATTCGTTTCTAGAGCGAGTCCCAAGTTGATATTGGCACACTTCAGATCAAAGGCGTGAGAAACACATGTGATGGTTCTTGGCTAGACACGGGCGAAGAAGGGCCAAGAAGGTCTGGAAATCGATCGACGGTGAATGGCGGGCATCTCGAATCTATTTAAGCAGGGCTCGAGATATGCAGTTGCACGTCACATTACCGAGGAACACATCTGCAAGCAGCTGTAAGGAGCAAGGATGAATGGACGCTATACAACGCAGCTCATTGTCTATCAACCTCACCGATGATATTACTGGGTTAGGCCAGGTGCCGGCGCATGGAAGACATGGGTCCTTGTTCGCGCAAGCTTGATCCCAGGAGCTGGGAGGAGCGAGGTGATAAGACCCCACGAATGCGGTAGGTCTCCCAGCGCTTGGCGCAGGCGACGCAGCGAGCGACCCTCCCTGGAATCTGTACCCTATCGTGGCATCGAACGACTTCGGTCTTCCCGTAGTCTGCCCGAGATTACACCTGATTGGTACAGGAGTGGCCTCCGTTCAAGTCGTAAAGGCAGTTTCAGATACCTTTATTGATTGGGTTTCGAGGAATTACGGCCTCGACGAGAATCGCATTGCATCGCATCGCATCGAATCGAGTTATGATTTCATAAAAGAATAGTCTCAAGTGTGGGGGATTCTCATGGCTTGCCGTCTCGCGGGTCCGCTCTAATTCCCACCTTGTTCTAGCGTTTGATCGTATGTAGCAAGTCCATCGACTCTTCAATTTCTTTTCTCGTAAGAGGCAAAAAATCCGAGAAAATGAACAGAGTGAAACCACTCAAGATCATGGCCAATGGATTTTTCAAAAAAGACCCGCCAGGTTACGCGGGAGGGCTCCAGTTAAACCGATGAGGTCATGCCATTCTCGTCTACAATGCTTATCTCGACGATTAGGTGGACGGGTGTCACCGCACCAGCGAGTGTGGGGAGGGGAAAAGCCCCCTGCAGGAAGACGGCTCTCGCCCATGGCTCGTTCTTGGAGGCTCTTTCATGTGTTTGGATGTGTTTAATCCTCTTCTGGAATAAATTCATGCGTCGAAGCCGTCGAGATGTTGTCAATGTATCTCATCCGATACAATGTTTACATACTCCGCGTATAAGTCCGCCTTTGAGTCTCTCGTTGCCCATCGTAGGTGACGATGGAGCTGGTTCCAGCCACTAGCTGACAGTTTGCGGCAGCCCAGTGTGATCATGTTCAGATGCAATGGGGATTCATCATCATCAACCCGCAACTGGACTCGATTCTTGCCATGTAGTAGGAATCTCACTGTGCCAAGGGGTGCTAAACCCGATGGCCCACCTGACAAGCCTTTTCGCCCAGCCTCTAAATCTGTACTGTACAGTATGCTCCTCCAACTACCGTCTCAACGGCCTAGGCTTCAAGGGCACCAGTTCCGTGTTGGCGAAGCTCGAATTGTTTGATTCCTCTATTTTGTCTACTATGGTATTGAAATCATGAGATTTACCGTATATCCTACGACCACAAACACCACGATTTCATAATCCGATGCCCATTAAGTTATAATGAGATCATTGCTCGTGCCACGAGTGCCAAGGCGATGCCAATGCTGTCTACTTCTGAGAGCCAGCTTAAGTTGCTGCGTCTCTGGCCTTATATCATATGAATTTTTGAGTCCTCTCTTTACATAGCTCACCGTTTGATAAGATACTGTGCAGGAGGAAGAGCATTTTATTATCTTATTGATTAAAGGCCAAGAATCGCGTGTTATCTCTCTGTGGATCTGCCTTTATTCCCCTAAAAAGCAACTAACTAAGGTGGGCATTCTCTTCCGTTTCAGTGGAGCAACTGAGTTGTTATCATTTGCGCCATAAATATTCTGAAACTAACGAATCTTCGGGGCTCTCTAATGTGCCCGAGCTCCAGTTTTAGCAGTAACATATCAACTACAGTGAATGGCCACAGGTGCTTAGTCTCCGAGTTATCTGATAGGATTACCCCTTTGGTCTAAGAGATACCATAGAGTTGGGAGTGGTTTTGTGGTAATGCAGTGGCATATTCTCTAACCCTATCAAACTAGTATTATATATCATCATGGCTGTAAACAATGCAGAGACTCGTCCTAGGGTGAAGCTGCCCCAGGGCACAGTTATAGGCGTTCTAGAACGCGGCCCGTTCCCCAAGACGGTTGAGAGCTTCAAGGGGATTCCTTATGCCCTGCCACCAACAGGCGACCGTCGATTTCGAGCCCCTGTCCCGGTTGGTCCATCATCGGAGACCATCGATGCTTCAGAATTTGGACCGCGAGCGCCAGCGACGCAGCTCATAACGGTAGGTCCGACTCTCGAGCAGAGTGAGGACTGTCTCACTGCAAACGTCTTCCGACCCGCTGTGGAAGATCAGAAGGGCCTCCTACCAGTCGCATTATACATTCACGGAGGTGCCTTTAACCGTGGAAATGCTGCTATGCACAATACAGCGTCCATGGTAGGGTGGTCGGAAGCCCCTTTTATTGCTGTGTCATTCGGTTATAGAATCAGCGCCTTCGGCTTTCTCCCGTCAAAATTAAGTGCAAAGGAAGGCGTATTAAATCTGGGACTTAAAGACCAGATTTGTCTCATGCAATGGGTTCAGGAGAACATACATCACTTCGGCGGCGATAAAGACAACGTAACCCTCATAGGTCTTTCGGCAGGTGCTCATTCTGTAAGTGCAGCCTTCCCTAAAGAGAAAAGAAAATCGACGCCTGATTCTTGTACATAGATCGGGCATCATCTTCTGAACTTTGAAGAAGGCAAGGCGCCATTATTCCATCGTGTAATCATGGAATCTGGCGCGCCAACATCAAGAGCTGTCAGAAATCCGGATGCGGAAATACACGAACAGCAATTTCGAGATTTTCTTAAGGAGGTGGACTGTCCGCCAGACTTGACAGAGTCAGAGATCTTTCCCTTTCTTCGGTCCCTCCCGACCTCTGTCATTGCCAAGGCTCAAGATGTTGTTTTCAAGTACTATAACACGTCCTTACGTTGGGCGTTTCAACCGGTGATCGACGGGGAGACCATCCGCCGCCGGCCCATCGATGGCTGGAGAGAGGGTAAATGGCATAAAGTCCCCATCCTTACCGGTTTTCAAGAGAATGAGGGCTCGCTGTACGTCAACAAAAAGATGTCGACGCAAGCAGAGTTCCTGGATTTCTGGAAGACCCTACTTCCACAACTCACTGAAGACGACATCAGCACAATCGACAGATTATACCCAGATCCGACCAAAATCCCAGATTCGATCTACAAAGAGGACCGCTTGGATCATGGTGTTGGCGAGATGTACAAGCGCATCGAAGCCGCGTATGCACATTATGCCTATGTCGCGCCTGTCCGCCAGACGGCAGACTTCGCAAGCTCGGAGGTGCCTGTCTTCCTATACCACTGGGGTCTCATGAGAGATATTATCATGGGCGCGGCGCACGCCGACAATTTCTTCTATGGAATGCGAGATCCCGGCACTTGTGCAAAGTCAAAAACACAAGACATGATTTCTGGCTTCTATCACGGGTATCTGACAAGTTTCATATGCACAGGCGACCCGAATAAAATTCCGGGAAGCTATGGAAGTAGGCCCAGCTGGAGCCCTTATGATCGCGCAGACCCCAAACTTATGATATTCGGCAAGGACAATAAGGAGTTGCTCGGTGGCGAGGCTCTTGGACTACCGTGCGAAATGATCAATGACGTGTGGGCTAAAGAGGAGTCTGATTTCTGGTGGAGTAAAGTTGAGATCTCTCAGCAATGAACAATATGAAAACAGTTCTGGAATGTGTTTCACACATTGCTTTATCCCGCCGTTAAGTCTTGATACAAGGAGGACTAAGTGATAGAATAGGCGCTCCCGAGGCATATAGATTTCAAACCCTTGTCTTAGACTCAAGAAAAAAGCAAGTAATATACCAAATATTGCAATCTTACATGGAATCACAATCATGGATCAGCTTCTCTGAACTTCAGAAATTTAACAGGTGTTCTTTTTTGCAGAGTGAACCTAGCAAGGGGGACGGTTCATAATCTCGGTCATGATAAGTCTTCGGCCTGGCTAAAGCTTTGGTCGTTGTACTATTTCCTGGACAAGTTCTAGTACCCTTTCCGCGCAACCGTAAGAGCCTTGATAACCCCATCCTGCATGCCCGTAATTGTGTACAATCCACGTTCCATCAATCTTCTCCTTTTCCAGCCTGACACCGCCTTCTCTGAAGGGTCGCAGACCGACTCCATGACGGATAATATCCAATCCTTTCACACCTTGACCGTTGGTAAGTTCCGGGGCTATCTTCAATGCACGCTGCATGATGCGGTTCGCAACATTCAAGTCAGGTTGACTCTCCCAATTCCCTTTCTGATAGGTGCCGCCAAGAATTGTTCCTCCTCCAGCGGCGCGCGTCATAACATAGCAAACATCGTCGTCGTCATCGTCGGTGCCTGACTGAGTTACCATGCGCTCTGATACATTTCTAACGACTACAACTTGGCCCCGTATAGGAATCATTTTGGGATCCAGTACTCCCCCAAGTTTTCGAGCTCCTAAAGCCGTTGCATTTATAATGATGTCGACTTTGTTTCCGGTGTGGCTCATGGAAGCAGCGTCCGAGATATGTTTGATATTTCCACGGCGAAACACGACGCCATTTCGTGTGCACTGACTGATCAACCAGGGCAGATAAAGCGCCGTGTTAATACAAACAGACCCGAACTCGCACCCAGAGGCCATGTCTTCGAGTAGTTCGTCTTTCGTCAGCTCTCTGTAATCATCGACAACATCTTTGTACCAGGGGTTTGCCAAGAACATGTCCGCAAAGTTCTTCCCGCCTTGTTTCAATTTCTCGATATCTTTTTTCCTGCGATATATTCTAGTTTCTAGGCACTGTCAACTTCTGGAATTTTGATGGAAACATTCAAAGATGTTCGCCTACTCTGAAAGTGTATCCCAGACTCAGGTGCGTGTGTAGCAAGTCGTTTTAGTTCTGGCCAAGTTCGCCGCTCCCAACGGCTATTGGCCTCGTTGGCCATGCTGAAAAATAAAATGAGCAAGTTGAGTATCCTGAGGCGCATGACTTTGGTGTCTTACGGCATGAAGTTTGCACCGGCCCATGGAGAGGTATATTCGATATCATAATCACCCGGCATGTGTTTTGAAACGACCGTTATCGTATTTGCGCTGTCCTTCGATAGCACATATGCCGATGTCAGGCCAGAAACACCCGCCCTGAAAATGGAGCGGTTTAGTGATGATGTCAAACAATTCGTCGATGTTGAAAATAGTTTCCATACCCTAAGACCACAATAGTCGGCATATTGGTTTCGGTGAAATCCGTGCCCCCAGGCTGTGATATTGATTACAATGCCTAATCCGTATGGCAAAATGATTTCGGTGTTTCCTATTACAGCACAGAAGATCAAACGAAATCCAATGGGCCGAGCTCCCCTGTTCGCAATAATAGAGCTGAGAGTTGACTATGTTTTGTCTGGCTAACAAGGCCCCCGTGTAACTACTCTCTACTTACAGCCAAAAGGGTGGTATCAAAACTCCTCGGTCATAATTAAATGCCCGATCGAATTCATGAACCCACTCGTCTCGAATTATAGCGTAATGAGATGTCGCTGCTCGTGTTAGTAGGTAGATGTTGAAGGCAAATGTCGATATGCCAAGATGGAAGGGCTGCTAGTTAGTGATAGGCGAAGTTTCCCGACGATAAGCCTTTCGGTCGGCTCCACGCAGCCGATCTGGTTCCGACGCCGCAGTGAACGAAGGAGTCGTTGTTCCTCGAGATCATATGCTGTGTTTTACTGAACAATTAAAAAATACTGGTAATGGCGAAAACACCATGGTATTTCAAGATATTGCAAAAATAATAATACAAACGTATTCCTCTTATCTTGTGACTACTTTGACGTCACTTGTATATATTCATGATGCCTCCCAGATTTTGAGTTCGCGTAAACAATATATATCTATAAATCATTATGCTAACTCTTTTTGATTCAATGACCTTTTAATTACTTCATAGCTTTGGCGTAGGAATAACGGCAGAGCACTCTATCTCAACTTTAGCACCTCGAGGCAGCTGATAGACAGCAATAGCAGTCCGGCACTGCAAATTGTGTTAGCAAGGTTCTAATATGTTGTTCTACTTACTGGAAAACTAACCGGCTTTGGGACGGTGTTCTTAAACATCTCGTCGTATACTTCATTCATACCAGGAAAGTCATCCATGGTCGTAAGGAAAACGTTGACTTTGACCACATCAGCCAAAGTCGCACCGCCCGCCTCTAACACGGCGGCGAGATTCTGCAGGGCCAGTCGCTTGATGTACTGTTAGTCCAATTCCCAGTGCACCACCAGAGATGAGCATAACGTACAGTTTCGGCCTTGATGTCTCCACCCACAAGTTTTCCGGTTGCCGCATCCACTGCAAGGTTTCCCGAGCAATACAACACTGATAATCAAGGTCAGCATCTGCTCTGAATTGACACCTTTAGATGAGCAGAAACTCTTGAGACTGCTTACTGCCATTGCACTTGACAGCCTGTGACAACTGTGGCAAGGGAGGCGGCGCGTTCTTGGTCAATACTGCCTCTCTCGACATGATGTAATCAGTAATACTGGTAATCGAATTAAGATTTATCACTTGATCAATTGATTAGATTATCGAACCGAAGAAAGTGTACAAAACAAAAGTGTTCAGGGTCCTGTAGTCAATGTGGAAATTCGTGGTTGAAATTGCCGAATTCGGAGTTGAGCTAGGACATGTTAATTCGGTTAGGAATGGCGTTCTGGAGAGAACCCGATAGTATCGGGAAACCCGTTGCTTTGCGGCATCAGGTAGCCGATCATTCTTTCTGTACTGCGTAGTAGTTATTAGACACGTTATCAAGAGGCTACTGCACGGCAGTTGGCATAGTGGTAATTGACTACGCTACTTCATGCGGGTACTGGGGTGAAGGGGTCGCCAATCTTGATAATACGTTATATCCTTGAGAAGACGGTAGTATCGCTGAGTTCCGGTGCTTTATCCTTTCCAGCCAAGTGGATCTCTTCTGCGATCTGCCTCGTGTTGATAACAATAACCGCTATCATAAGATGGGCCCTTAGATACATGACTATTGATAAAAAAAGGGTGTGACAGCCCGCTCAGATATGATTATCCACATCACTCCAGGTTTTAATTCTCTGGTCACCTATCTTCCATAGAATTGGATGCACTGTCTCTAGACATTGATTTATTTCAAGATGGAACATCCAGATAATGACCAGAAGAAGATCGAACGGCTCAGCATCAGCGATCCTGTGAAGACCGATATTGAAGTTGGAGAAGTGAGAGACCTCGACGAAGCCGAAATATTTCTCCGAGAAAACAACTTCAGCCATGAATATCTCCAAGATCTTCTCAGCGATGAGACAGAGGTCAAAAAGTTGGTCCGTAGGATCGATTTGAGATTGCTCCCTCTGTTAGCTGGCACGTATGTCTTGCAATATATCGATAAGCAGGCATTGGGGTATGCTGCGGTATTCGATCTTTTCAGCGACACCGGTATCTCCCAGAGCCAGTACAGTTGGTTTCCCAGCATGTTCTATCTGGCATACTTGGTCGCCGAATACCCGTGGAGTGCATTGGCGCAGCGCACAAAGATGGCGAAAGTTGTCTCTGGTTGCGTTGTCGCTTGGGGTGCCATCCTCATGGCCACAGCAGCTTCAACCAACTTTGCTAGCATGGCTGCTTGTCGATTCTTACTCGGTATCTTTGAGGCACCGATTACCCCCTGCTTCATGATGATTGTGGGGATGTGGGTAAGCGCTGCTTTCAAACAGCTCTGAGTTACCACGACGGATCGCTAATCTATTATAGTATATGCGACACGAACAACCATTTCGAGCCGGAATCTTCTACAGCTGCAACGGGCTAGGCGCTATGGTGGGCGGAATTCTATCGTATGCTATCGGCCTGATAGAGTCATTCCCAGTCTGGAAAGCAATTTTTCTCTTGTGTGGAGGCATTACTGTTCTCTGGGGCGTGGTGCTATACTTCTTCCTGCCGGACAACATCATCACAGCCAAGCAGTTCAGCTTGCAGGATAGGGCTACATTGATCGCCCGTGGCAAAATTGGCCGGACTGGTATTCTTAATCGCCAGATCAAGTGGTACCAGATTAGAGAGGCTCTGCTTGATCCGCAGATATGGCTACTCTTCTTGTTTACCCTGTTGAACGAGACCATCAACGGCGGAGTTGCCAATTTTGGAAAGTTGATTATCAAAGGCCTGGTAAACGACTCTTTAAAGGCCACAGCACTAGGAATACCTCTTGGCGCTTTCCAGATTCTGTGGATTTTGTCCGGAGCCTGGTTTGCCTCTCGATTCAAAAATGCCCGCACTTATGTCATGATGGCATATTTGACGCCCACAGTTATTGGACTCGGTCTGCTTTGGAGGCTGGACCGAGAGACACACAAAGTTGGCGTGCTATTTGGTTACTATATCTCTGGCGCCTTTGTGTCCTCTCTCGTGGTGGCTCTCCAGATGCCAGCGGCCAATGTTGCGGGTTATACGAAGCGTATGACAAGTACCGCGGTCGTCTTTGCTGCCTACTGCGTTGGCAACATCATCGGCCCACACGCATTTCTGGCGGAAGAGGCACCAATCTATCAGACTGGCTGCAAGGTGACGATGGCATGTGCCATTGGACAAGTTGGCGTCGCTTTCTGCTTACGACTGTTGCTGATCTGGAGGAATAAGAAGAAGGACGAGGCTCTTGGGGCTGTTGGACTGGATGATCCTGTCGCTGATGAGATTGCAAGTGATTTGACAGACTTCGAGGTGAGTTCTTCCCACGGGTTTTTTAATACACAACTCCCATACTGACTTGATACTCCTGCAGAATCCTCGGTTCCGATATGTGCTCTGATGGATGAACCCATCCTCGTTTGACTATCAGGCAATGAGAGCGTGTAGTCACTTTGCGTACGGCATGGGTCGTTTCAGATGCAGCCAATAGACCATTTATTTGTTGTGCTTGGTGTTATTTTCAAGTAAATGATATGTGACAACGTGCCAAACATGCGGATTCATAGGATGGCTGCCTCTATAGCCTATATCCAATGTTCATTGTAGCTTCAACTATCTAGACGCTCATGGTTCACTCTTGCTAGGCAAGACCGTCATCTCAAGCTCGTGGATCTAGTAATAGGCCCGACCCCAAATCGAGTGTGTTTTCGTGCTACGATCCCCGAGAAGTGATATTCAGACCTTGAACCGGAATCCATGGCTTGCCGCCTCTCCTGGCGCCGCATTGATTGCCCCTGCTACGTAAATTCCAGCATCAAGCTTCTTATTAAGCCGTACCAGGATGAAGCGTAGCACCGTCGCCGCACAGATGGCAATGAACGCAGTGGTGCAGTTCACACTGAAAGCAACGGTATACTGCGGACCGGCTGTTTTCGGATACATATAGCTGGCGTAGATGGAGCTTGTGTTGGAGACAGCGTTGATGAATGCGAGAGCTGCCGCGCGCTTTGCCGGTGGTCGAGGAATGGTGTTGCTGATCCATGCTAATGCGACGACGTAGCCGGTGTAGACACCCGGTACCTGCTTTCGAATTAGAACTGATCGATGAGTGAGAAGGATCTATTACTGACCATGAGCATCATCGAGACATATCGTGCTGCAGTGTTCATGGTTGCCGCGCCGAGAATGAATGCGGCCACGGCTACCCAAAGAGGCAAGATAATGTGCCAAAACCGCTCGCCTGTCCTATCCGCGTGCAATGCGTTAAGATAGCTGGTAATTACGGCTAGGACGTAGGGAGGGCTTGTAAGAAGCAGCGAATGCACATCTCCGTAGCCAAGAGTTGCAACGACTGTCGGGAAGAAATTTGTCACGGATCCGCTGGCAACAATGCAGAAAAGCAAAACCATCTTCTCAATGTCAGTAACACTCACGTTCAACAATGTCAAGACAAACAACTTACCAAGACATAGGTCTTGATGTCCTCGAAAGCCAGCTTCGCGCCGTGCCAGAACGTCTGCTCCTCACTGTTCACCCAGTCGTCCTCGCCGATATCCTCCTCCAATCGCCATGCAGCGAGCTGTCGCTCTTCCTCGGTGAGCCACGAGGTTGTTCGGGGAAAGTTGGGGAGGACGAAGAACGCGCCGAAAGCGATGAAGATCGTGACGACACCCTCGATGATGAACAGCCACTTCCACGCTCGCAGACCCTTTGCTCCATCCATGTTGCCTCTGACGCCAGCTGCGATCAGACCAGAAAACGCTCCCGAGATCAATGCTCCGCTGTACAAAACTGCGGACCTGAATCCCAGCTCCTTTCGGGTGTACCAACATGACAGGTAGTAAAGGCCTATCATAATGGTATGTCAGTATTCGCTTCTTCACAACTTTTTGGAAGGCCTTTCTTATTGACGTACATCCTGGGAAGTATGCAGCCTCAACAAAACCAAGGAAGAATCGAATCGCAATCAGTCCAGCGTAATTCGTGCAAGCCGCAGTGGCGGCCGAGATGGTACCCCAGACGATCATCTATATAATGACTGTCAGATCTTGCGCCATTACGTTGAACATGTATGTTTCAAACTCACACAGGTTGGCAGATAGAGGGCCGGTTTTCCGATCTTGTTCAAGAAAAGATTCGATGGAATCTGCATGAGAAGGTAACTAGTCGATCAATGTAAGTAGTGCAAACCAGCCATGAGACGACTGTTAGAAACATACCCGACGAATAGAATGCTGACGGCGGTCTAGCCAGAAGATGTTAGACACGGTGTTACCCGCCGAGCCTCTCTTCTCCCGCAACGTACCTGAAATTGCACGGATGTCAAGTTCAACTCTTCTTCTAAGCCTGCCAACCGAGCCGCGGCAATATTGTTGCTAAAGATACGCATCAGCGGCGAAACCTTCCGGTTCGGGTGTGGCCAACATACCGGTCGATGTAATTAAGAATATACATGATGATGATCGCGGGCATCAATCGAAGGTCAATCTTCCTCTTCAGTTTCGCCTCTAGATGAAGACGGTCTTCCATCGACATGTGAAGCAGAAACTCTGGAGGCTGTAGACCGCGGCGACCACCCTTGATGGCCGGCTCATCGCCAGGGTTATAGTCCGGTGGCGGTCCTTTCTTTCCATTCTCGACCTGGGCGATCTGGTCGCCCTTGCTCTCAGGGTCTGACATTGTTGGACGTTGCGTTATATCTAGAAGATCGAGTCTTCTATGTGTAATTAGGAACGGATTGTGTCTTCACGCGACAGCATTCACAACGCGGCGGTAGAAGAGAAAGTACCAGACTCAAACAACGTCACACGGGTTCACGGGAGATCGCCTATTTATTCCATGCAACACCAGCAGGTCCCTACCTCCCTTCTCCTCTCATGATCACCTACACTTACCCCGCTGGAGATAGTCTGCGATCTCCAATTGAGGAGGGTGCTAGGCCGAGGGCCAATGAGAGATGGATGCGGTAAGTGACACTGACATTGGGGATGTAACTCCCGGCCGGTGTGTCGGGAAGTGCAGCTCGGGCATATTTCCTACGAGAGAGATAGAAGAGTCTTGCGAGCCGCGGTACGCTAGGAAATCGTTCCCAACTTCTCCGCCACTTGTTCGTGGGGAAGCCAGCCCCCAGGGATCCCCATCATGTCCCTCTGGCTTACATGGTCCACTGTGCCGTACAGCAGCAACAGCAGGTAGGGGTTTTCCGTTGCAGCGCATCACGGATGACAGCGGATGGCTTCGTAACCTGGGGATGCCAGACAGACGTCATTGGCTCCGGCTCAATCCAGCAAGTTCCGGCAAAAGCGATTGAGTGGGCGCGCGCAGCGGTATAGGGACAAGAGGGAAGAGAGGGGGCAGGGGTTTCGGAGCTCGTGGAGGGTTGTGCGGAGAAGAGGTCAAGGGTCATAGGCCCGAAAGGCACAATGGGACCTGATTGGGACTGTCAAAACAGACCGTCTGTCTGGGCATGCGGCGATCTGGGCATAGCATTGCTGGAAATCATGGAATCATGATTATCTAGCATGTTCAGTCTAGTAGCCGGGACATTGAGTCAGTTGGCCACTTGACCGCCTGCTGCTGTTGTGGGGAGAATCATCATGATCCAAGTGTGATGCGGAATTCTTGTCCATGTCCATGATGTCGATTGAGAAGAGCTCGTGGTGGGCGCCTCTTAATTCCGCGGTTTGAACGCCGCCTATGTCATGGTCCTCCGCCCCCGCAAATGCCCTCCTCTCGTCACTGGTTTAGTGCTGTTGCTGCTCCACAGAAGCTTTCTTAGGGCATTCTGGTGGCTTGCTCTTGGCTGCTTAGCCATGTCTTCTCCTTGCCGGTCGTCTCTCCCGTCGGGCCATTTCTGTGCCTCCAGCGCTCGTTAATAAGCTTATCCCAACCACCACCGCCTGGCTGTCTCCATTCCAATGAACCAAGGCGTAAAAGAGCCAAGGTGTTATTTCCATTGTCTATGTCCATTCGTCGGCCGTAATCTTTTATCAATATTTCAATGTCAACATTCGATGTGGTAATCATCGGGTAATTGTTGGGTGCATGCCTGGTGCACACTGCTTAGCATAGCGTCTCCGGGTTACGGCAAAGTCTTGAATTGATGTCAATTGGTGGTTTGTACAGTACAGTATGATCAATCCCTAACCATAGCCAAGCTTGTCTTCTTCTCTCGCCCTGGCACGCATCCATTCCCAGAATGTTGCTTCTTTCACGTCTCTGCACCTTGCCCGGTCAATTCTCAACTATGCTGGGAAGAACTCCAACATAAGCGCCATCCCGGCTCTGGAAATCATCTCCTCCAGCTCTTTGGGAACACTGCGCGTGTCAACAGTCTGCCACGGTTCCAATAAGGGCCTCTCTCTTACAAGAGGATTTCCGGCAAGGTCTTTACCTTTTTGGTTTATTCCTCTATGTTTGTACATGAGTTGATCCATAGAGAGCATCCTCGTCCACAGACAAGCCTATGATGGATGGCACGGCAATATCATTCTACGTCTCTGGCGGTAAGCTAACCTCTCAGCCATTCAGGGATGGAAATAAGAATTTCGCAAGATTTTTCCATGAGTTCAGGAGTTGGCGAGCATTCCAGTATGGGTATGAACTCATGGCTGCCCCTACGGACGAAAAGGAGTTCATCAGGTCAGAGCACCTGCCGGCTTCGCATCTGAGCCGAAATCACTGTTCACGGTTTGCCAAGTATGAATGATTCTCACCAGGATTACTTAAACAAAGGTTTGCATTGCTGCTTAGTACTCTACACTTTTTTTTTTTTTCCTTTTCTCATCCAAACTCGTATCCGTCATGCCGGTCAACCAGAAGTCTGTTACCCTGTTCCGAGCCATTGTGGCTCATAGTATTCTAAGTATATTTCCTTTCATCGTTATCATCAGTTCCTTTTCGTCTCCTCATATCTCGTCAAGCTCGTGTGACAGATTACCAACGCCCCAAAGCAGACCCCTTTTTTGTGTGTATTTTGTCTTTTACCCCTTTTTTTGTCGAGTTTCGGTTTTTTCTCTCCTCATCACGGGCAGTGCCCGTTCCGCCTACTGGTTCTGGCGGCCTGCGAAACGGCGCTGCTGTCTCTCTCTGCCCTTCTGGTGGAAGGTGGGGTCGGTGCTTCGCTTATACTCGAGCCACGCCTCGTACTGCTGCTGCTCCATGGCGTTGTGGCCGCGAGGCTTAGGGTGCGGCGCCGGACGAGAGACTGGCATGAATGCGGTAGCCGGGGCCGGGTAGAAGGTTGGGGCCGATCCGTGCATCATCGGGAATGGCGGGCACGGCGGGCAAGCTGGAGGAGGGGGTGGTAGCATCGACGGGACAACGTACGGTGGCATCTCCTGGTACGGCGCGATGTTGATGTGACGATCGTGAGGAAGCTGAGCCGGAAAGCCGAAACCTGAAGCAGGCGGGAAGACCTGGTTCACGATGATGGGGGCCGGGGGAGCTACAGGCTCAAACTCAGGAATCGCAGAAATTGGATGATTGTAGTTGTCCTCCCACTTAGGCTCCTGGGGCGGTCTGGTGACAGCAGCGAAGGACTGGTGTACCTTGAGCTTTGTAGGAGCAGCAGTCACGCAAGAGGAGACAAACTCCATAGCCTTGGGGTTGAGAGTGGAAGACTCGGTCGGGCTGTTGATGCCTGAGTCTGGTGATGTCTTCTTGACATGCTTGGCTGCGAGGTTGGAATGCTCAGGGGTAGTGATAGCAGGCGCGTTGGTGGAATCGGAGGCATGATCATCGTCGATGCCAGTCGGGGGGGAGAGATATCCAGAATCGCTGCGCTTGAATCGAGCCTTCTCCGCGAGCTGCTCCTGGGTAGCGACAATCTTGTCTGTCGCCTCGTGCGGGTCGGATGGCTTGTCTCTGACGGCCGCCTTAATAGCCACGATGGCAGGATCCGCCATCTCAGTTCGCTGAGCAGCCAGGCGGGATAGGAGATCATTGAAGCGATTAGCTTCCTTGGGAGTGGTAGGACGCTTGCGGTAAGGGGATTCGAAGACGTGGTTGATAGACTCGATAGCAGGATCCCTGGTGAGGAGGTTGGTGGTCTCGTTGAGGTCGCGGCACTCTACCAGACGGCTGGCCGCCTTCTTGCGAAGCAGCTCTGGGGAGATACTAGCCGATCGAAGGTGTCGCACAGCCTTCTTCTTAGCAACATGGAGGTCGCGATCCTGACGCGGCTCGTCATCGATGTTGTCAGTGGTCTTGTTGAACATGGCGGTGTCATCACGATCGTAGATGAGCCTCAGTTCCGCGAAGGCGTGATTCTCGTGTCCGGCGATATAAGCCTTCTCAGCGATGGTTACATCGATGGCGAAGTTCTTGGCTCGTTTGGTTCGAGCCTTTGGCGTCTCAGGCAGCTTGAATTCGCGGACGTTGACAATATTTACAGTCTCGCTCTGCGACTTCAGGTAAACATCCTCCCAAGCACGCTCATTGGTTTCGCCGGTGCGGCAAGTGACATTGGGACGAGCAACTTTGACGGGATTGATGTGGAAGTTGTCGTAGACCTTCTTCTTCTGAGCATCGACTTTGGCCTCTTTGCGCGCCTCCTTACGCTCAGCACTCTTCATGACGCAGCGGACGCTAGAGTGGACAGAGCCAACTGAAGAGGGGGAGCTCTTGGGGTAATCAGGGAGAGGCTTGATGGATTTGGTCAAGTTCTTGATCTCGATCGGCTTGTCACCAGCTCTAAGACTGCAGATGGCCTTAAGATCAATACCGAGGATATCAGTGAGCTCGCGCAAGTGATTAATCCGGTCGTCGGTCGTGTTGCCGCGGCGGATGTCAGCGGCAAAGAGAGCCATGTTGACCAATTCTATCTCAACTCAGTTAGTTGTCACATTGGAGTCAGATTTCAACTTTGTGAAATTAACATACCTTTGGAGACCTAGAAAGGCGAAGGGCGGAAGAGATAAGTTATTGGCAGCTTTGCTGTAGTGTAGGATTGATGGTCTGCTTTTTTGAAGTCAGTCGTGCTCAAATGATTGCGAGTGATATAGCTCTGTGCGGTGGAAGGGGCACCCCCCTAAGTCTGCTCTCAGACCAATTCTTTTCGCGATGAAAGAAAGATCAAAAGACGAACTTACTTGTAGACAGAGCGTTAGATGTACTTCCAATTGATGGAAGAGCTGCTCGGGAATCGATGAATAAGTGGATGAAAATCGACTGGGTCGATTGCAATGTCAGTCGAGGCCCGGTGTGTTGCGGGGGAGCGTTGCGCAGTGGGCAAAGCTGTCAGGGACAGACCGAAAAGGCCTTGTGAGACAAGATTTTGTTGAGTGAGAAGTGATATGAGTGCCAATTGAGCTTTCTCGGGTGCTTGAGGTGCCAATTGAACGTGGGTTGTTGCTATGGGTGTTGGTAAATGGGGAAATACTCAGGTGATGATCAAGATGTCATATACAATTGATCGATTGGAGGGGAGATGGTAGACAGTCGATGATATGGGTAGAGAAAATATGAAGACTGAGAGGGGAGCTTGGTATGGGATTTTTCTCTAGATGAGATTGCTTCTCTGGGATGAGGTGGAAGAAATTGGGTTGCTCGAGGTGGCAGAGAAGGGTGAGATGAAATCGAGCAAGGGGATGAAAGGGGTCAATTGATGGAACGAAGGCCAAGCTTACTCTGGTCGAAAATGACCTCGATAAGTCTGGTGGACAAAGATTACTTAGTAGAGAAGATTGAGAATGAATTGGGCTGATTGAGATTTGCTTAAGAAAGATTGTGGGTGGAAAAGTTGGAGGGGGGTAGGAGGGGTGAAGCTCAAGATGGTGGGGGTTTGTAGGAGGACTTCGACGACTCACCACGATTGTTCGAGGCGCAACGCGGACCGAAATGTCAATGCTCAAAATGGTGAGGTGAGAACCGTGTGCCCAGCGGAGAAGAGGGAATGAACTAAGTCTACGAGACAATAGCCAAAATTTCTGAATAGGAACAATAGAATCCAGCCCACGACGACACGAGTTGGCCGGAGGAGAAGTTCGCGATGGTCACTCAGGGAATTGAAGAAACATAACACACTCGCTTACAATCTCTTGTGTTCAACTGCTCCTTCTGATGGAAACAGACCTCCAGCAGATTATCGTTGCTCTCGTTGTTTCCCTGAAGCTACCATCGAGGAGGTATTCCCGTAGTCCATGCAACCCGCTCCTTCCAAGCTTCAGACACCAGTTCCCAGTAGCCTGTAAACCTCGACAGATTTCCAGAACACCGACAACGCTCTACATCCCCCCTGAGGTCTCTAAAATACAATAACATGAATATACTAATATGATTACGGTAGCTGAAAGCCAGAGGTCCTTGTGCTGCGAAAGCCTGTTGATGCGTCTTTGGATAATATGTACGAACTCCGCATTTTAATATAACACAAGCCAAATTTAACATCTTACTTGGCGTCTGTACTTTCCTGGATACTGTTAGTCAAAACAATGTATCACAATTGCAGCTAGCTTCTAGTATTGTTCTTCGCACCAGTCAGGGATGAAAACACTGGCATCGTGTAGGCCATGAATAAGTGACATTCTCAAAGTCTTCGAAGTCGAACCAATTGAAACAAATCAACACTTAAGCCATTGAATTATACAGTCTGCAGACGTATAGTTGTATTGATATGTGTTTCCATTTTGCTATAGACACCTGACGAGCGACTTCGTGGGTTAAGACTCCGTAGCCATTACCCCAAACTTTCAAATAATAAGGGGTTGTCCGCTCCGTGGAGATACAATAATTCTCAATAACCCTTATACCTGAACTACATTGCCCCGATATAGGGGGATGTCAAGGAATGACGTTTTTAGCTGCTCCGACATATTGACTCTACTTGAAATGATCTGACAACCCAAATCCGCCCTGCCGTGGTCCCGTAGGAATAAGATATTCGTATAGTTGTAGTGAAAAGCCTGTCCACCGATTTCTCGAAGCACAATCTTTGCAACCAGCAGATACAGGCGGTTTACTTCACAGTCATTGATCATCTGTTGATTGGGTAAACTGGTCCTAAGCCGTAGCGGCATTGCCGCTCATGTAGGCAGCGAATGCTTTCTATATAACAGGTTAGATATCGTTCCTCAACTCTGCTGACATGTCAAACGGAAAACAAACGGAGTGAGACTTACAGCATTCCTTGTTTGAATGAACACAGTTCCTGGGCCGGTGAACTTGCATACCAATCCTTCAGCTGATGCAAAGCCTGAGATAATTCCACCTGAGGCAATTCGCTCCATCACATATTTGGTGTTCCATGCGACGAGATGTCCGTTGTCTACGATGTATTTCTCACCATCCACAAGCTTTTGGTTCTGTCAGCGGCCAAGATACAATGAAGCATTGATTCGTCGTCAGAATCACTTACGTCTTTGCGGATGATAGCACCAAAACTGGTAAGCCACAATAGACCCGTGCCACTGATTTTGTACACCCACAGCCCTTCGCCACTGAACATGGCCTTACCAATGCCCTGGCGCTTGTACTCGGTGATGACGCCCTGAGTACATGCGAGATAACCATCTTGACCAACAGACCATGATTCGTTACCAGTGAGACGGATGCTGGTGATGTCGCCCAGGAACGGAGGACCAAGAAGCAACTCTCCCGGCCCTGTGAAGGTGGAGTGGCCCATCTCACCTCCAGCCACCAGCTTCTTCATACTGAACTTGTATGCACCCTTCAGTGTGATCGTAGGTGACATCGCAATCATGACGCCTGCAAATATAGTCAGCGAGACAATCCTCTTGAGATAAATGGTGGTCACGTACCAGGCTTGGCATGGAGAGGGCATCCCATCGCCAATTGAATGGTCAGGATGGTGTTACAATCGCGATGACTGATCCTGTAACTACCGCCATTGAATGTGCCTACATCGTCGACAATCGCACTGGCGCCCACAAAATGTCCAGCTGGAGGTGCGCCGCCGACGAGGTTAGATGGATTGCTCGTATCTACAGCCGGCTCATCCTCGACCTCATCTCCACCGGGATACTGGTCCACTTTCTCCTGGGGGTACCCAGACCCTGGCGCGCCGGCATATGATGGTGGCTGGGAGAACTGTGGCTCCTGTGCTTCCTGAGTCGGTTTGTGGTATGAGCCGGAGCTATGGCGCATGTGCAGCGGGAGGCTCATGTTCGGGGCGGGCTGCCGTGGCGCCGGCGAACCTTGCTGCTGTGGGGGAGGCGGGTATGAAACCGGCGTCCCGGACTTGGGCGGAGGTGTGGTAGTAGGTCCATTCTGCGGCGGTGGCGGATAGCTCCTATTCTGCGCAGCTGCGTTTTGCGATGGAGGCGGAGGATAGAACTGTGTCTTAGTTGCCGGAGGAGAGGCAGGCCCCAGACCGAACGATGTCTTGTGTGCCGGCGCAGACTGTGGCGGCGGAGGGTAGTTCTTCTGGCCGGGTTGGCCTGGCGGGGCTACACAGCTCTCGTCAGCTCTTCGAAGCTTGATATAATGGAGGTGGGCGGCTCACGGGGATAATAATTAGACATGATGAGGATAGAAATGCTTCCAAACAGCAAAATATTCCAACTCAAGGTGTCTTAAACAGTTGAATGTCCTTGACAAGTTGGCCGTCGTCAGCAGAGCTCCCCATCATGAAGGAGCTGAAAGGATGCCCCGCACTTACACAGCTTGGCAGCTTGTTACACCCAAATGCCTCTAGCTCAGATCCTTCTGTCGCCTTGATTGAAGCCACAAGACACTCGCGAAAATCTCTGTTGAAGCAGCTCGCGAGAAATCGACGGAGGTGAAAGGTCGCAAAGAGCTCTGGTCGTCGTGAAGAGACAGGAGACGAGCTATGCAGCAGCTCGCGCCGGCAGAGCCGTCTGGCCGCCTTTTGTGGTCGCAGTAACCCGCATTCCTTCCCTTCGTGCATTAGGCGATAGCAACCCGTCAAGGCTGTGCTAATTTGAGCTACAGATCATCCGCAAGCCATCCAATCGCTGAGGCGCCGGCCAAATGCAGAGCAGGGATGTGGTGCTCTATTCGTGGCGCTGGCCTCTGCCCAGTCGGCGCTTAGAGCAGATGAAGGCGCCTAAGGGCCACCATTGGACGGCTCGAGTCTTCGCGTACAGGACCAAGGAGTTTCACGCCTCTAAACCACATCGTCTTTGTCGACCAGGCTAGAATAGCAATATTGTGCCGGATGCAGAAACGATGGATTTTCTTGATTGGCGACTTAACTGCATACCCGATCCACAGTTTTCGTAGTGCTTCGTCTAGACAAAGAGGATTTAGTGCCTACCCTGAATGGCCGTTTTGAGCTTCATCGTCTCGAGGCTACTGTGATGTCTATATCCAACTAGACAAATAGGAGTGCCTGGGAAGAAAGACAAGACAACTCTAAGTCGTTCACCAGATGAACGTCAATTACTCATGTACAAGCATGCGTCGGTAATTTCGCCTTTGTAACGGTGTATTGTGCTCATCCACTGGTTATTGACTAAGTGCTGCTAAAGGCCCTGTTACTCTCATCCTTGTCCTCATGATAGCTATCCTTACACTGGGGGCAAACCATTACGAAAACCAAGCCAAACTCCATACATATCCGTTCATAAGCTCGTCATCAATCAAAGATCAGACATTGTGGGCGAATCGATGCTTTCAATCCGAATCCTCTTCCTCGTCACTGGTCGCCTCAAAGTTCGACTTTGGCGTCTTCTGCTTCTTCGATTTCGCTGGCTTGGCAACCTCTGCCTCAGCCGCCGGAGCCTCAATCTCGGCAATATCATGACCTTGCTTACGCAGTTCCTTGTTGATAGCAGGAACAGCTTTCAGCAGCGCTTGATATTGGTCAATGGAGAGTGAAATTCCCTGAGACAAGATCAGCTAGTGCAGCTTCAACCTAGAAAGGAGTACAATCGCACCTTCTTGCCAGGCTTCATCTCGCCATCGGCATCGTAGTACTCTCGGATATTGATTAGAAGGTTTGACTTGAACTTTGAGACACCAATGCGTCTCTTGCTAGAGAGCTTGGGAAACATGTCAGCACAGATGCTGGCACTTCGCACAAGCCGGAGTGTCTTACCTCCCAGTAAGGGTTGCCCTCCGCATCCTTCCCCTCGCCTTGACTGGAGCTGACAGTCTTTGCCTTCTTGGTCGCCTTTGAAGTCTGGGCTACATCGGAGTCACCATCATCATCGATGAAGCTCGAACTTCTCTTCTTGAACCTTGCCATGTCGGATGGCGACGGGTAAAGTGTTGAAATAAACCGAGGATGTCAAATACGACGACAGCGATTATGAGATGAGACTGTCTTCGAATATGGTCAGAATTCACAAAATAAAGGCAAATCGCTCAGTTTGTCCAGATGGCCTGTTTGTACCAGTGTCGGCTGGGCTAAGTCACGCAGGGCATGTATGAAGATCAGGTACCGCCACACACAAACGGAAACTGAGCCTAGGATGTGACGCGCTCTGGAGATGAGAGAGCTTATCGTTATCGGCAACACGCGTTGAACTTCCACGTGACCTTTTGATGCAAGTCACGGAAAGAACGATGGACACTTGCAGGGGTTTAAATTGGCCGTTCCGCTGCAGAAATTGAGACAAACTCTCTTCGGCAGGTGCACGAGCCACCAGCCGGGGTCCCAGAACATTCGGAGCTAGGGGTCTAACTTGGCGGGCAACTAGGATTGGCGTCGTCGCGCGACAGGCTTGTTTGGAATGAATGCAGCCCCCAGACACAGCCCCCTAAAATAGCAGACATGTCCATAATCTCGAAACGCAGAACACAGGAATCCGATCAAATCCTTTCCTGATCTACGGTGCAAATCACTAGGGCTTGTCCTTCCTTCGCCGCTACTTCCGAAAGAACACCTTTCTTCCTTCGCCTCCCTCGTGGTTGCTGTTGAATCCTTGTCTGCCGAAGGCTCTGTTGAATTCCCTTGAAGTCTACATACATTGAACACCATTTGCGACGCCACGAGCTTTCATGAAAGAGGAAGATGCGCAACCAGCGCGCATCATTGCTGGTGGGATGGATACTATCGAGAAAATGGACCTGAATGCCTCCACTATCCCCAGTTCGCCCGTGAACACATACGAATCTATTCCTGAGAACTTTCAAGAACCGCGGAATCCGAAGACACCGTCAGCGCCGGCTAAGACGGAGGACGACATCACTACGACCGTTTTCCAATTCCTGTCCACCGCTACACCAGGCACATTGGGCGCCATCGCCGTGGGGCTCTCCGCTGTGACATATTTTATACTCGGTCAAATTGGGTTGCTCCTGATTGGAGCATTTGCTGGAGTTGTAGTCTTCGTGCAGTGGGAGGCCCGAAACCCTGAAGTGTCGCGTGCCGTCCGTGGCGAAAAGGGCGTTGATGTGCTTGCTCGGTTATTTGAAGACAGAAAGGGCAGGACAGACATTGCATTGACCGAGCAAGATGCAGATGATTTGGAGGCTGCCCTGGCTCGTGGCTTTGCGGATTTCCAGCCGGAGACGAAGGAAGCCTTGAACGGCCTCGTCGAGGCTATCATACGGGATTATGTCAAGTGGTGGTACGGGCCAATTGTGCCCTCAGACAGATCATTTCCGCTGTCATGCAAGAAAGTTCTTACATCCTTCCTGGTATCGGTTTCCAACCACCTGAGCAGGAAACGGCCAGCGGATGCATTCCTCGATTTTCTTACAAATTCATCTTCCATGGTTATCGTGTTCTTCTCCGAATTGTCTGCTGCCTTCACGGAATTACCCCCTGACTCGACGACAACGGCTGCAGATGTTATCTACAACTACCTTGCATCAAATCCAGAATGCAGCTTAGCCAACCTTCTCAGCCAGAAACAGCAAGCTGCAAAGTTTAGAATGGTTGCCGAAGATTTGCTTGGTTTTCTGGATCGGTCAACATATGACTGCGATCCGGCGCGAGTCTTTTTGAGAGAGATACTTGCCGGTGTCATACTAGAGATGACACTTCAAACCTGTTCAAAACCAGAATGGATTAACGGTTGGATCGTCTTCCTCCTCGAGGCCGGAGAGCCCGACTTCAGCCAAGCTATTGATGTTGGAATGCAAACTGGCCCAGACTTGAACCCTGCGTTTGCCGACATTGACGGTAATCTTGGTAATATCGGATTGACCAAGGGAAATCGGAACTCGTTCGATTTGGAGAAGAATCGCCGAAAAGACGTGATGGCTCATAAGAAGAAATTGAGTAAAGCGGACGAGGAAATGGAAGAAGCCATGGAAGAGATGAAGCGTATGAACAAAATGATTGCGGAAGAAGAAGCTCGAAGAAATCGGCAATCAACAAACACAGATACATCAGAAAGATTGGCGGATGCTTTGCAGAGAAATGCCGATGATCTCGATATCAAAGCAACAGCACCCGCAAGAGAGATGCCTCTAGATTTGGCTTCACAATTGTCTCCGTCAAAAGACACGTCAAGTGATGGACGCTCGAGCAAAGAGGAAGCAATCCGTACTCCTGTTACACCTCGGACTACCGAGTCATCAAGTCAAAATTCTTCCCCTAAAAGACACGACATGGAACAGTTCACGAGTTTTGACCAATTGGTGCCTCCAGCCCAAGACGATTCAGAGCTTAGTGAAGGAGAATCTCGCCGACCACCATCACTAAGCTTGCACAATGCTACCATCTCTATTCTTGATGATGCGCCGAGTGATACGATCAGAATCCGTGCCAAGCCTACCTGGGACTACCTCATCCAGATCGAGCCTGCCTCGTCTCATCACCCAGGATGGATGATTGTCAGGCAGTATACAGACTTTGAGAGACTTCACGAAATCCTCCGTCGGATTGCTACGATCTCAGGTGCCACGGCATTTACTGAACAGCACAACGACCTCCCTAACTGGAAGGTACATACCCGGGCTTCTCTTCGGGGTGAACTTGAACGATACGTACGGGATGCCTGCTGGTACCAACCGCTTGCTGAAAGTGCCGGAATGAAGAAATTTCTCGAGAAAGATTCGGGACATGCGAGAACAGAATCAAAGACTGGTTTTCAAGCCTTCGAGAATATGGGAAAGAACGTTCTTGGAGTGTTGGCAAATGCACCAAAAGGTGTTGCTGATGGTGGGAAAATTCTTGCCGGAGGCGTTACTGGCGTTTTCGGCAATATTGGGCTGGGGCCAAGGAAGTCGACGAGTTCTTCCTTGCAAGAGTTGACCACCAACAGCAATAGGCTGTCCTTGTCCACTCCTCCAAGGATGGAGAGTACAGTATCCCTGAACAGCAGTCGCAAAGGGCGAGACAGCATGGACAGCCAGAGATCCTCTGTGGTATCAATTCAACCAGGCAAGATGCCGCCAATGGAACGCCGTCCGAGCTACAATTCCCAGGGTGAACCGGAACCGGAAAGCTTGCGCGTCTCTAGGTCAGACAGATGGGAACGGCCATCTGTAAGTGCGCGCGGTAGTAGAGATAATAGCCGCGCATCGAGCATGGCAGCGTTACGGTCACCGCTCCGTTCGCCCTCGACCACCAGCCTAGATGCGATGAAACTTCCTCCTCCGCCAGACGCGATACCAGATGACTATGACTCTCCTGTGAGTCCTATCATGTCGTCTAAGTTACATGACACCATCTTGTCGCAACAGGCATCCCTCAACAGCCCTCAATATTTCACTCCAACACACGGTCAGGGAAAGCCGCCTGCCAATGGAGCTAATTATTCGGCCAAGCCTAAGCGACAATTTTCAAAGCTTTCTGAGCAAGAGACGCGCGTGGCTGTGGAGCTCTTATTCGCTGTTATTAACGAGCTGTACACCCTCTCCTCTGCCTGGAACATTCGTCGAACGCTACTGGCTGCGGCCAAGTCCTTCTTGCTTCGGCCGGGCAACCCATCTCTGACGTCCATCCAAACGCTCATACAAACGTCTGTTATTGAGGGGAATATATCAGACACAGGTATGGCAGCACACCTTCGCAAATTACGCGAAAACACATTACCGACCGAAGAAGAGCGGGCGGCATGGCCCGCAGATATGACTGCCGACGAGAAGGAGAAACTCCGTATCAAGGCTCGACGTCTACTCATCCAGAGCGGCGTTCCCGCTGCCTTGATGGGAGTGATGGGACAGGCCGCTACGACAGAGGCTCTTGGGCGCGTGTTTGACTGCTTGCAAATCGAAGAAGTTGCCAGAGGCCTGCTCTTCGGCGTCATGCTTCAGGCTGTACGAGAAATTACCCATTGATAGACTTTCGAGACACGGGCAAAGATGATGTAGACTAGACAATGGCTATTACGATTAACGATGGGATATGGGGTAGGGCATATACACTTGGCATGGGTACGCATCCGACGTACGCGCCACACTGGGAGGTCTAGAGGCCAACAGCATATGAAAGAGGAACGGTTCATGTAACATAGCATATATCTATACTAATACTTCTCTAACCACGAGTCTCGTCAAGACTCGAGGATCCATACAAGCTTATGAGGCTTCTGCCAGGTGCTGGTGTTCTCGAAGCTTTTGAACTAAACAACGCTATCAAGATTTCCTGAAGCAAAAACCCTGGTCCCATTGCAACTTGCGCCTCTTGTGGATCATGTTTGAGTTGCTACCATATACAGTAAGTTTGTATATTATTTCACAGGAGTGACTGGAGTTTAAAGTTACTTCCTACAAAAAGTCCTGTAATCTCCTAGCTGATACCTCTTGTCCTTATCTAACAGTCAGCTGCCCATCCTTTCTCAGCATAACATGCGTATAGCTTTCCGGAAACAGAACTGGGATGACTGGGGTGCTTGCACAACGGCCCGACGTCCTGGCTTTGTTTTCTTGGTACAGTCCTCGTAGCCAATCCACTAGCATCTATGCAAGAGCGCTTCCTATTCTGCACATCATCCTTCAAGCCCGCCGGCTTAAGAATGGTAAAGCCTCACCTATGGAGTTCTGATATCCTCGAGAGGATAAAAGAGCACCACGCTAAGGTAAGCACTAAGATGCGGACAAGACGAGGGATTGTACTCTATTAGTGGGACCTATACCGGTAGATTCCAAACCACCAACACGAGCGGCTGAGAGAATGCAAGCCAGAAGCTTTTCCCTTGGAAAACAGCTGAAGGATCGCAATAGGCAGCAACTTAAAAGGTGCTTTGCGAGCCGAAGAGTGCGGCTTATGCCATTCACGACATGCGGATAAGGATGTAGGGCTGGCTTTGCGCAACCGGCAGAAGCGCGCATGCACATGTTCCTGTGCTACAATGACACTTCTCTAAGAAGCAGGTAGTTTAGATAAGGAGGGGTTGGGAGGAATTCCGTATCACGTCTTTATCTCTAGCTTATTCTTCAAGTAGGGTTAATGGCTTTGATAATGCAACAGAATGAGTGACTCTTCCGATCATCTCGGATTTCGGCTGACTCATATGTTATTTAATTGAATTTCCCGGGCACCGGGTATAAGTTGGATCCAATGCCCGGCCTGCGCTTCATGCGAACGGGATGAGAGGATTCAGGCCTCCGATCGCTTACAAAGACTCAACATGACTGATGTCGATTTCACCTCGCTATTCAAGACGGAGCGTCTCGTGTTTCGGGCCATCGCTGATGACGCCGCAGATCGAGAGTTCATTGCAGATGGAGTCCTAGGCGATCCTCAGTCCCTGGGAACCGGGATTGAACAGCTCCTCCGACCACTTAACAAAATGGCAATTGATGAGCTGTTGAGCTTGGTAGTCAGCAAAGTGCTCCTGGGCGTGATGATCTGCCTTCCTGGCGAGGAAGAAGAGGACGAAGATGTCAAGGATGACGAGCCACTCAGCGACGAGACAGCTTCTAAACTTGCAGAAAAGAAACGGGAGAAGGAGAAGAGGATGAAGACCCAGCCGTGGAAGAAGCCAAAGCCCATCCCAATTGGGCTTCTGCTGGTCGGTTTCAACAACGCCCCATGGGAAGCTCATATCAGGGACGTCACCTTCAGCATTGGTATTGCCGTCCCCTGGCAAAATAAGGGGTATGGGTTTGAGTCATTGAATTGGGCCTTGGACTGGACCTTCAGAGTTGCCAACATGCACAGGGCCAGCATTGAAGTACTGGGGTGGAATCCTCGAGGTTATCACCTCTACAAGAAGTTAGGATTTGTTGAGGAGGGAAGGATGAGGAAGAAGATGTACTATAATCTGCAGTGGTATGACAGGATACAGTTGGGGATGTTGAGGGAAGAATGGGAGGTTCTGAGGGGCCTGAGAACAAGTGAGTCATTGACGGATAACTCCCTGTAACCTGCTCCACACGGATACACATCTTAGCAAGGATTGAGGTTAGGTATATGATAGATTCTTGGATTGAAATAGGCCTAGCTCTAGCTTTGATCTTATCCAGAGTTCCATTCATATCATACTTGCAGCGCCGCGTCTTCCCGTGCTGCATGTGATCCCTTTCTCCAAGAGTCTGTAGGGTCCAATTTTTTCTTATGTGCCTTTTCTTCCCCAACTCTTCCCCATCCGCCACCGCCAGGAGTACAGATAATGATCCTATCTCCAGCCTTCATTGGGGCACTATTCTTAGCTCCAAGATTGATGAAGCGCTCTTCATATTCGGTCTCTTCGTCGTTGTTGTTACCGTTGGCTTGACCGTTGCCGTTCTTGAGTCTGCGTAGCTGCTTCTCCCAGCTTGCTTTCTCGACATTCCTAACCCAAAGATTCAAGCCACATTCAGCGTCCTCTCCTCCAGCTAATCCATACGGGTGATAGACTCGTCGCTCACTGAGGATAGAAGCTTGCACAGGAATCCGGAACTCGATATCTCGTGTCACTCCGTCACCACCGCGATGCTGGCCATTGCCTCCTGAGCCTTTGCGAATCGAGAATTCACGCAATATTACAGGGTATCTCCTCTCGAAAACCTCCGAGTCTGTGATGCGAGTATTGGTCATATGGGTATGGACACCACTGGTACCGTCCCAGTCCGGGCCTGCACCGCTGCCGCCTGCGATGGTCTCGTAATATCCGAAACCCTTGACCTCTTCCTGGCCGGCCATGTTTCCACCGAAACCGAAAGTGAGGTTATTGCAATCACCTTGGCTGGCGGCACAAGCCTGGAAAGCTTTAAATATCACATCCGTTACTCTCTGGCTTGTGAGAACATTGCCTCCCACCACGGCCGCATGATCAGAAGGAGAAAGCAGCGATTTAGGCGGTATCTTCACGTTGATGGGCTTGAGGCAGCCCTGGTTAAGAGGAATGTCTTCTGAGATCAAACACCTCAGACAGTAAATAATGGCACTTGTTTGATGTTAGTGTCTTGTGCATCCACGTAGAAGATTGATCATACCTGTATGTAACGGCTTCCGGAGCATTGATATTGCCGTAGACCTCAGAGCCAGTTCCTTCAAAATCGAACACTGCCTCGCCCTTCTCCGCATCAATTGTGACCTTCAGCTTTATTGGACTTCCGTCATCCATAAAATCAACAGCAGAGAGATCCTTGCCTTCGAATTTCTTGCTGACTTGCTTCAGAAGCCGTCGAACACAGAATTCGGCATTGTCCTGGATATTCTTCATGTAGAACATGACAGTGTCTTCTCCGTATTCCTGAATGAGGTTCTCTATCAACGAGATGCCCTTCTGATTTGCAGATACTTGGGCACGAAGATCGTTAATGTTGTCTGCGAGGCAGCGCGTTCCACTGCAGCCCGGATATTTGGCGGGTTCTTTGTAAAACAACTCTATTACTCTCTCCTCGTTGAATTTGCCTTCACTAACAAGCTTCTCGCTCTTGATAGCGGCTCCTTCCTGGTATAATTCGCGAGAATGTGGTGGCATACTTCCGGCGGTAATACCGCCGATGTCAGCGTGGTGAGCACGCGATGCTGCATAAAAGAGAATGTTTTCCCCCTTTTCATCAAATGCTGGCATCGTAAGCGTCACGTCCGGGAGATGGGTTCCGCCATACGAGGGATGGTTAGAGATAATCACATCGCCCCGTTTGAGATCTCCCTTCCAAATTTCAGCCTGTCGTTTTACGCATGTTCCCATGGAACCAAGATGAACGGGTAGATGTGGTGCGTTCGCAACCAGGCCTCCGTTTGCGTCAAATATAGCGCAAGAGAAATCGAGTCTTTCTTTCACATTGGTGCTCACACTCGTCTTCTGTAGCGCCCTCCCCATCTGTTCCGCGATGGCCATGAAGCGATGGCCAAAAACACTCAGAAGAATCGGGTCAACCTCGCGGTCCGACTGATCTCCTTCCTCTTCGCCCCTGCCCTTGTCCTCTTCTATGTTGATGACAACATGGGTTTCAAGGACCAGTGCCTCAGCTTTCGGGGTCACAACAATTGTTTGCGTACCATCAGCCAACATCGCTGGTCCTTTGACGCTACTGCCCACATCCAAATCATCCAATTTATAGATAGGGGTATCCAAACGGCCGCCTTCAAAATAGACTTCTGCAGTTGAGTGTTTCTTGTTGTCTGTGACCGCTTGTCGCTTCAGCGACTTTAACTGTTGGTCGACCGTCTTTTCAGAGTACCGAAAGCTCTTGCCAATACCTCTGACCCGAACATCATCAACAATGATATCTCTATCATCTAGAGTAAACCCAAACTCGTAGCGGTGGTGCTTAACAAATGCCTTTCCAAACGCCCATTCTATGCCATCAAAATGTTTTTTTGCATCATCTTGACTAGGCTTGATGATCATGAGAGCAGATTCTGTTCCTCGGTATCTCATATTGAGATATTCCTCAAACACAATTTCTTTGTCCTCAAAACCTTGTTCTTTAAGGGCATTGCGTGACTTCTCCTTCAACTTCTCCATCTTTTCCTTAAGTTCGTCAACGACTTTCCCGTCGTCAGCCCAGACCTTTGATTCAGGTTCCTGCCTCTCGTCCACGACATCAGCTAGAGCCATGCCGTACGCTGAGAGAACAGACGAATAACGATGAATCAAAATTTGCTTGATACCCAGTGCCTCCGCAATGGCAACGGCGTGCTGACCACCCGCGCCACCGAACGTCGCAAGTCGATGTTTTGAAGAATCGTGGCCTTTTGCCTCAGTGATAGAACGTATGGGACGGGTCATGCTTTCGTTTGCGACGGTCAAGAAGCCATATGCCACCTCATCGACGCTCATATTTTTGCCAGTGTCCTTGTTGATTTGATCAGCAAGTTCTTGAAGCACCTTCTTACTGGCCTCCACGTCAAGGCCCTCATTCTCATTCTTGCCGAAGATCTTGGGGAAGAACTCAGGAAGTAATCTGCCAAGATACAAGTTGGCATCTGTGACCGTTGCCGGTCCTCCCTTTCGGTAGCACGCCGGTCCTGGGTGTGCACCAGCTGACTCTGGACCGACCACGAATAACCCGTTTCTGAAGAACAACATTGACCCACCACCTGCCGCGACTGTGTTGATATCCAGTTGTGGTGATTGGATGGTAACACCCGCCGTTGTAGTTTCGAACGTATGATCATAACGACCCTCTCCATATCGAGAGACGTCTGTACTAGTGCCGCCCATGTCGAAGCCGATCACTGGTATTTTCGTTTCCTCATCATAAGATGTGATGGCGTAGCCAACGACACCGCCTGCGGGTCCCGACAGAATGGCTTTTAGACCTGTAAACTTCTCCACGTCTACGAGGCCGCCGTCGCTCTGCATGAACTCGCACCTTGCACCCCGGTCCCCCTTTTCCTGCTTGACACTCTTAGTGCCTAGTCCACCCTCGAAACCATTTTGGAATCCGGATATGTATTTCTTTATAGCAGGGGTCAAGTATGCATCCGCGCAGACTGATGTAGCCCGAGACACTAATTTGATCATTGGCATGAGCTCGGAGCTTAGCGATATGTGTTTGAAGCCAATATCTTGAGCAATCTTGCCAACTGTGGCTTCATGGTCGGGAAACGTATAAGCATGCATTAAGCATACTGCTATGCTCCTGATACCTTTGTCATATATCTCTTGCAACTGCTTTCTTATTGCCTCTTTCTCGGGCCTTCGTAGAATTCGTACTGCCTCGCCGGACAAGCCCATGACCAGATCTGCTTTCTCAGCTTCTGCGGTTCCCGCTTTCACCTCTGCTTGTGTGATCTTCCGCGTTGGATCTTCAGCGTAGTCCTCGAGCGTGACTCGCTCATCGATCTCCACGACCTCGGAATAGAGGACGTCGGGCTTGTGGATGGCTAGGTCGAAAATCTTGGGCCGCGACTGGTTCCCGATAGCTAAGCAGTCCTTGAAGCCTTTGGTAACCACCATTGCTATTGTCTCGCCCTTACGTTCTAACAGCGCATTCGTAGCCACGGTGGTCCCCATACGAATCGACTCGATCTTAGTCGTGTCGAGGGCTTCCCCGCGTGGGATCTCGCGCTTCAAGAAGTGCGACATGATGCGCCGTATGCCCTCCAGCGGGGCATCTTCATAGTTGGCAGGGTCTTCGGACAAAAGCTTGATCACGATATCCTCCCCATCCACATTGCCCACGCAATCTGTGAAGGTGCCTCCACGGTCAATCGCTATTCGGATGCCCCGCTCGCTTTTGACGTCAGCCATGATGGTCCTCGGTCTTCAGTAATGATTAGGGCTTTAGGTCCCATATAAGGGTTCTAAATCGAGATTATAGATTGCCAATCGAGCATCAATCTAGCATTCAAAGTGGTAGAAATCGGGCAGAGTCAAGAGACACGAACAACGACAAAATGTCACTATCGTCCAACCTCACCTGTCGTCATACTCACACGCGATACCGATAAGAAACCTACCCCACAGTGGGGAGGCGATTGAATTGCTAATCCTATAGTGGCCCAAGCTTCCTACAATTTCAGCAGCTATCAGTGCGCCCTTGTGCTCATTGCCGGTGTTCCCTGCACCCTAGCAATAGAATGCACTTGTTTGATTGGCGCCCGCGTCACTGATCGGAGGGATGAGCCTTTTTGATTCTTGTTGCACTTCAATTGTGGCATTGTACTGTGATCTTCAATTGTAGAAAGCCATGCTTGCTAATCTAACCATGTCTACAGTTCTTGAGGAGCCACGGCAGCTTCTCGAGGCTGACATATGGGCTCTCTTCATACAAGCCCCCTATTCACTCGCCTTATTGGCGGAAGTGTGCCCTGCATCCGAGGGTGCTGTCTACGGCTAACTGCGGCTACAACCTTGCATTGGGATGAGCCGTGTCTATGAGGCTCGAAACTCTTCCCACCGCGGTACGGATTAGGCAGAAATGGCCAGATCATAAGCCGATGACCTAAGGAAAGCCGAAGGGTCAAAACCGTTGATAGTGACGACTCATGTCGCACAAGGCCAGTCAAGCCGTCGTATGCCGCCTGACTTGGGAAAGGAGTGCTGGCACCGCGCTAGTCCATCAAACGCCCGGCTAGAGCCATCTGCACACCCCCTGGCAACAACTTGAGGCTCAACCGAAGCGGTGATCCTGACCTACTGCACAATACGGCCTTCTGAGCAAGTGCCTGACCCTGCAAAGTGCGTTGTTAGCAACATGTTGCCATGACGTGTCTGAACAAGTGATGTATAGTGAGGTTTGATATCAGTGAGTTTGAGAAGATTGTTTTACGCGGTTTTCGTCGGCATCACACCAGCAGTAGTCCCGGATACTCCAGGACAACCAGTGCTCCGATGGCCCCGCGGCGGTCATCATGAAGGAGATACGGTAACCAAACAAATGAAGACTACTCACCATCGTCCATGAGGCACGCGAATCTCAAGCGGAACAGCACGCCGGATGGTCTGATACACGTAGGTAGCGGTTCAGAGCTTCTGGCGGGTACTGGCGCGTCGACACCAGCCTGGAAACCCACATTGGCAGCATCATGTCCGAGTTGAGACGTAGTCTGGTTGGTGTTCAAGCTTCCGGCCGGAATTTTCCTCGCTTCTCCTTCATGGCGCTGACCTTCTTTCTGTCTTCCTCGAACCTCTTCAGGAGTTCGGCTTGCTCCGCCTTCTTCCTCTCCCGTAGCTGGAATCGGTAGAAGTTGGTCATCTCAGTCTTCTTCTTCTCCTGCTTCTCTAGCATCTTGCGACGAGCCTCCTCTGCCTCGTCGCTACGAGCGGGTGCATTCCTTCCACCCCTAGTAACAGTGACAAAGCCATCCTCATCAGGTTCGTTGCGTAGCCTCTTCGCGAGCTCGTTCGCCTCTTGCTCTTTCTTGTTGAAGAGTGTGAAGAATGCATCAACACTGTTCTGCAAAGCCTCCTTGTCAGGATACGAGAGACGATTATGAGACCTCAGCCATTGAGATCCCAATGCAGGTACTTTGCTCCCGATTGATTCTCCCCAGACGGGATACTTTTTTGTTTTGTGGACCTTCGTGATGGCTTTGAGGACCAGGTCCACGCTCTTCTCATCCGCAAGCAAGACTACAGCCGTGCTGCCACTCTTCACTAATCGACGTGACCATGTTTCCGGCATGCGCGCAATCTCTTCGTCCTCTTCATCCGATTCGCTGTCATTCCGCTTCCTTTTCCGGGAAATGCTCGCCAGCCTGGCTGCTTGCGCTGGCTCGAGAGACGCTGGAGATGCACTCTTGTCCGCTTCGAAGGTGATGCTCTCAAATCGGCCATTCCCAACAAGATCCGAGAAGATCGCACGGAAGTGCGCCTCTGTACTATCAACGGGCACGTTCGTCAAGAAGAGGCTTCGAGAATCGTGGGCGGTGGGGAGTTTGGGTGCATTTCGACGAGCGTAGACGTAGTGAATGACGCTGTAAGAATATGCCGGCAATGGCGGTATGCTGATGGGGAGAACGGAGAAGTCTCCGATTTCTCTTGGCACGGATGCCATGACTGGGTGTGCTGTCCAAAGGCCGTCGTGTCGCTATCACCAGTTTCGTTGTGAGCGAGAATGAAGCTTGGATTGGCATGGAAAGAAAATTCAGTGCTCTCTGAGGCCCCACTTCCAGCCTTGCAGTGGCCGATCTTGCTGATTGGCACAATTATTTAGCGGATCGGGAGGCGTGATAGCCCTTGTAAGTTCTCCCAGCTATTGCTGAATGCTCTAAATTCTGGGCTGCACAGACCAGACCGGAAACGAGAGTGAGTTTGTTTGGGAAGCGCACGTGTTGACGGTCTCCGCGGGACTCTGTAGACCGTTCAACACAACGGTATCTCAAGGTCATCATTCGGGCCCGGACAACACGGCCACCGACCGGAGTCCCTTGATTCCCAGAGCCGTCAACCCGCCCGGTCTCATTCGCTGGCTACGGGCAAGTTAATTACGACACTTGACAATGCCTCCGGCTGGAGCCTGTCGCTTCGGCAAGCCCCTCGGCCGAAAAAAGCCGTAGGCGTCATTAGTCATTTGGAGCCAAATAGTTCTCTCCACCTAAGACTACTACTTCGATGATGCAGAGTTCCATCTAGAAACTCACCTTTTTCAAGTTTTCTCGTGTAGTCACTTTTCATCTTTCAAAACAACATAATGTGTATGTCGAACACATGAGATTCTCAAAATCTTGGTGGTAGTGTCCGCTTCGACTCTTAAGACCGTCATGGCCATAGAGGGTCTCGAGAGCTTCAAGCACTTCTTATCGGGCAAGAAGCGGAAGCCAGACTCAAAGCCGCCCTTCCTCTTGTCCTGGCGTTCTTCCACCACCTTCATCCTTTTGACTGTCTGCTTAGCTGTCTTTACCGACATTCTGCTTTACGCCTTGATAGTCCCCGTGCTCCCTTATGCATTGACAACTCAAGTCGGTATACCGGAACACGAAGTTCAGCGATGGAACGCTATTCTCTTAGCTTGCTACAGTTGTGCCTTGTTCATAGGCAGTCCCATCTTTGGGATCTACGCTGACCGCACCTCGTCCCGCCGCCTCCCCCTACTGATTGGCCTCTTGGCCCTGGCCGCTTCAACCCTCTTACTATGCTTAGGGAAGTCCATTGGGTTGCTAGTTCTCGGCCGACTCCTCCAAGGCGTTAGCGCCGCTATTGTTTGGAGTGTCGGCCTGGCTCTACTGGCAGACACGATGGGGGCCAATATCGGTGTAGGTATGGGATATACCAGCATTGCAATGTCCGGAGGGTTGCTCGTGTCCCCCGTCATTGGCGGAGCTGTCTACGCCAACTGTGGCTACTACGCCGTCTACTATGTTGCTTTTGGAGTGATCATCCTCGATATCATCCTGCGCTTTATTCTTATCGAGAAGAAGGTGGCACGCCAATGGTTACCGGACCAACCCGATCAAACCAGTGGCTCAGCCGTCTTGAAGGAGCCTCCAACAGCGCCGGATAGCAGCTCAGTTGCAGAACAGCGGGCTGAGAAGCGAGCAGATGACAGCGGGACACTGAGCCAAGATGACAGCGCTACTGCTGTGTCACCAGCGCCTGTTTTGCCGCTTCCAAGTTCCAAGGCGAAGTACCCTACTCTGAGGCTGCTCAAGTCCCGCCGTATTCTAGCGGCTCTGTTTGGTATTTTCATCCAAGCTGGGATAATGTGAGTTGTGAGATCCGATCCCGAGCGGTCTACACCGCCGGAGGCTGTTGTGCGGCTTATTGACCCCTTTCCAGGGTTTCATTCGACACAGTGATACCACTCTTCGTCAAGACCACATTCAACTGGTCCGCGACTGCGGCTGGTCTCATCTTTTTCTGTGTTTTTGTTCCTAGCGCAGTCTTGTCTCCTCCAGTGGGATGGATGTCTGACCGTTACGGAGCCAAATGGCCGTCATTGGCAGGCTTTGTGGCCTCTGTCCCTCTGTTAGTGTGCCTACGGTTTGTCACAGAAAATAACATCAGACATAAGGTGCTTCTGGGTGCCTTGCTGGCGTTGATGGGCGTGACGCTGACTTTCTCCAACGTTCCGCTCATGGCGGAGATCACTTACGCCATAGAAGCAGAAGACCGCAAGGCGCCAGGTGTATGGGGTGAGAAAGGAGTCTATGGAATAGGGTATGGCCTGTTTTGCATGGCTTTTGCTCTAGGGAGTACTATTGGCAGCATAATGGCAGGCTACATCGTTGCTGGACAAGGTTGGATCACGGCAACCTGGGCATTAGGAATTTGGTGTGCGGGTGGCGCGGTTGTAGTGTTGGTCTGGGTGGGAGGTGAGCCGCCTCTGAGATCCAAAGACAAGCCAGAGGAGAACGATGTTGAAGGGGGTGACCCAAGGTGAACGATACAACGTTGTACGGTACAGTGCATTAGCCGCTCGGTATGGTTGGCCGCATATCAGTCTTGAGCGATGACATGTGTAAGGCTGCAAGATGGATGAGTTGTCCCTCTAAGGCTTGGGATTACATTTGTATACTGGCCAGTATGCATCCATGCCTAACGCTAAGGATAGGTCTAGTCATATATCAAAAAAGTTTAGATCTCTACCACTATGCGTCCCATGCCTCTACTGACGCAGGACAACATACTGTTTCCTTTCTCTTCCTCGAAAAGTGCTGTTCCACGATGGTCCACTTTACCTTCCCTGAGAGTTAACTTACACGTCCCGCAGTTACCGACCTCGCAAGATGACGGTATATCGTCAAATTGCTTTTGTAAGACTTCAAGCAGTGTTTCTTCTTCTCCAACTTTGACTGTAACATTCCGATTCGCGACGACAGCCTCGAACGGGTCACCAGATATGTCTGCTTCGAACGCCTCAAAGTGTACTTCTTTCTCATCAATACCAGCAGCTTTCACCTCCCGGAGAGCCGTGTCCATCAAGGACTTGGGGCCACACACATAGATGGCCGAGTTCCACGTCATATTTTTGATCACGTTGCCAACGTCCATTCGTTGACCTTTCTGTTTGTCATAGAGCCTTACGCTGTCTCCTAATTTGTCCAGGCGCTCCTTGTACGGCCTTTCATCTTCCGATCGCACCGCATAGTGTAGCTCGACACTGTAATTGATTCCCTGTAACGCCTCCATTATACCCAAGAATGCCGTGATCCCGATACCGCCAACAATGAACAGGTGATTGCTGGCGGCACCGACCACGTCTACCGCGTTGGTGATACGCCCAACCTGCAGGATGTCATCCACCTTGACAGTTTCATGGAGATACTTGGAGCCACCTCTGCTCTTATCATCCAAGGCAATACCGAACTCGAGCCGGTTCTGGTTGCCACCAACAATAGAATAGGCTCGAACTAGGCCATTTCCAAGCTTGATTTTAGCATGTGCTCCGAGAACTGACTCATCTTCCTCAACCTTGTCCACCGCCTCCAAGACAAGGGTCATGATCCGTGGCGTCTGTTTCCTCTTCTCCACTAATTTGAAGTCGCGCCACTTCTGTTCCTCTTTCGGTTTCTTGTCCTTCTTGGACTTTGCCTTTGCAACCCGGCTCTCAAAAGCCCCCTTGCTCTCGACGCCGAACTCCTGAATTGCTGCCAGCTCCTCATTCATAGCCAAGTTGTCCTTGTTGCGGTGCAGATACTCCTGTATCCGCTCGATCGTCCACTTTGGGTGCTTCCTCTCAATGAGACGGATCTCGTCGCCCGCCTTGACCGTACCCTCCTTCAGCACGCGGTAGTACCAGCCCGTTCTACTGGTCTTCCACGTGTTGGGTGCAAAGTTCTTAAGCTGAAACCTGTGGTTCAGCTTGAAGCATGGCTGGCGCGGCAGGCTGACCTGCAGCACCAGCTCATCGCCTACTGCCATCACGTCGCCAATGCACACGTTTCTCTCGTTCATTCGAGCCGTCACGAGATTCTCCCCGAAGCCACCAGGGCGAAACGCATCGGCTGCGCTAGGAAATTCGGCTTTCCAGGTGTCGTAGTGCGTGCAGCAATCTGCGAGTGATCAGTGACGTGCAGAGAATCGTGGCGCGCTAGGGCCAGGTCCATACAGCCATGAATCGCCTTGTCTTCACCGCCATGAAACGTGTAATCGTGTTCATCCCCGATGATGCCCATCTTATTGACCTTGACTGGTCCATCCAGCAGGCTCTTGTCGATCCCAGAAAGGATAGTCAGTCCCCTTAGGGGCTTGATCTTCCCTGAACGAACCTCCAGAATTGTATCGCTAGTAAAGGGGGCGTACAAATCAATCGCTTCTGTATTGGCCATTGTAAGCGTCACTTGAGGTCCTCGACCCCGCTCCTTGTAGGAATTGATCAAGGCAGTCGAGAAATCAAAACTGGGCCTCAAAAATTCAATAGATTCAGCATTAGAGTTCCAGCTACTCAAAACTAATAAAAAGGAGAAAGAAGGAGGATCTAGGCCGAGTCGACGGATTCGAGACCTGCCTTAAAAGGGGTGCGTAACCGGATTGGAAAATCCTATGATTGGTTCCTGCGGTCACTGTACCGCTTCTGGCGCCCATTGTGAGGGACCCCACAAAAGTTGTATTTCAGCCTGGAAGGGCGTAACAATAAAATGCCTTTTGCGACATGCATCAACGATCGGACAAGACTCCTTGAACGTTCGGTATCAATGCACAATAGAATGTACCCGAGAATGGATAGTAAATATAACGAGAAGACTGAAACGAAGATTTTCAGGAGTTTTCTAGGCGTAAGAGGAGCAAAACCCGTTCGACTTGAAGGCCTGCTGTAGCAATGGATCTGTAGCTATTAGCTATCAACATAAAAAGGGGCAATCTTGTGCGAACCGTAACTCACCTTACTTTTCATTTACCACCAGGCAACAGTGCAAGAATACTCAGAGCCGAAGGAAGGTCTGATAACATCTTGTACTCTGTTGGTCGTAGAAGGATGCTCGATCAGTCATAACTTGACTGTTAGTCAATCCTTTGTTTCCCAACTACCGTTATGAGATGTAATGATCATACATTGGCACTTGCCATACTCTTCGTTGATCCTTGAAATGCCTTTACAAATTCGTACCCGAGCTTAACGTGACGGCCGTTTTGAAGGGGGACCCGCAACTCTACCATGCACAAACAGTCTTATAAAAGAAAGAGATTACTCAAGAAGAATGAAGTCGAAGATTTCGGACCTTTTTGATGTCGTGAGACATCGAGTCCAGCATAAGCCACCTAGAAGTCAAGGGGTCAAGGTTGTCAGATAACAAGACAACCTAGAAAATGCGGCTGGAGGCTACCAGGATCTCTTCTCCAAAGAGCAAGATGTCACACGAGACCGCCAAATCAGACGGTATGACTTGTCGTCATATTATTTGCCATCCAGCCTCGGACCGAGATCTGTCTCACACGCATCGAGAATGACAACTCAGAAGACAACGTCAGCGGAGTCTCAATTCCATTCGGCCTCGCTCGGAGCCTTGCTCATTTGCGCAGCGAAAGCTGAACCCCGGACACGAATCCAGCGGGAGGCGTTCCAGATGATCCGAAGTGCAAATTAGAACATGGCACGAGGAGAAGGCTACCAATCGGGCACATGACAAACATTCATATGCATCTTCCGGACGCCACAGAGTGACATCTTGCGGCTCTACATTTCGACACACTCTATTGCCAAGTTACTTGAGATAAGCCGAACCTCGGCCGCTTCAGAGCCCTGAGCCGAGATGTGCGGCCAGACAAATAGGGTGTAGTGTATAGCTGTGCAATTGGAAGTCTCTGACTGACCTAAGCAAGTAGTTTATATGCATTCTAAAGATATTCAGTGGTGGCGTCCAATAATGAGTAATAGAGTATTTCAAACTTCCAACCCAGTCTGATATTCTCGTCGAACGAGCTTGGTCAATAAAGCTCATTTGTTGCCTTGCTGAGAAATCGGGCATCCGAGCGCAGGACTGTCTAGAGAATTGACGCAGATCAGCTAGAGCCGCATTCCCCCTCAAGTGGCCCCTGAGGAATGAAAGAGTGCCTGTCAATTAAACAAAGAATTGCAGTCCTGCTCGTTGCCAAGGCGGGTGGACTAAGGTGAGGAGAATGCGGCTGAGAATTCCAACCAGAGCCTCGTGACGAACAGGGTAAGTGCCCTGGCAGGTCAGATTTGCAGGATCTATTAACGGCGATGGCCTGATTGGTGAATAAATGCGGGATGCGTTGATACGAGGCATAATAAGGAGTGGAGCAACATAATGTGACTTTCTGAGGTTGGGCGGAGAGTTTGCTTGAGGAAGTGGGTGGGAGGAGGAACAGGGGCAGCATAGAGATGAGGCTCTGCGCTCGTGAAGGGAGCTGGAGACCTGGACAGTGGGCGAATTGGATACCCGCACCTCCACTGGCCCTTGCCCATTTTGTCGCCTTTACCGTGGTTGGCGTCCAATAATTTGACGGTAGCACACTAACTTCCTACGATCCCCTGTTACCCTTGGAACCTTGGAACCTTGCACAATGCTGCGTTCCGCCTATCAAATACTTCGTTTTTAGCGAGATACCTTCCAAGGTTGCTACTCTCCCTGAGACAAGGGCGGACTGTCAGGAACATTTTGTACCACTCTCGCCCCGCTTGTACCAAACATCCATGCCTTGCTCAACCCTGGTGTTATTACTCCCTAGCTCCTTCCATGGAACTCCTACGTGCCGAAGAGCCTCCTCCCCAGTCCGAGATGGATCATTTTGAGCCTCAATTCCTTGTCGGGATGGCACGGTGCCTGTGAGGTCCCAACTGTAATTCTCTACCGTAATTAGGCGAAAGACTTCCAGTCAACAGGTCATTACCGCAATTGTTGTCAGTCTCCATTCGCGAGGCGAACCGCACAACAAGATGGAACTGACCACAGAAATTTGAGCACTTTCGCCGCCAACTCATATTACATGACTCCCGTGCCACATGAGAGAGCCTTGCTCAGAAAGGTACAGTGTGCCATGTGCTGTGAATTAGAACCCAATACAGCTGGCCCGGGGTCCACTCCTGAAATGTTCACACTCCTTGCGGTGTCTTCCTTTTCGACCTACCAAGGTCTTGCACTTTCGATGACTGAGGAATGACCACACAGCCTTGCACCCTCCCCAGTCATCAACAGTAGCCTTTTTTATAAAGCCCCCTCCTGGTCACCAACTGTCTGGCTTGCAGGAGAGCCATGTTCTGTCTTTCATTCATGAGTCTCCAATTGGTCTACCTTATGCACCGTCTACTTTTTCGTCACTGCATCCACCCAACCACAACATGTCTCGTTAGGGTATTCCATTCTTTTTTCCAGTTCGATGGCGAGACGAGTTGGCTTCGTGAATCACCGGTGATATGTCGCTGAGGCATCTCCCTTATGAGATTGTATTCTACGTTGCTCAACAGCTAGATCTAGAGGATGTCTACAACCTGAGCCTGACTTGCCGCCAGTTTCAGTATCTTGCCAAAGAAGATAACATCTGCAAGGCGGTACTTGAGGTGAGATTTAGGAAACTCGACGCTCATTGGCAGATTCACTCGTATACGCTTGTTCAAGACTCAGCTAACGATGTGAGGCGCAGTCAACGGCGGCTGCGACTTCCGAAGCAAAGGAGGCGAGAATTACGAAGCGCTACGCGTCTGCATTGAGGAGGCTTGCCAAGCGGCGAGTTGCTCTCCAGTCAGCAGACCCCTTTTTGGTGGCGGCGGTTGCTGTGGCGGAGACGTATCTCTACGTGAACGGTAATCTCTGTTACATTGCAGAGTGGTCGTTGCGAATTCTCGACCTACACAACTCGTCGCGGGTCGAGGACGTGGTCGACATTCTTACGTTACTGGACGCTGCGATCGAGCCTCCCGTCAATACTGAGAAGGACGAATTCAAGCTTCTTCACTATTCTCACGGTGTTGTTTCTTGCCTCTATTCTAGGCGGAAGAACCAAGAGTTCAGTTGGCTCATTGTCTTCAACCCCAGCGAGCGCCGCATTCTGACCGCTTATCCACTTGAATCGACTAACAAAATCTTTGTTCGGAACAATGACGAATATCTTTATTTTGGGACTCATTCAGAGTATGGAGACGACGGATTTAGGAGGTGGGTGTTGCAGGGTTACTGCTTCAGCGACGAGAAATGGTTCGATCAAAAAGTTCACCTGCTGGAGATGGTCGGATCAGACATCGGCGGATCGATAGCATTCGAGATAATCGACGGTTACTTCTACGGCATTTCAAATCAGACAAGCTTCGAGGTAGAGGAAATCAACTGGACTTCGTATTACCATTGCTTTCGGTTTCCTGTCGACCAGCCACGGCCAAAGAAGACAGAGGTCTCGGTCAAAGAAATGATGTGGCGCAGGCAGCACGCAGAGGGACCGATTGACGATCGATGGTCCTTCATAAAATTAGAGAAAGAAGAAAAGAGCGGCTCTCTGAGAATAATAGAGTCAAGGAAGGAGTGGATCAAAGGGCAAAGCTCGGCGACAAGGACCTATTATACAACCAACGTTATTTTCCCAGCTACCGGCGCGATCAATCTAGGTAGGGGCTCGAATGGAGAGGGCAGCAGTGCTAATCGGTCAACTATTGGCAATGCAAAGCCCGACCAATTTCTAATCCCGACCAAGGAGGAAACACCGCGACGCAATCCGTTCAACACACACCAGGGCGACGACGCCGCCTCTGATGTCATGTTCATCCTGACAAAATGTCACATACGTTCATATCATTCAACATGTCAAACGTTTATAGATCTCGTGGACGATCCGTTGCCTACTAATCCTCAAGATCAACGGCTCCGTATCCGAGCTGGCTCACGACGAGCACGGCCTTTGGAAGAACTTACGCCTGAGGCACGTCGCTATGGTCATAACCCGCAGGAAGATGACCCTTCTACGGAGGAACAGATCAAGGCGCTATATCGAAACGATGGGGACAATAGCATTGCCTACTGGCCTCCAGAGCAGGAGGAGGGGCAGCTAACAGACCCTGCTTATGATGAGCTCAACCGGCTGCTAAATCCACCTACACATCTCGGAAATGTGCATGGAACCTGCGACGACAGATCCATGGTCTATGCAACGGGTGGAGCCGTAGATGGAATGCAAGTTCTGGTCTTCGTGTCTTTTGACCCAAGCATCCATCTCCAAGGCCTTCGGCAATGGCGAGATCAACTGACACCGAGAGCCCGATTTCCACACCATAGACGAGAACATCTCGAAAAAGCAAAGGGAAAAGGGAAATTGACCTGCCAACCCCCGCTGGATACGTGTCTTGAGACGGAGCCCGAAACAAGGGAAGATTGGGCTCTAGAAATCGGTCCAACTCCTGACGAAACACTCGAGGGATGTGGCTTGAGATGGACCCAACAGGAGCCAGCTCTCTATCTCACACTGGCTTGGGGTTTTAACTTTGCTCTATGAGTGCTAAGTTCGGGCCTGAAGGTGCAACTACCTCGATGAAGGAGGATATAAGGGTCATGGGTTGGTCGGACCTTGCTACGATTCGTCCTTCTAAAGCGCAATTACACTGCGGTTCGATGCATGACCTGGCTTCTCTTCGATAGTCGGGCACAGCTTGGAGCGGGGAACTGACAGAAAAGGCGGAATTCCCTGCAGCTCAACCCATTCAGACTTGAGAGAACGATCGGACATGTGCGCTATCAGGATTAGCATTCAACGGAGAGAGCCGACTGCAACCTAAGGCTCTGGATTCCCAATCCCGTACGATCAATCCTGCAGGCTGTTCCTGTAATAACTGTCTGCGTGGGGTCTTTCTGACCGGCATGAGTTGCCTCGTGAAGACGTTTGGGCGGACCACGAGCAAGAGTAGTTCGCAAGGCTATCTGCATAAAAGGCAATCATTGAAAACGCCGCACTTTCAGAAATTCTGCCTTGTCTACAATGCATAAAGACTTACCTCCTTTTGGACTACTCTTCTTGAAGGCTGTGTTCCTCAATTTCTTGCGTCAGTCTCGCGGCAGCTCGCACAAACTACATATTGCTTCTTGTTACACAAGCTATTTCGTAACTAACCCCAAGGACATATCAAAACTCAATCCTTAGAAAATTACTGTTCATCCTTTCGGGTCATTGGTTTTCTAAAAGTGCGATTAGACAATGTAATTATCGTTTAATTTACGGTACCTTACAAATAGAATTTCAAATGTTTGGTATCAGAGTGTAGAGTGGGTTCAAGTGAGGCTTCGGAAACACCTTCCCATTCAACTCCCACGCCAATACGCCCGACTAATGAGACGGAGAGTACAGTATCAAGCATGTGTGGGTGGTTTGATGGTACCCCACGGATCTTTATATCACGCCCCAAGTGACTTCTGTGTAGAGCCGATGATATCCAGGGGTTTCGGAACAGCCGTTCGATCTCAACTTGAAACTTCGCTGACCTAAACAAGGGGCATTGGGGTGAAGTCTCTCCGGTCTTACACATCGACACTTCATGGTGTAAATTTGGCCATAAGCAACTCATGGCCGATCATTCCAATGTTATAGCATGCAATTCTACTCTATTAGACTGCATGGCTTTATCTATGTTTCCTTTTGGGAAATATTGGCGTCTAGGCAGTAGCTGCAGAATGCATTACTTGGTGCTGTGCGACCAGGTTGCCGACCGCTTCAGCTCAACTTCCCGCCTGAATAGACCGCTTTAGCTGAAGTCGTGGCTTGACTTCGTTTATTTAGCCGCCACATGCCACAGAAGAGATAATGTGCCGCGCTCACGCCATTTCTGTCACCGTGGCTTGTTCTAGAATGAGGTATAATTATGCCCAGAGCAGAACTAAGGACCAGTGCTACCACTCTCTATCGTGACTTCAATGCAGACTTATTCAGATGCCGATTGCCTCGCTTTCGATGGAAAGTACTTCTGCTCCTCATTCCTCCCTTTGCGCCATCCCAGTCAATGGACACCCGCCTTCTAATCAGCACCGAAATCCTAATGCTTTGATACTATCCCCTACTTAAAGGATACATATATCCTTTGGTCATGGTTATCATTACATAGCTAGATGATCGATACCAACTAGTTGAGCTTGACATAATTGCCTGCGGAATCGAGCGTATCAGCATCAAAGAAATCCATTTCAAGAAACTCGACTTATACTGACCTGGGAACTGTCCAGTCCTCCCTTGTAACCTGCCTTGCCACCATTCATTATCGTTCTGGGTTCTTTGAATAATTTCGATAACATCCCCAGCACGGAAGCTGAGATCTCCTTCCGCTTGCGCGGAGTAATCGTATAGGGCCGTAACAGTTTCGGCCACTGGAGCTCCGCTGAATCGACTTGGCTTCGGCTTCGGTGGCGGGGGCTTCGACTTGGCTGCGGCTGCTGCGGCCAGTCCTGGTGATCCTGGACCAGGAGAGTACGGTGGTGGAGGATTCTCGACCACATCGGATTGGCGTTGATACCCTATCCTTGGTGTTGACGAAGATGATCCAGCAGTAAGCAAGCCTGGGGTCTTGCCTCCTTCTAGAGCAGGCTTGGGCCCGTACTTTGGTGGGCGCGGGCGGCCCGTCGTTTTGAACTTGACAATCGTGAGCTTCTCCGCTTGCTCCTGGATATCACCGCGCTTCTTGTGAAAGGCCTCTTCAACGTCGAGAGTCAAGTCGAAGTAGCCGATATCGCAGTGTTGCATCTTCTCGTGAAGTGTATAAAAGATGTTCAGCTGCATGTAATAGAAAGACTGGAATAGAGGTTGTATAAACTCCCGCTCAAGAGCAAACAACTTCGGAAGTTCGTCCTTTAGAAGGTCGTTGAAGTAGTTGAATTCTTGTGTCGCCTGCTCCAAATCGTTCTCCACCTTATATATGGCCTTCTCGTCCTTCATCGTCTTCTCTTTCTTGTCCTGGAGCTTCTTGAGAGCAGTGCGGTGTCGGTCGTAGTCCAACTTCTTGTGCTCTCGCTTGATTGCAGACTTTCGGATGACCTTGATGACGTCTAGCAGCTCGTTCGCCGGTCGAATTACCCTACTATCGATCATCTCAAGCTCCGGCGCCAGCGTTTCTTGGAGGTCCTTGACGACGGCCTCATACTCCTCGCACGCCCGGATACCCTCGGGATTGCCCTCGATCTTCAGCGAATCCGGATCTGACATCCTCCCGCTTATGGGCTTGTAGATCTCCGTCATCGCCTTCGAGAATTCGATCTGGTGGGACAGCATGCCGTTGATGGCATCGAAATATCGCTTGGACTCATCATGTAGTTTCTTCGTCTCGGTTTCGAGTTCCTGGAACCGCCTTTCGGCATCTATATAGACAGCATCCTTTGTGTTCTCGCCGATATTAAACCTCGACTTGAATTGTTGCGGCGCCTACAAAGGAATGGGGGAGTTAGTCCATAGTGGACGATCTGCACGGCGAGGGCTCGTCATGGAAACTTACACGAGAGATAGATTTCTGGAACCCCCGGAAACTCATCCTCGCAGAGCTACTGGCTCAATCGCGAACCAGACAGGCGCAACGTGGTGTATCTTTTCGTGGGAGAGGGAAAAATTAGGTGGGTTAGATTCAGGTACGATGCTGATGCGGCGGCAAGCAACCTTATGAGGTGAGCCTAAGCTATCTATCCTTCAGTGACGACGCTGCTAGGTGGCTGTGTCGAGTCAGGTCAGCGTGCGTTCTAGGTGGCGCATCACAAGCCAAGAGAGAGGATCCAGAAGGCTTCAATTTAACGAAACCGGAACTTCGGCATGCGATGCGCAGACACAAACAGCGGCGTAAAAAGAGTAGAAAACGTGAGCGATGATAGCTGGATGTCCCGAAGCGGCATTTGAGATAGTTACAATGCCGACTTTCAACTTGCAGTGCCAGGATTCTCGTGACGGGATTTTGGTAACCCTGATGATGCTGATGCTACTTGTGCTGGCCAGTCAAGCCCGCAGCGCAGCCCTGCTTTGCTTGCTGTGAGGGGCTGCCAGGAGAGGTACCTACAACGCCCGGACAGTCGAATTGGCCCGCGCATGCGGGGTGCAATGAAGGACAACGTCACCGCCCAGCTGCTTCTCTTTCTTCCACGGTCTTCAGCCTGCCCGAAAGAGGAAAGGCTCCCTTGGCGTCGGTGGGGGGTTTCTCCGACCAATCACAACGGAAATTGGAGTTCACCATCTTTTTCTCGCCGCCCTGACCACTGATGGCCGTAACCCCGAGCCAGCGTCCGAACCGGCCCTAAGAGCTACATGGGCATCTCGAAAATTCCCCAATTTGCCGAGCCCTTATATCTACATCTCCGAGTCATCAACTTTTTCCCAATCTCCATATCGTCGACACAGCGGGCGTACGACAACATGGCTAGCATCGCACCGTCCGCGCTGAGGCAGGCATCCCGCCTCGCCTCCAAGACCCCAAGTTTGTCATCTTCTCTGCGTGGTATCCAAACGGCGTCGCGCGTGGCGACTATTCCGGTCCAAAGAGCTTCACATCGGAGCTATGTCACAGAGTCTAAGAGAGACAACGCTCAGGTCGCAGAGGCTAAGATTGAGACGGCTATAAGGTTAGACAGGAAACAGTTCGAGGATGCAGGTCTTGCTCTGGGCGCGCAACAGGATAACCATCAGACAGTCAGTCCTATGGCAGGTAAGCATTTGTCATGATGATAGTCGAGATTCGCCATGCTAATATCCTGTTAGAGGTACTCAAAGAGGCTACGTTGATGGATGAAGGCCAAAGACCGATCTACCTCGACATGCAAGCGACGACCCCTGTTGATCCGCGAGTACTCGATGCCATGTTACCCTTCTACACCGGAATATTTGGAAATCCTCATTCTAGGACGCACGCATACGGATGGGAGAGCGAGAAGGCCGTGGAAGAGGCGCGAGAGCATGTTGCTAGGCTCATCGGCGCTGACCCCAAAGAAATCATCTTCACCAGCGGAGCCACTGAGAGCAACAATATGAGTATCAAGGGTGTTGCGAGGTTCTTTGGCCGATCAGGCAAGAAGAAGCACATCATTACCAGTCAGACCGAGCACAAATGTGTCCTGGATAGCTGTAGGCATTTACAGGATGAAGGATTCGAGGTAACCTATCTGCCCGTGAAGCACAACGGCATGATTGACATGGAGGAGCTCCGAGCTGCCATCAAACCTGAGACAGCTCTCGTCAGCATCATGGCTGTCAACAACGAGATTGGCGTTATCCAGCCACTTGCGGAGATTGGAAAACTTTGCAGAGAGAAGAAGGTTTTCTTCCACACAGACGGTGCTCAAGCCGTTGGCAAGATTCCCCTAGACGTGAACGCCATGAACGTTGACCTCATGTCTATCTCCTCGCACAAGATATACGGACCTATGGGCATTGGAGCCTGCTACGTCCGCAGAAGACCCAGGGTTAGATTAGACCCAATCATCAGTGGAGGTGGTCAGGAGCGAGGTCTGAGGAGCGGCACTCTGGCCCCTCCATTGGTTGTGGGCTTTGGCGAGGCTTGCCGCATCGCCTATGAGGATATGGCTGTAAGTTGAAACAAATTTCCCTCTTTTACTTTTCCTGAATGATGATCTGCTTCTACTTGCATGGCTTTCTGAATCTCTTCCTTTGGAAGATTCGTTTGTTGATATAGCACCCTGTCTGACCTGGACCCTTTTATTCTTATTTTTGCATTATACATTCTCGTCGCCTTGACAGGACTGACCGTGACACAGTATGATTCTAAGCGCATCAAGTCGCTTTCCGACCGACTCTTGAACGGTTTACTGGCATTGGAGCATACCAACCAAAATGGAGACCCAGAGCACTTCTATCCTGGCTGCGTCAATGTTTCTTTCGCTTACGTTGAGGGAGAGTCACTCCTCATGGCTCTCAAGGACATCGCCCTGTCTTCAGGTAGCGCATGCACGTCTGCTTCATTGGAGCCAAGCTATGTCTTGCGTGCCCTTGGCAACAGTGACGAAAGCGCTCATTCTAGCATTCGCTTTGGAATTGGCCGGTTTACGACCGAGCAGGAGATTGACTACGTCCTCAAAGCTGTCCAAGAGCGAGTGACTTTCCTCAGAGAGCTCAGCCCGCTGTGGGAGCTGGTCCAGGAAGGTATTGATCTAGATACCATTGAATGGAGCCAGCATTAAGGACCGGAGGATTGTCCGGGTGCAGCTGGCATCTCTCCTTCTGTCATGAGTCGCTCTTGTTTAGATGTGGAAGGGCAATCGGAGCGATACGTCGCGAGGAGCTATGAAGATGGCGCAAGAGTCGATTTTGATCTTAACGAAGTCGTATTGTAACATATTGTGTAGTGAACACGCCAGAAGGCGTGCTGCAGAAGGATAAGCCCGCCTCAGGCCGGAGGAGGCGTACCTATCAAGGGATTGAACATTTACGTCATTGGGACTGGTATGGGATAACGGAATGCGAACGACCCTCTACTATCGTTTAATGTAGCCAGGCAGAGTGAATACACAGCACACGCTGGATTTGATACCACCTAGCTGGCTAAAATGTCCCGCAGGGCTGAGCTGTACTATATCTGCTAAGGCGAGATAGGTTTTCATCATAAGGCAAACAATCCACGGCCTTCTAGGCCTAGTGGGACAGCATTACGTAGTGGCTGAGGCAAGCTCTGCAAAGACGTTCACATGAGCGCGGTTTCAGCCGAAACTTGGCTTTCAAAGAGCTACGCCAGCTGAGGTGATTCAGTTGGGTGGTGTTTCAAAGGGGCTATGTGATGACATCACTGGACCCTGATATGGTAGGAGCGCCTACCAATGACATCACTAGCAACACCGCCGGCAGGTGCAAACCACCAACACTTGCCCTCTTAGATGGATCGAACCTTTCCGATTCACACGTGGAAATACGTAACGAGGCTCGTACCATCAAATATATAAGAACCTCCAACCTACGCCATCCACCTCAGTAGTCCATCTCCATCATCTCACACAAACGCCATCCACACTACAAGCAAACAAAACAATACCATTCCTTGTCACTCATCGACAACCAAACAAATCAACATCATGTCTTCCAACGATAACACCTCCACTCTCAAGTCCTACGTCGACAGCGCCACCGGCGCCGTTCAGAACGCTCTCGGTTCAATCATCGGAAGCAACGGTGATCAGGCCCAGGGTGCTGCCAAGCAAGACAAGGCTCAGGCCGAATACGATGCCTCTCACGCTACCGCCAAGCTTCCTGGCTTCACTGCCTCTTCTTCCGGTGCAGTGACCAAGGACGACCCCGATCGCGCCGCCGGCTCCTGGAACCAGACTGTCGGTGCCGGTAAGGAGACTCTCGGTGGTCTCGTCGGCTCTGAGAACCTGAAGCAGCAGGGCCGCCAGCAGAATCTTGAAGGTCAGCAGCAAGAGGCTAAGGGGCAGGTCAACGACTTTGCCAGCGGCGCCGCTGATCGCGTAACGGGTACCGTTGGTGGTGCCGTTGCTGGCCTGACTGGCAACAAGGGTGCTGAAGCCGAGTACCAGCGACAGCACGATGAGGGCAAGACTACCCAACGTGGAGCTGAGCACGATATTCAGAAGCAGAACGAGGTTGGCTCTCAGTAAATGCGCCAGGGCAAACATTCATGGCTTAAAGTGGAAGAATTATGATACCCCAAATGGAAAGTCTAGGATGGCTAGATTGCAAGGGAAACAGAGAAATTAGGCAGTCAATACAACACCATCATGGAAAACTCCACTTCCTGTATGCCATAGATCTCATCATACGTGACATGGGCACTACCATCAAGCGTGACGCTGTTTCATACAAGTGCCGTGAATTATCGGCGACTCCCGCTGTATGACACAACAGCTTCGCTAGCCGCCGGGTACATGGGAAATGCTGTCCAGTAGATATGTTTCATGACCGTGACCGTCTAGATGTCGAGTCATCGATTTGGACTCAAGTGAGTCAAAGAGACATTTCAAAACGTAGAGTGGACCAAGAAGCCAGTGTTAGGTTGTATCACTTCTGTAGACAAAATCGCGACGCGAAGGGTACACAGATGCCAAGACTTGGGGGCCAAACGCCACAGTTAATACGCACAGCCACAGCTCGACCGTTGATCTAGTGAGAACGTGCATTCGGCCGAGGAGGGACAACAGCCTTTCAGCCACTTCAACGACTCTCGGAGGAACACACTACGACGCCCTTCGATTTTGCTCCTTACGGCCCCCAATCTCATTCGCCCGATTCCTATTAAGTCTTTCCAGATCGAGGCTAGAGCTCTATTATCTGATCACAACATTGTTCAGGCCTCTAAAGAAGCTGAACCGGCTAGTGCGGGAGCCTGTTGGTGAACCTGCAAGGCGTTCCGGACTTGGTCCAATGAGAGCCGCCATGGCACTTCCATCCACGACTTCGGGACCATGCAAATGCAAGACCAATTCATCGGGGATCCAATCCCGACATGACGAGACTCTGGTGTCTCCGGTCGTCTGGACCATAAATCCAAGGCCCGCGTGACTGCTGTACTTCTGTGGACCACGAGTCTTCTCGGTGAAATCAGGCAGGGGTTAGGGAAACTCGTTCCGGACTGCAGGCCGCTGGCTCGACCCAATCTCATGGGGTTTTCACCCTCCATTCTGAGGCACATTATAGGCTCGACTTTAAGACCTCAGCCGTGTTCTGCCTGAAGCGGTCAAAAACAAACCCAGCTTCATTCACATGTCCACCGTCGATAGTTCGAATGGTGAACGTCGCGTTACACGAGCCAAGATCCTTTGTGTCTATGGCTGAGGGTTCAAGATCCTCGCCACGATGATATGGCCCGGCGGTAGTTGCTGCGGTGCCCCTTTTCCCCTGCTTTTGCTTTGGGAGGTGACCAGGCAGTCCTAGTGTCACCAAGTTTACGTCGTTCAATCTCGCGGCTGAACCAGCCCCCCACACGAGTGTCCCCATGAGCATGGCCATCTCCTGGACTACCCCAGACGCGTGATAGTGAGACATCATCACTACGCCATCTCCCTCTCGGTCTGTCAAGGCAGCCCTGCTAGTGTGCTTGAACTTTGCTTGACTGGGTCAAGTAGACTTGATTACCTTTCCTCAGGGGACTCCACAGGTACTTAGGCATCATCACGGTCCGCGAGCACTGGCTGACCGGAGAAACGGCCACTACTGGAAATTACTGGGTGGCATGGGCTGTTCGACGGCTCAAGTGGCGCCCCTGGCGGACCCGAGGGTTGGGTGATGAAGTGCCGACAGTGTTACGTTATCTTTCCAAGTCTCGTCAAGCTCCCGACCGTTTTGCCATCAGCCCTACCAGGAGTTTAGCAAGGAAATCATGGCTGAGGGCTGGCAACTTCGTGCCACCTCATCTCTACTCTCATGAATGATGCCTCTTCTGGAAGTCTTCCCCTTCACTTCATAGTCTCTATCGGGCCTTCACCTTGGAAGTCGGAGTATTGATTTACCATTCGTACTTCGTCTGTTCCGTCTACACGGTTACGGAACCCAGGAGCCACTTTTAACCTTGGCTGCCTTTGTTGTACGTAGCCAGTCACGATGCGCAGGACCCCTGACTCACGCGGACTAAGAAATCAACGTGGAGGGTACGGCGTGATACTCTACACTTTATAGTTCTCATTCGTCAAGGCCGTTTACAACCTGATATTTGGCGTCTGGATGTCTATTCCTGAGGATCCCGATGTCTTGGATCCGCTCAGAGCCGCATCCCTTATTTACCTGAGGTTCGTCCGGATATCCAGAATGAACGGGCCAAACATCCACAGCCATGATGAGAATAGCGATTGCCGGTGCCGGCGGGTTTGCCTATATTCTCGCCGAGCAGATTACTTCTACTGCTAATGCAGTGCTTGTGTTGTCAACTCAAGTAGGTTGAACCTGTAAAGTGCCCGTGAGAGTGCTAACACGGCAATAGGAGCATCCAGAGTTTGAACAGAGTCTCGGCGTTCAGGTGGCTGTTGTGGACTATAGCAATGTTGAAGACCTACGATACACTCTTCAAGGTGTTGACATAGTCATCTCTACCATTTCTGGAGACAACCAACTAAACCTGATTGATGCCGCGAGGAGGGCTCGTGTTCGTCTTTTCGTTCCTTCAGAGTTCGAGGGAGCACTCGGCCATCGACCAACAAACGATGACCCTCTCGACCGCGGCTCCCAAGCGGCTCTAGATCTTCTTCGGCGCTGGTCCCAGTCGAGATCTAACCCTATGCAGTATACCGTCTTCTCCTGTGGAGTCTTCTACGAAAGATTCGCACCCGGCGGTCTTAGCACGTACAACATCGGAACTGGTAGCAATGTCCAGAATCCGGGTGACTTCCTAGTCGACGTCGGAAATGCAACGGCTGAGATCGTGGAGCATAATTCTCAGGGGCGACCGATTCAAGTGTCGATGACTTCTGTGTATGACGTTGCTCGTTTCATTGCTGCAGCCATCGATCTCGGACCGGGTACTTGGCCCCGAGAGTTCAAAATGCGTGGAGATCAAATGTCGGTCCGCGATATCGTTGGTGCTTGTAGTAATACTCGAGGCGGTAAGGTTTCCCTGTCTTTGTACTATATGGCGCATTACTGATTAGCACAACAGTTCCCTTCAATCTTGTTGTTCACCAGTTTCGGGACCTGCCGGCTCAACTCGACTATGCTTCGGACACAGAAGACTGGAGTCGTTGGTACTATTTCCAAAGACTTATTGCAACGGCAAATGGGCGTTACACCTTTAGACAACCGAATCTCAACGAAGCGGTGAACGCAAACGATGCAGTGGATGTGAGACCGATGGGTTTCCGAGAATGGCTTGCGCAGATTTGGGGTCCGGCAACATAGCCCGGCACTCCGACATTGACTGGTTACATTGGGTATGGGATACAGCACTTCAGCGTGGATTCTGCAGCGTTCCTTTTGTTGTCTATATTGTGCATCCGCTTTCGGCATCACACTCCAGATGTCCTGGTTTGACATCGAACACTCTTCACTCAGACTGTCTTAACTTACAATTCACCATTTCATTTCTCGAAATATGTAGTTTCAACCCTCATTCATACAAGTAGATAGAACCAGCAATGGATACGCCTCCAGCGGGCCACCCTAAACACTAGCATGTATGATTATCGTGTGGACCTACTATGAGATTTGGCCCCCAAACCCGGGATATTCGATCCTTCCATGCTCTCGGTAGCAATTACAACATACCTTCCACGAGCGTCTTTACTATAGGATGAACCTTCCATCTAATCTCCGGATATTGGCGGCGGTACTCGGATCACATTCCTCTTCACCGGCATCCAATACAGAACTTGGGACATGAAGCTTGGAAATGAAGTCGGTTTGTAGCGCATCCATCAAATTCAAGTGGTTGAGACGGATTATTCTACTCAATTAGCTAATGCACACACTCTGAGGCCTGGATTGCGAACGCGAAACCCTATTGGAGTCGGCCAAGAGTTGTCGTGCATTGCCCCCAATAAGTCATTAGTCTGTATTTGCTCGCGACCAGATGACATGCAGCAAGACTTGTTAGGCCTACTCTGGTATTGATCCCGACGTCCGCTTCGCTGATCAGCGTCTTCTGCATGCTGCGGGACCGCCATAAGTCCAACCCAAGCATTGGAAGACTTTCGAAGTACTTCGTACGAAGGCCCAATCGCGGAATTGATTGGCGACCGGCAGCAACGCCGGCAATAGCCTCACAGAGGGCACGAGACGTGTAAATGCTGTGGCGATATGCAGCACCGCCAGTTTCAAGACCTCACTCCGTCACCCCAGAGACTCCAGTCTGCCTTGAATTTCCGAATTGCAGGTTTGAACGACTATTCTAGCCTAGACTTCATTCCGATCTGAACATCCCGGGTTGAGCCTCAATCCACACACGCCAAGTGAATGCTGCCTATCCCTGCGTCGTCAGACCCGTTTGACTGCTGAACTATCCAATGCCAATTGCTTATGGCCTGTATCCCCGTAGATGCCTGCTTCTCTGTTGAATCACAATGAGACCCATCCTGTTGAACACCATGCAAGGGACACCGCCTGACTCTTGTCCCGGTGCCAAAATGCGCATGCAGACCTCTAGCGCCACAACACCAACTCCTTTTGTTTACACCCGTGTACCCCCCTTAATCTAGTTCTCGCCGTATTGTTCGCCGAACTCTGTGACAATCCAGAGGCAAAACTGCTCCCACTTGACTCCCCACTCCTTCAACCGCTCCGCCTTCACGCCATTGCCGAGACTAGCCTCCTTGATATCCCGCGTCCACTCCTCAGCGTTCTGGTCCTCGAAAGCTGCCCAACGAATGCTGTTCTCTGCGAGGGAGCCCAGGCCCGCAAGGCCGAGATTGTCCCACCCCTGGAGCGCCTGCCAGAAGTCGTGGGTCATACCGGCGGTGTCCTGGCCGAGAATGGCCGGGTCGTCGTTGCAGAGGGCGCAGGGCACGCCGCGGGCGAGCAGCGCGGGCAGGGGGTGAGAGAGCACGCTGCCGCAGAGGCGCAGCACCTCATTGCTAATGGGGCAGCTCTCGATGAGGATTCGTTTCTCCTTGACGAGGTCGATCAGCAGCGGGTGCTTGTACAGCGAGAAGCCGTGGCCGATGCGTCGCGTGCCCAGCAGCACCGCATCGAAGAGGTTGTTGTCCGTGTCATTGCCATCGCCCAGGCACTCGCCCGCGTGGAAGAAGAAGGGCATCTCTACGCCCTCGGACGCGCATTGCTTGCGGAACCAGAAGAGCTCTGGCAAGACGTCCTTGAGAGGCCGCCCGGCGTCCTCTTGCCCTACCAGGTCGTAGCCAGCCAACAGGTGCGGAAATTCTATCTTCGTTGTGATAGCCCAGTCCATGTTCTTGACCATGGTCTCTGTGTCAACGCGGCGCAGAGTCGTCCAAATCATGCGAATACCCCAGAAGCCTTCTCCCTCTGGGGATGACTGAAACTTTGTAAGTTCATCCTGGATGACCGTGAACATATGGCTGTAATCTGACTCGGGCGTTTCACAGCCTTCTCGGCAGTAGTTCAGTGGCCAGGTGAATCTTGAGCATCACGATCAGCGGTACTATCTCTCTCATCCGCAACAAGACTTTTACTCACCTGATTTCAGCCCAGTCTATGCCATCAGCATAGAAAAGACTCATGAGTCGTCGCATGAAAGGTCTCAAAATGGGCTCGTAATGGAGGATGCTGTTGATAATCAAGAAGCACCGTTCGAACTTCCTCCAGATATGATCCACACCATGGTGTTGCTCGAGACTATCGACCTCCGAGACTGTGCACCTGCTCTTGAGCCAGCTAATGAAGCCGGCTCTTCCGCCGTCGGGGAACATCTCTGCTGCCTTGGTAGCAAGCACAAATGTGCTTAGCTGATAGTCTTTGCTCCAAATGTTCGAATCCGAGCCTGTCTCGGACTTCAGAAACTTGAACTCAAAGAGGGCATCCGAACGAGCCGACTCCGTGGCCAAACTGCCGGATGTGCAGGCAATGTGGATGCCAGGCGTGCTAAGCAAGATGTCAAACACGAAATCGAACTCGACTATGGCATCCAAGTGGGCATGAAGCAGGGCACCCTTGGGCATCTTGCGGACAATCTGCCACAGCTTCGTCTTCTCCATGATGCCCTTGGCGTGGGTGAACATCATCCCGGGGTGGATGGTGGCATTCTCCCGGATGGCGATCTGCTCCTCCAGCTCGGGCTTCCAGAACCTCTTCTGCTCCTCATCGCGGATCTGGGCCACGATTTTGCATGCCTTTTTGGCGATGGGCGACAAGTTCTGTCGGAACGAGGCGTCTGCGGTGTCGATATTTAGCAAGGCTATGGTCATTCATTTATTTCAGCACATTGTGACATCACCCACCGCTGCGCTGCTTCTGCTCCTCTGCAATCAAAGCCTCGCGGCCATGGATGTACTTCTGCAGGACCGGGTCCTCGTGCTTGGGCAGCTCCTGGGAGATCTCCTCCCACTCTTCCTGGGTCATCGACATCGTGGCTGCTGACCTCTCGACTGTGGACGGGGATGAGAGAAGAGGAAAGAGTCCTCACTAGGCAGTGGGTGGGCGACGGGTCAGTTGTTATATGTGTAGGGTTGGCTCACGAGAACAAAGCAGGGCTGGTTTAGCGCACCCGAGATTAAGCATGAGGCGGATGATCTCAGCGTGGTCCGTGACACTGCTCAGCCTACGAGTACTATGCAGTAGTGCTGTAGAATCTCTGGGTAGCCCTATAAATCCCACCCCCGAATCCTCCGCATTCACCGGCCCCGCAGCGCACCCGGTGTTGAGTCATTTCATCCGGCACTGAGCTGCCACTTTGGGCAGGCCTCTCCCGGTCTCGCCGTCGATGTCCGTCGGCAGAGTCCCCGGCCCAGGCCCCGGCCGGGCTCGGCAGATTGGCCATGAACTACTGCATAGTAATTACTCTAGCTGTATTTTTTACCATGTTCAACCCCCTATTGCCTACGATTGTTGGATTTCAACTCCGTAACTGGCTATCATGTCCCCGCACCTTCTGACATCCAAAGGCCAGACCATACATAGGTGATTCTTTGTACGGTAATCCACATTGCGACATAACTCTACCAGCTGGCACAAGTGAAGAATGAAAATTCAGGGGTCCATCCGATCCGAGACTAATATTTCCTGCTAGAATAAGTTTTACTAAAATGAGTGCTATCCATTGATCTTTCCAAATGATCAATCCCCTAAGAGACTTGCCCTCCGACTTTATGCAGACGATGATCGTAGACAGCTGGACAAGCAAGGCTCAGCGCTGAACACCGCCATCATTCCAGCGGTGTTTGAAGATGGATCAATCGCCTAGTCAACCCGTCTACCTTCCCCCCACGGGACAGCGCATGGCGAGGGATGATACGCGTTTGTTTTCCCCATACTCCTACCTCTTGTGTTGCTTGTAATATCGGGCGCCAATTATAGATAATAGGAGAGTTTAATGGTATAACAATTGCCGTCTGTCTATATGGGAAAGTGCAATGGCAGAGCGACACGTGCAAGTGAACAAGCGGCCAGCGCGTAGGCGGACGCTAGGATACCTAGAGACAGATAACGTTAGCTGGTCTGTAGCGGGTGGTGGCGTTCACCAGGGCAACGGGCCCCGCCATTGAAAGTCGCAAATGAGGTGTGGCTCGGGTAAACACACACAACGGCGGGCGGGCGGCACACCCCCAATGCAATGTTTGGCAGCTAAGAGTAGCCGCATGCACGCCCGGCACACCTTCCCGGGTTTTCTGACGATCCATCTATCAGATTATTTGATTCTGCCTTCTCGTTGAGATATCTGTTATTCTCTCAAGGCACAGACTGTCTATCTACCGGCGTCCCGCTGCTCTTCAAATTACTATACCCCCCTTTCTTAATGTAATGGTAAACAGCGGCGACAACGACGGCTCAACAACATGATAGACTCGGATAACCTGCGCACAGCGTCGCTGTACATCAATAACCAGCTTCTGTCCCGAGGACTGCTGCGCGATGGCCAGAGCATCGACTTTGCCGACCCCGGCAGGGGCGAGGACCTGGAGGAGACGATGGGCAAGATCCTGAGCGTGGTGAACGACTTGATCTTGCGACGCGATGTAGGCTGAAAACGACGCGATATAATAGGAACAAGAGCATGATGCTGACCCAATTGGTGCTGTAGCGTGATGCAGAACACCGCGAGTCGCTTTCCACAACGCTGCGCACCGTGCGCGCCGAGGCACTCCGGCAGACAAACGACATCCAGCGGCTGCATGAGAAGCATGCCGAGACACAGCGCAAGCTCAACCTGGGCGAGGCGGCTGAGAATGCCCTGCGTACACAGCTCAAGGCTGCCGAGGCGAGCGTGCACAAGCTCAAGGAGGAGGCCGCGCGGACCAAGAAGCTCGTGGCCGAGACGCGGTCTGTGTGCGCGAACGAGGTGCGCAAGCGCGATCGCCAGATCGACGGGCTGAAGAAGGCCGTCTCGGAGGCCGGGCGGGCGAGAGGCGAGCGGAAGAACCCCGGCATCACGACGATTACCATCACCGGAGACATCGGGGCTGAGCGTGCCGACGATTCCATGTTGTCAACGGCGAGCGACGGCTACGACCTGCGCCAGGAGACGAACGCGTTCCTAGCAGAGCTCGCTAAAGGCTTGAGCGAGGAAAATGAGACGCTTCTGAATCTTGTGCGCCAAACGAGCGACAAGCTCAAAGAGATGAGCGGTTTTGAGAAGGGAGAAGCAATGGCGGGGCATGGAGACGGCCATGCCATCGCCCTACAAACCAATTGTCAAGATCTGTCGAACGAGATTGAGGCAATCTTGGAGCATTTACGCACAATCCTCACAAATCCTTCATTCGTTCCCATTGAAGAAGTTGTCGTACGAGAAGAGGAGATCAACAGACTCAGGGAAGGGTGGGTGAGGATGGAGACAAGGTGGAAGGAGGCTGTCCACCTGATTGACGGCTGGCGGAGGCGAATGGCTCTCAGTGGCCGTCCAGTCAACATGGAGGAGCTCAAAATGGGCTTAAGGCTGAGCCCCGTCCGCGTAAAGGATGTCGAAGAGACGTCACAAGGTCTAGGACTACATCTATCCACTCTCGAGGAGGAGGAAGAAGAGCAGAGCAGCATCTTCCATCAAGTACAGTCTCCCAGCCCTGCAGAGTCTCTTCACCTTGTTCCCGCACCTGAATACGAGGAAGAGGAAGAGGAAGATGCAAGCGACTCGGAATCTAGCATCTTCCAAGACGATGTGGAGATCGACGAGCTGGATGTTTCTGAACCGAACGTCCAGATTTTGCAACAATCAACGATGATGGACTCAATAAATGATCCACCACTGCCACCACCACCCCAGATCAGCCCCTTGAAGGATAATTATTCCGCTGGGAACCGAGGAGCGACAGGCAATGCCCTAAAGTCTCGGAAAAGACCTGGAGACTTCACTACAATTGTCGAGGAGAATACGTGCGATCTGATTGCAGAAGCACCTCCACCACCTCCACATGTAGTCAAACCACAACAGTCGCCTCAGAAACGGATGAGGCCATCGCCTCGAGAAGCTCAAGAGCCAGCCCGACCAATCTCCGTTGCGCTTTCCGACTCAGCCTCTTCGCTGGAAAGCGTGCTTCTTGTAAAGCCCACCGAACGTCCTGTGTCACAGGCATCCAGCAGAACCACACAGGCATCCCGCGTAAAGGCCCAACCGCCAAAAGAGAGCCCATCGAGGCAGGCGGCAACTCACTCATCTCGCTCTTCGGCTACGAGCACCAAGTCCCGGCAGCAGCAAGACGAGAACAGACAGCCATCAGCTGACATGCCGCCTCCGCCGAAGCCGGCACTGTCCAACAAACAGGAGACCGAAGCATCTCAACGCTTGCCGCGGCGGACACCATCCAAGCTCCCACTGCCCAGAAACAATGCACCACTCCCACCCCCGCAGCAGAGCCCGTTGACAATGGCCACCATAGCAGCCAAGCTCGCCGCCTCCGAGCGGGAAGCTGATGCAGCCCGTGTCCGTGCCAAGCTGAAGGCAGCGCGCCTCGGCAAGCGCACGAGCCTGGCTCCGTCGAACGCGTCCACCGCCACCTCGGGCATCAGCTCGCGGACGTGCAGCGGCGAGTCCTACCCTGGTGATCCTTCAAAGAAGGAGCTGTCGGCCAGTCGGGAGTCGCAGGACGAGAACGGGCTGGACGGCGGCGCCTCGGTGCATCCCGGCTCTCAGGGGGAAGACCAGCCGGTGTTGCAACAGAGCACCGAGGAGAAAGAGAAGCCTCGGAAGCGGGATAGGAGAGCGAGCAAGGTCGCTTCCAGGAGACGGAGCACGTTGAACCCGTGGGAGCTGCAGTCTTTAATCGCAGGAGATGTGAACGTGCCTCCCTCACCAGCGAGGTAGAGTCCCTGGGGAATTGGTAGGATGAGGAGGGAAAAGGCGAGGAGTAACAATGGATAGGAGGAACGGCCGATTGGATGATTTTACGTGTTCACGAATACTTCTTCAACGTCTTAGATTATGAACGACCCCGCCCATTGAGCATGATTTTACAATGTAATACTCGACAGTATATTCCTGACACATTTTGTCCTATGGACACCTACCTGTTGTGAGATGACGGTCATGCAGACATCTAATCCAGCCGTCATGCAAGCATTGCCGTACCATTGCATTCCATACGCCCATGCCACCCCTAGGCATTTCATCAATCGTGATATCGTTACTCCTACAAATCATACAAACTTCTTCCCGTCCGCAAATTACCACTGAGACTGAATGGATTTCCAGAAGCGCGGGGAATCATCCCGAACGGCGTGAATGATCGTGACACCTTTGTCCTTAGCCAGCTTCATGATCCGATCACGCTCCACGCCAATCAGGCAGTCCGTGTAGATCGTCTTGATACCCAATTTCACAAGACCTTCGATGGCGAAGCGGGCGCCGTCGAGCTCGAAGGGATAAGCGAAAACAGTATGTAGATTCGGAAAGCTCGATACCCAGTCCAAGAAAGACTGGGCATCCGCCGAGGCACGGCCGCTTGGGGCGGGTCGGTCTGGGTAAGGGAAGACGAAGTTCGAGAGGCCCAGGGCCTCGATGTCCTCTTTATGCAGGAAGTCGAACGAGGAAAGGCCGATAATATCTTCGGTGTCCCACACAGTAGTCATGTATTTGAGGTCAAAACCTCGGAGTTTACGCTTTTCCACGCTCGGGCCAAGTAGCTGCTGCAATACTGAAGCAGGTACGACTGAGGTGCAACTGAAGTACTCCAGGTTCTCGAATTGCTGGTGAGATGTCATGTCCACACCCTCATTGACCATGTTGGATATCTGCGACGTCAACAAACCCACGTCACTTAGATCCAGAAGTTTGAGATTCTTGGTCAGGCGGAAGTCGAAAGTAAAGTCGTTCCTTGCTGATCTCAAGATTGACAGCGAAACCTCCTCCAGCTTTTGCCAATTGTTTTCATCGACGATTCTGGTCAGGGCGTCGCCTGGTTGTCTCATGTTATAGCCGGAGATATTTAGCCGTCGCAGATCCTGAGTTGCATACGCGAGGTTGCGCTGTAGAGGTGTTAGATCCGCATGATCCTTCTCTAGCATGCCAATACGACTTACCAGGAAGGTAGAGGGTATCTCCGAGGGAAACAGTCCGCCTTTGAGCGCATCTGGAGGGTCTCTGTTTTGAAGCTGTAGCGTCTCCAGAGTACGCATCTCTGGAAAGATCCTCCACAAGAACGGCGGAGCACCGCGAAGCGCCAACTCCTTCAAGTTCGGAGCAAGGTAACGCAAAATCGATACCAACTCGCCAATATCTTCGAATATGTAGTCAAGGCACAGCGTTGTCAACGTTGAAACTCGGTCCGGCCAGGAACTATAATTGGACTTCCGAAGTAGAAAAGTGTGGGGGGCCTCAACCTGAAATTTCCGCAGGTTCGGTAAATGATAAAGCATCTTATAGAGCTTCTGACCGTCCAGCTCGAATCTCTTTGCATCCCGGATCTTGATTGATTGTGTTGCGGACTTTCCCCTCTTAGACAGGACATCTGCTAACGCCTTCATGGACACGCCTTTGCATGTCTTAAAATCGAGGTGCTTCCAGAGGTTCTGGTTAAGGGTTTGGTGTTTCCAACCCCAACACACGCGCATAGCACGACTATTATTCGAAAATTGCATTTCAGTAAATCATAAGTCTTGAACTGTAGGGTCGTTTTCCTGGAGTGCACTCACCACAAGTCCCGCAGAGACAACTGCCCAAGGATCATGGCAATAACTTCTGTCGGCAACTTCTCCAGCATGTTTCTTCTGCTGACTTCCATTACCAACCTCGAGAGAATCTATCGAGATCTTAGTCGATTTAGCTGTATAAAAGCACCGATGTACAATTACGCACCCGCAATTTAGGATGGTTCCTGTCACCGAACTTCGACACACTTCTGATACCTTGTATGTACACGACACGACATTCCTTCAGCAGCATACCTCGAGGAAATATACGCATCATCTTGCCCATGCGCAGATAGCCCTAAATGACATCAGTCTCACATTTTCAATATAGTGCTTGAAGCTTGATATACCTCAGGCTGGTTAGGTGCGATGATTATCATGACTTTGCTGTAGTACAAAGCTTCGTCGTAATCCCTGCGCACTTCACAAATTGCTGCACAGCCCTCAAGGGCTTTGAGGTGAATTGGGGAATCGCATTGTGTGACACCACTGTCACAGCTACAAGGTCTTGTGGCTATGGTGTAGAAATCTGTCTGGATTGGCAACCTGCCTCCAAAGGTGGGGAAACTCTTGCAGATACACTCGCGCAGTCTCTTGCGACGTGCGCGGAAAATTGACGGCACCGGTAGTCGTCTCACGCAGGGGCACAGCCCAATTGCCTGACAAGTTCACAATTATGTCAGCATATACAAACAAGCTTCAGCTTTGCAATAAAAATGCCAGGGCTGTATTGAGAAGCATACTCTGGCCGAACTGCTGAAAATTTGCTGTTTGTCGATAAGGGGAGACTCACCTTCTCGAACGCAGACAGGGACGAATCCCAGTTCTTCTCAGCAAACTCCTCCACAGCTTTCTTATAGTATGCCTGATCTCTAGGCAGAGGCATACTATCGTCAGCTCTCTCTGACTGTGCTGCTCTTCCCGCCATCTTGACTCGTTGCTGCTCTCTCTTCTTCAGGCGCAGCTTTGGTTCACGGATGGGTGGAAAGTTTGGTGGTGAGTGAGTGTTGCGACTGCCGGGAATCGCGTTTTGGTTTTGGGATACGCGATTAACGACCGCCGGGTCCGTGCGTGCATCTTAGTGCGCACCCACTCCCGTCCCCCACCATCTTTAGTGGGGCACTAGGCAGGAACAAGCACTAACACTTACAACCTCGTCCTGGTTTGTCTTAGACATCATCTGCATCTCAGATGTCTTGCCTTGAACTTACAAATTTCTTCATGCGTTTCGAGAGAAGAAATTTTCATTTTTATGGCATGTTTGGTGGATTTCTGCTAAACAATTCATTTACGAAGGATCTGATTATCCATTTACTATTGGAGTTTTCTTCAAAATTCTGTGTTCAATTGAACATGTAAATAGAATTCGTTTTCGTCAAGATGAAGATTTCTTACAATTTGTCTCTTGCTTCAGATATCACAATATCTGTTTTAGAATTTTCTTGCTATCTAACCGAGATTAGATAGATACCTGATGGGTGAGATTAAGCTTAAGGAGGATATAAGGCATCAAGATAACGACAGACTCTCGAAACTTGACTGTGATAGGACTTAATCACTATAATATTTCATGGAATTACTTTTCTGATCTTTAGTAAAACTCCATTGCACAGATTTCTAGAATCATGGCAAATTGTGGCTCCAAGTAGCAACATGTTCCCGATAATAAGAAAACAAGGTTACATCCCGGTCCCCATACCACCATCATCGCAAGTCAAGCCAGGCCACCCCATCCGCCGCACTGGCCGGCTCTGCATCGGCCACCGTCAAGCACGGCCGACATGCCGGAGGTACAGCACCGTTCGTCGGGGGATTGATCATAACGGAGACCGGATCTAAACCGACGATACTTCGTCACATTGTCACGCGGTACCTCCCACCCCGAGCGCGTCACTCGACTGACCGGACGGGGGGCGTCTCCACAGACCACCCCAGGTCAAGCATCACCAGGTAGGCGGGCTAGGTATCTGCAAATAGACCCAATGCCGAGTGCTAGTGCTCGCATCATACTACTCGCTCGTACCCTCTCCTCCTCTCCCCTGCCCTAGGATCATCATACAAGCACTGCGGCAGTCCTCCCTGCAAGTGATGGATGACGCTATCGCCACGACGGGCCATATCTTCCCCAGATTGGGGCTTTGTACGCCATCGTGCCATCCTTGCAATGTAAGTCAAGCCAGGTTATCCCTTGGCGCATCCGCACGAGCGCGCACGGGCTGGCAGGTGGCACTGGCAGGCACTCCGGTGGGAGAAAGATGGCGTCGTCAAGCCTCTCTCTCCAGCTCCCACAATGTGTGAGTAAGCAACACCCGGCGAGAGCTGGCCCAGTTAGGTGGGTGGGTGGGTGGAGGGCGCTTATCGCTGATTTGTCGCGCCTATCGACACCCGCCAGTTCATGCCCCTCGGCGGGCGGGCGCCTCGCCGCCTGCCGGCTGGGGGAGGCTGGATGGAGATGGAGACGAGGGGGAGTCGTTGTGGGATGGGGGTTGGGTTGAGGCGCATGTCTTGCATTGCATGTAGGTATCCATCTATCTATCGACCTACTCAGGCCTCACAGTTTCCCTCGAGATATGTCCAAAGTATCTACAGACAATAAAACATGTAGAGTACATGTTCCAGTTCTAGTGTGCCAATGGCGATAATTCACGTCTAGCAGAACTATACATACATCTCCTAAGCGCCGGCAGAGATGCAGGTGAGGTCTTGATTTGGGATGCGCAACATACGATCTAAGGCAAGATGTGTCCCGGAAGAGAACTAGATCTCACCACTCCTTGGCGCCTATGTACATACCCATGCTACTGGGGAGGAAAGACTCGGTGACACAAACCGCTTCCGATGCCCGTGCATAGCGTGGCATGAGAAGCATGTCCTGTCCATCCGTCAGTCGGTCAGCCAGTCACCCTACTGTCGGGTGGTGGCTTGCGGGAGGGGAAGTGCGCCTTGCCGCAGGGGAGCTTGTGTGGGCAAGGCTGGGCTGGAGCTGGGCTGGGGGCGAAAGAATAGAGCACAGAACCAAGGAAGAGGAAGACGAAGCACGAGCCGAAGGATCGATGGGGCTCCCTGGCTACAGTCCCAAGGGCTGCGACCAGTTCGGGAGGCCAAGTTGCCGTGATAGGATGGGCAAGGTGGGTGGTGTAGGTGTGGATGTGAGTGTGAGTGTGTGCGGTGTGATGTAACGAACGCCTCCCTGGCGGTGGTTCATGGAATGGGATAGGATGGGATGGGATGGGATTTGGATGAGATAGGAGAGTGGGAAAGGGCTGCTGCCCAATGCAATTGTGTCTGTCCTGAAATGGCCTGCCAATGTCGTGACACCAGTCCGATTTAGATCTGTTGGACACCACCTCGCCGGCAATCTCACTGCTTCCCGAGAGACACCATGCCGTATGCGGACAAAGGCCATCGCATCACTGGCAATGTCGTGCAACCCCAAAGTCCTCATCCCATCCGAAGGTATCTCATCCATCCCATCCCATTGCGTCCCGGATATTCTCTGCCTGCCTGCTCGCCTGCCTATCCGCCGGCAGAGGAGAGGAACAAGAAAAAGAAGCAGAGACCATCTGCGGGTCACACCACCATCACCCGCGCACCGCCGACGACATCGTCTTGCGTCCGTCGACTAGCGGTCGACAAGACAAGACCCAGAGCGTGACCGACACCAAAGAGAAGAGAGCGCATTCGCTACCGCTCTCTGCATCGGGACTTCTCCGCCGGGCAGCTCGTAACGAGATCGAGACGTGCGGACAGGGCAGGATTAAAGATACGGCAGATGGTAGGTGCAAGCGAATGCGCGGAACGAGTGGGAAAGCAGGCTAAAGAGACAGCGGAAGTAGTGGAAAAAGGTAGCGGATAACTCCCCTGCAGACAGACAGGCAGGACCCACTGTATACGCCAAACAAGCAGACGAACCCACGGGGTCTAGCACTTAGTCAGTTAGTCAGGTAGGGAGTTAGTTAGCACGGCGTACGTTACGTTACGGATCGACCCAAAAAGACTGCCCCGAACGATCCGTTCCTAGCAGCCCCAGACGGAGTTCTCGCCTTGGCAGGCCTAACAAGACCGCCGGCCAGTGGTGGGAGCTGGGAGCTAGGAGCTGGGAGGGAGGGACGTACCTCTAAAAATAGCAACCCACCCCACGCACAGGCCAACTACGCTATGCTCCACCAAAAAAACATCCCTGGACGACATTGGGATTCCCCCAAGGCACGCTGAGCCTCTCATTGGCCTGCTTCCGCGCCCCTCGGCTGAGAAGAAGTCGCTGCTGACGGCTCACCCATCTCACTCACCTCGCAAGGCTGGCCCCCATTTTTAAAGACCACTGCCTCGCGTCTCCGTGCCCCTGCCCTGCCAATGGCATCTCGAAGCCGGCCCCTGCACGCGCGCCGAATTGCGCATGTCATGCTCCCTAAAGTGATTGCCCTGATGCTATTCACAAATGTTTCGACCTCCGGCAGGAGGGTAGGGTGGAGTTACGCTCTCACACACACTCATTGACGGACAAAAAGAACGGTAGACGCAAATGGGGCAAAATTCCCCGGATATCTTGGTTTAAAAATACTGGAACTTGCCGACTGGTCCGAAGCACCGCACGTGTTAGCCGCGCAGATGTGTACAATGTAGGTGGATTTAGCTAGCGGGCTCGGATCGACACTTCGCTTGACGACATTAGCATCAAATGTTGCTGTTTCTGTCGTTCTGGAAGGAAACGTCGGACCAGTCTAGAAGACCTTGGGACGACGCAATTTGTCAGGCTGCTCCCGTCTCTTCCGTGGCACACATGCACAACGTCTTCTTTGTTTTACCGAAAACAGAATGGTGGTTCACACACCGCAATCCATCTGTTTCACAGGAATTGAGGCTCGACCAGCCTCCCACCATGGATTGCTGATTACATGTCATGTATGTACACACGCCTGTTCCTGGGCCCAGGGGTCTGGCACGGCCGCACGGTTCACGTTCAAAATAGCTTCCCGCTATACCCATTTCCGGCATATCTTTCAACGTCGCAGCAAAACACTCAACGCTTTCCACAAATGCTGATGTCTTAACAAATTCCTTGATTTTGCTGGGTTTCTGGTTTAGGCGCTCCGCCCGCCAGATTCCCCTATTTCAATTTTTTTTCTATCTACGCCAAATCGGCAATCCTCTCCCGAAGCCCTTGCCCTGCCCTCACCTTCCACCCCGCCAGATAAGCCACCTTCGTATCCCGCCGAAGGTGACCTCTGGAGGGCGGCGGAGAGGGGCGCAAGTCATTCAGGTCAGAAGTTTGCCTGGACTAATAGATGACAGGTGTGTGTATATGCGTGAGTGTGTGTGTGTGTAGAGTAGAGCTTCCTGAGCGCAACAAACGGCAACTGATGCGAACTGATCGGATCCTGGCCGTCGTGAAGAAGAAGAAGAAAACGAATGTCCCGCGGATGCGGCGTCAACGCCGCCCCTTCCAGCATCCATTCTCATGCCGCAGACCCCTGTACAAGACCGGGCTGCCTGTCACTGCTTCCGGAGCAGGCATTAACTAGAGGTGAACAGTTACAGTAGTGTGACACAGTCAAAAGAAGAGGATGAGAGGAATTGAGAAAAAGCGAAAAACAGGTGCTGGCTTGAGAAAGACGAGAGAAAGAAGAATTGAAACAAGATCAGAACAAGAAGAATGAAAATGACTCGCCCAAAATAATGCTCCAGATGCCCTCGCCCAGTAAAATTCAGTTGCCCAATTCCCGCTGTTTGCCCTCTGATCCTGAACGCCTGGTATATTCCCTTAACCCTTAATGCCTGATTCCCAATGCTAAAAAAGCGATTACCAACCAACAAGTGAGGATTGGATCGAAGAAGTGAAGAAATGCCCAATGGCCGGCATCGGGCCATGTCCGCGATGCGCTGCCGCCAAAACAAGAAAAGAAAAGAAGCTCAGGCAAGCCGTGAGGC